CCAGTATTTTAAACGATGCACATTTGAGGGTATACGGTAACAGCAGCTCTTATGGCTGAACGTACATATTTCACCCTTGAAAGTGTTCTGTGTCCAGTGTGTGATGCATAAATAAACACTGTTGCTACCACTACGGATACAGATGCAATTAAAATAAATTCGGGTGAATTCTTGATTTATTCTACATCCGACTTCCAACAGAAAACACCTGGCACCGGTGTTAGCGTGGAACACATAATTAACATAAAAGCCAGGATGACGTAATTGAATCCCCGAGTCTTTTAATAGTTGTTGCTAAGCAATAATCACCAGGGAAACAAAATTACCCACACCTGCAGTTCTACCTGTGAAAGCATGTGAAAACCTCGCTTATTCGTCACATGTTTAAAGAAGATAAGCAGGGAGGCGGCAACTGGAGTCACACTTTAAGATAAAATGGAAGATGTCCGAACGTCGGAGTTTAGGAAGAAAATGTTGTTACAAAGGCTCCGTCTTAAAATTAGGGATCCCGTTGAGAGGTTCGCATACTCCGAAGCCGACATTGAAGCTTTTGACGAGGAATGTTTAAGCAACTCTAGGTAAGGGAAACTCGAGTGAGTGAGTGAGTGGGTGGGTGGGTGGGTGGGTGGGTGAGTGAGAGTGAGTGAGTGAGTGAGTGAGTGGGTGGGTCGGTGGGTGAGTGAGTGAGTGGGTGAGTGAGTGAGTGAGTGAGGTGAACACCGTTTGTACAGTATTTCAGCATATCAGGGCTTGTCAGCTTGATGTCGGGGGGAAAGGTCGAAAAGATGCAGGTCTTAGAGGTATATATTTACTACTTTTGTGAAACCAACGGGTATGGCACGGACAAACCTGAAACATATTCAGGGCGAATCTGGGATTCGAACCACATCATTATTTTCTGTCTCGCGTAAAGGACGCCACTATCTACTGCGAACTGAAGGCCGCTAGTCCGGGAACGCTATAACGTGATTGTAATGCACTGCTAACTTCGACATCACTACTCATGCCTTCGGAATTAACGGAGTTACACGATTGTGTCTCGTCGGCTCGGAATAACTTCGACAAAGGCGAAAGTGTAATAAAAAAAATATATTAAAAATCGACAATGGCGGTGATTCGAGGCTCCCGTCTTGCTCCGTGTCTACCGATCGTGTTCTATTCTGAATAGGCTTGTGTTTAGTGAAGACTGTGAAAGGTGGGGCATGTAATCTCTTGTACCGTGCATGGGATTGTTTCCCACTCCCAGCTCACTCTTGGTTTTAAGTAGCCAAGATGGAGCACTCGTTATCCTGGCTTCAAGTGCAAGGAATGTTGTGGCGGGCGGTGATTTGTAAGTGCACGTACGTTCCAATACCGTGATGCAGTTTGGTGCAGAAGGGATGCAAATATTATAATTAGAATAATCATTTACTCTGAAAGGAAGAATACAATGTTCACACTCTAACAATGGAGACTTTGTGAAGACCATGTCGATATGCGTCTTGACTATGCACATTCCATATAGACATAAAGCTGACCTCTTCAGATAAAGCCAGATGCTCGTATCTAGAAGTTCATCCGCATCCTCCCCTTCTCGTGTTTACGCACTCTCATCATGTTGACGTTTAGAAGTAAGCTAGTGACATGTTTTCAACAAAAAGTAACAATTAGCTGACTTTTTATGCCCATTGTTTTCCGATATATTAACATTTCCAAATCTTATCGGGCTCGATCACCGGCCGCGCCATACCAAAAGACGTTACAAGGCTGTACTTGTTGTTACCCTGCCTGGCGCTCGGCATTAAGGGGCTAAAAGAAGGACTGGTCGTCTCGGGGTCAGTATATTGTGACTGAGTGGGGTATTCATGTTACAACTGCGGCACGATATCTCAGTGGGCTAGCACTTGTTCATGCACATCGCTACATTAGTGGACGCGACGTTAAACCCCACCTCACCTCACCTCACCTCACCTCACCTCACCTTACCCCACCTCTGAAAGTATGAATATCACCGGGTTGAGAAATACGTTGAAGGATTAAGTGATTTTTTAACATTGTTAAATGAAAATAATTTACCAACATTACTAATAAGAATCCAGCGACAAGATTGATTAGAATATGCATAAAACTTTGATAAGTCTAGAAATGAGTAGAGCCGGATCGTATGATAAAGGCTCCCGCGCACACCCCAAAGCAGCTTTAAGCTCAACACAATCACCATCTCATTTATAATACTCAAAAGAAATCAAGGAAAACCCCTTTTTTTCATATGCCTATAGTTAATCTAGCATGGCGACTTTGTTAGTCTGTCTTACAGACCCTGGGTACAATGTGTGAAGCCCATTTCTGGTGTCCCCCGCCGTGATATTGCTGGAATATTGCTAAAAGCGGCGTAAAACCAAACTCACTCACTCACTCACTCTTACAGACCCTGATACAAATATATCAAATACAGCCCATGCAAGTCTATAATGTTTGGCAAGTCTAGATCACTGCAGTATCGAAGAGAGTCACCGGGCTCCTTTTACTATATTTTTAATAAGATAACTGAACAACTGTTTTTTTCTGTACGATATGTTCATTTCAGAGACTAGATGTTAGTCTACGCCGTTGTATATGGCTATAGTTAACAGATTGACGACAGCCATTTGAAAAAATCGGGTGTTCTTGAATGTATTTTCGGCAGTATATTTACTGACCATTTCTGTCGACCTCTTGTGTAAAGGACGGGTGTGACCTGTGCCTGAACTGATGATAGGGAGACTTGATAACATATCAAGTCCAATGTGCGTATCATATCTGGAGCGCCGCACTTTGCGGTGATCTGACAGCAGATCCCGTGGAAATTTCTCTTCACGCGCTGCTCTGCGTACATTTCACGCTTGGTCACACATGAACAGGTAGTGTTGATACTCGACTTAATGTTATGTGTTTAAATTTTCGGATCATCAAGAAGGAGTGAGTGAGTATGGTTTTACGCCGCTTTTAGCAATATTCCAGCAATATCACGGTGGGGGACACCAGAAATGGGCTTCACACATTGTACCCATGTCGGGAATCGAACCCGGGTCTTCGGCGTGACGAGCTAACGTTTTAACCACTAGGCTACCCGACCGCCCCTCATCAAGAAGGATGTCTGATTGCATTGTGTAACTATATATATTCATTTCGTTACGAAATGCATCAAACGCGATTTGATCAGCTGGGCATTGTACGATGAACGAGTTCAAACTTGGAGAAATGACAAACGATGAAATTCTTCCGTTTTAGTCTGGTGGTACTGGTGCTATTTGTTTCCGATGCTATCCTGTTTTAGTTACGATACTGCTCTCCATACTTCAGTGTTCATTTTGTTTTAAGGGCGATGTTAGGTAAATTGGTAGTTCTAGCCATAGCAGTTCGTGTCAAGCGGTATGTCGATTTGCACGCCAGAAGCCTATGGTCGTGGGTTCGAATCCCGGTTCGCCCCGAATACGTTTCTAGGTTTGTCAGCACCATACTTTGCTCGTGGGTTTTACTTCGGGCTTTCCTCCCACATTAAGCTGACTCGCCGTGATATAACTGGATTACTGTTCAAAGCGGCGTTAAACCCAACTCACTCACTCACTCAGTGTCGTGTGAGTATTCAAATGCAAAACGTGTGATTGGGTATAATCAGTATCATTATGGGTCGTGCTCGTGCTATCAACCACTGATTTGCTGTTCCAAGACTTGATGGGGCGGTCGGTTAGCCCAGCGGTTAAAGCGTTCGTTCGTCACGCCGAAGACCCGGGTTCTATTCCCGACATGGGTACAATGTGTGAAGCCCATTTCTGGTGTCCTTCACCGTGATATTGCTGGAATATTGCTAAAAGCGGCGTAAAACAATACTCACTCAAAGACTTGATTTTTTACAGGCCGCTGTGATATTGCTGGCATATTGCCGACTATGGCATAAAACAACATGATGACACGATAAACGTTCAACAGTTGGTATGCCGTGTTCAGTGATGAGGATGTCATATTACAGACTGCCGCTCTCAATCCCTCATTCACTCTGGCATGTCCAAATATTTTGTTTTCTGTAACCCAGACTGACTGTATATTTGAAAGCACGCACGCATACAGTTTTTTGTCAGAAATTTACAACTGACGCATGTTGCTAGCAATCGTATACACACCGTACCAGCGTGGAACATGAGATTATTTTGCTCGCTGCTGTTGTTTTCAATCAAGGTCATGTGACGTACTGATATGGCCAAGTGTATATTTTTCCTGATGGGGAAAAAGCGTATGCGTTAGCTTATCGTCATAAAATAATATGATAACAGTGTATATAAATGTCATAAATAAAATCTACAATACTTTTCTGTGATCATTCGAAATCTATACTAAATAAAGTCGATTGTACGACTCTGAATATGTGGAAAGTATGTGTTTATGAATCACTGTTATTATGATAATGGAATTATGGAAGTTTTCCGTACATTTAGGCAGGGGTTTTCAGGCACAGGTAAATGTGTGTTCATCGATACACGTAGGCCTTCTGCGTTAACGTTTTCCGTAGAGGCGATATGGCACCGGGGCTGTGAGGCGGTAAAGCATTGTCTCGTTAGGACAACGAACGGGGTTTGATTCTCAACGTTGGCAAAATACACGAAGTTCGTTCTTGGTGTCGGAATAGTCCAGTCGTTTAAAATGCAATCATTGTGTTTCAGGCACAGCCTTGCCAATGTGGACATTGGTTCCCGGCTCCTCCCCCGGGGTGCGCGGCGGGGGTCGACTATCCCGGGGCTGGGGGTAGGGTCACCGTCCGACGCTTCCAACAGACAGCAACTTCTCGAAAGGTAAATCTTGTTTCGTTTTCATAATGAATGAATGAATGAATGAATGACATATCCTCACAGTTGTTTATAGTACCCCCACCCCACAACACCACCACCCCCAAGCCTTGTCCCGGGCTCTCACAGGTGTGTCTATTCATTGCCCTACACGACCCCTACCCCAGCCCCCCCACACACACACCACTCCATGGAGAGGGAGTCCTAAGTTGGATAACTTGTTCCCAATCCATTTCAATCTGAATAAAATATGTTTAAATCAAAACACACCACTCCCCTAACCCATCTCCAATAACACAGACGTATTAGTGACATAAGCTCCGGTTACACAACCAACCAGGTCCATTTCCGCTTACGTTACACCACTGTTGCCAGTGCCGATGTCCAACCCCACATGTGGCTAACTGGTCATTAAGCAGCTAGGGATATGTTTACAACGCCTTCCTTGTGTGTCCCGGATTCGCCAGCCAGTGACACCACTAACCCCTTATGGGACTCATTAAGATTAGACGCGAAGGAAAGTATCTACGCAACGCGATGTGAAAAGGAGGGCTTGCATTTAATTCAAGTTAAGGATTTCAACATAACATTTATTTCCCTCGTTGTGTCATGGGCAATTGTTACCCGGACATATTTGTATCAACTCCACGTGAGCCAAGCTGATTGGCTTGTAACGATGACAAGCATTTATAATAACGTGTTTCGACTGTTGTTTGTTTAGCGTATTTTGCCACAGCGTGTATTCTGAAAGAAGAAAAACATTTCTCACATCGCGCACTCAATGACGGAGCGACGCAGCGTGGCTTGTGTACTGTTATTGACATTGTGCGCTACCAGGTTGTGATTGAATGGCTTGTGAATCTTGTCCAAGCCTATAAATGACGTCGAGTCAATCACTGGATCAATCTGCTTTCGAGACAGTGTTTCAGTGGATGTACACGATATCAGAACACGGAAATTCTGTCATCGGCACGAGGCATACGTGTTTCAGCTGTTACGAACGTGATTTAACGTTATCTATATTTTATTCAAATTGGGTTATCTCATTTCACCGGAACGGCCGGGAAAAACGGTGACATAGAAAATTGACGAGATAAGAAAGGATTTCGAATACTGATGAAACGGAGCGAAATGTGGATGTAACGTTCTGGAGATCGGTTTTATTAACACGGAATTCAAGGTTGTTTACGAAGTCAGCGACATCGGGAGGTGTGAAGGAGCGTCGTGGTTCTACGCATTGACAGGAAGGAAATTAACATGCTTCTTAAACGAATGTCTCGCTTGAAATGGATAATGATAGGGCAGAGAAAACGAGATCAATTAATTCAGAACAGGTATGTATATTTGAAATAATATTCATAAAAAAAACGATTTTATTTTTGATAGTGTTTGTATGAAAACACACTGGTAGGGAAAACAATAATGTTTTCGTCATTTTGATTTCTTATAAATTCATTGGTCTCTATTATATTTTAAAGTGAGTGAGAATGGTTTTACGCCGTTTTGAGCATAATGCCAGCAGTCTCACGGTGATGGGTTACCAGGGAGTCAAACCCGGGCCTCTTCAGGACGTCTGAACGTTTGATCGCCACCGCTGCGATTCAAAAACTAAATTCTATCAAATAAATGGTATTTCGTTTATTACAGCATCCAGGCAGCCATTATTCAACTCTTCCAAAGAAAGAAGCTGAAAGAAAACGAACTGGGCACATTACAAGAGAATGTCAGGTACGTGTCGTGTCATGGTGAACTCAAGCGCGGATACAGGATTTTGGGGGAAGGAGGGATCTACAGCCTTTTTAAAAAAAAACTTTTAAGGAAATAATTCGGGAATCGCTTTTTAGATAAGAATTCGTATTATTCTTCCAAAGGAGGATGTTCACCCTACACCACCCCACGTATGTTGACTGTAAATTCAGGCTACCCGCTATCACAATATTGATCGTTGTTAGGATACTCGGCGAAAAGATTCAATAACCTTTAATCTCCACCAAATGCCGACCATTCTCATAAAAAAAACAATAATGTATTTCATAGGTTCCCCAGACACAAGCTGGTAAACATGTTTCTTCCGAATAATCGATTTACACATATTGGTGCCAATCCTGCCAATATATTGATCTTGCTCATAATCAATATTATTCGCTGAAAATCGAAAAAATAATGTGGAAACTAGCTTGAAGACGGTATGACCCTGACCCTAGTTGATGCTGTTGTGCACGTAGCCACACACAGTGATGTTTTGACACACGAGAACGGCCTCAGGCGAGGCGTTGTTGTGGAGGTAAGAAGTACATGTACGTCTTTGTAAGTTAATGTATTGACTTCGTGTGGGTTGTCACTGAGAGCGAGAGGGAGCGGAGCTAGGAGTGAAGCGGGAGAAATCAATATATAAAACATAACCTACTTTCAGTTCACGGCGTACTCATATTCCAGAATCGATACTATTTCAATGTATCTTTCAGGTACCTCGCCGGCACAGAAGCAGGGCCGCTTATTTTAGATTATTACAAGGTGAGATATTATTAGACTACCCGTTACCGGGTGAGCTTATACCCCTGAAGCATGACTACATACACTCCACCATACTTTAACAAAATACACACCCACGTGGCTTCAAGCATACTATTATCCCAAAGGCTTGAACAAGGATTCACATTGCAATACGCGTAGGAAGTTGGTGCACAGTGTATTGACAACGCGGAATCTCGGATGTATAACGTGTGGGTTTTCCCCACTGAATACCCTGTTAATGCTGGGATTACCCAAATCTCCGGAAGGCTTTAGGAAATCCTAATTCCTCCATACAATGAGCAAGGCTCTACTAAAGAATGTCCTTGAGATGTGATACAGTCTGTATTTACCTCTATTAATAAACCGATCCTCTGTTGTGCAGTTAGTCAGAATAAAGCTCCCGTTAGAAAACAATCTTAATTCCGTTGTAGATATATCCTAGTTTGTACACAACATACACTGTGCGTTGTTGTTTGTGACTCATGTGTATGTATAGCATGTCACAAACACTATAAAACATACATGGGTATTCATTTCACAAGGGTTAAGGAAATGATGCACAAGTATAAAATGTTTAGGCCTGATCAATAATAATCTTTTGTCTTGTGTTCGTATCTTCTTGGTCAATAGGCAAAGGTTGGTTGGGTGGTTGGTTTGTTGTTTAACGCCGAACTCAGCAATATTCCAGCTATATGACGGCGGTCTGTAAATAATCGAGTCTGGACCATACAATCCAGTGATTGACATCATGAGCATCGATCCATGCAATTGGGATCGATGACATGTATCAACAAAGTCAGCGAGCCTGACCCCCCGATCCCGTTAGTCGCCTTTTACGACAAGCATAGTCGCCTTTTACGGCAAGTACGGGTTGCTGAAGACCTATTCTACCCCGGAATCTTCACGGGTCCAATAGGCAAAGGGGCAGGGATGGATATGGTATTACGCCTCTTTAAGCAATATTCCAGCAAAATCACACCAGAAATGGCCTTCACACATTATGCCCATGTTTGGAAGGGAACCCCTGTCTTCGGCGTGACGAGCGAACGCTTAACCACTAGGCTACCCCATCGCCCAAACGAAACAGGGGAATATTTTATTTTAAAAGTATTTTTTTAAGTTGACTTGAGGTATATTTCTAAATAAAAACTCATCATATAATCGTTTTAGCAAAGGTACAGGCGGTTAGTTAACTTTTTAAAAACATTTTCCTTTATAGCGATGTGTGAGTGAGTGAGTTACAATTTAGCGGGGCGGTCGGGTAGCCTAGTGGTTAAAGCGTTCGCTCGTCACGCCGAAGACCCGGGTTCGATTCCCGACATGGGTACAATGTGTGAAGCCCATTTCTGGTGTCCCCCGCCGTGATATTGCTGAATAATTGCTAAAAGCGGCGTAAAACCATATTCACTTACTTACTTACAATTTAGCATTGCAGCGGCGATAAAACAGCCATATTATACAGCGAGTCTTAAGGCATGATGCACGGACAGCTGTATAGCTTCATATGTTTTTTACATCCATGATTTACTAAGTACTGAGGTTAGTTTTTAATTCATATTTCATTACGTAATGATGCACTAGTTAGCTGCAGTGGGGGAGCCCAGTGACTATTGCGTTTCCCGTTACGGTGAAGATGCGAGTTCAGTTCCAACATTGGTACAATGTGCGAAACCCATGCTTATGCCCCCCCCTCCCCCCCCCCCCCCCCCCCCCGTCATAGTGCTAAAATATTGCCGAAAGCGGCGTAAAACCTCACTCACTCACAAACTCCTCTGATAAGGTCTTCTGTTTTAAGGCCTTCCTTCTGCTGTCCGTTCGTCACGATATGGCTGAAATATTGCCGATATGACGTAAAAACTCACTCACTCACTCTGCTGGGCGTGGATAATGACGTGTATTGTGTTGCAGGATCAGCTGTTGAAGAAGGGGATGGTCATCATGCGGGAAGGAATCAAGAATGACAGAGGTGAGACAAGTTTCGACAAAGTTACTAATACATTTGGGGCGGTCGGGTAGCCTAGTGGTTAAAGCGTTAGCTCGTCACGCCGAAGACCCGGGTTCGATTCCCGACATGGGTACAATGTGTGAAGCCCATTTCTGGTGCCCCCCGCCGTGATATTGCTGGAATATTGCTAAAAGCGGCGTAAAACCATACTCACTCACTCACTAATACATTTGATATATCATTCTAATTCCAGTATTTCAACAATGAGCTGTCCAAACTCATTCATTGAGTTAGGTTTTAGCAGATGGCTTGCTTATATGTAACCATAAACATAGCCTTCTTTTTGGCTGACTGCTTCCATGCCATAATTTTACTGCCACACGTCCCTTTCCGGGAAGAAAGCGCCGTCATTCCGCACTTTCCTGTTGTGTTTGTTGTTTAACGCCGCACCCTTGTATATGCTGGTGTGGTAGGATTAAATCACTCCCCTCAAATTTCACTCTATAGTGATTCTGTCCTAGGATAGAAACCCGATCCTTGGCCTGACACACCCCAGAGTGGAATTATCGTTGGATCAAATCCTTGACATGTATTTAGTACGCGGTTTATTCCCGATACTATTGCCATCCTCGCATATCGAACAGGTGAGGTGAAATTTGGTTTAACGTCGCGTCCAAGATTACTGCACTTATGTAGCCACATGCATGCACGTGTGGGCGTGGCTGCTTGTACTAGTCCGATTTTTATAGTGCTAGCCTACTGAGATACCATGCCGCAGTTTAACATGAATACCCTATTCAGACACAGTATACTGACTTCGAGCCGACCAGTCCTTGTTGTAACCACTCAATGATGTGCGTAGGCAGGGTAACAATACGTACCATCTTTTAACGGTACGGAGCGGCCGGGGATTGCCCCCCGGACCTTCCGCTCTCCGGGAGGACGCTCTACCACTAGACCACGGGGGCGGCTCGCACAGCGAAGACGTTTCCACTGTAAACATGTATATCTATTATTCCACAGCATCAATCAATGTTACAAATTCGCTCGTCACGCAGAAGACCCGGGTTCGATTCCCGACATGGGTACAATGTGTGAAGCCCATTTCTGGTGTCCCGCCGTGATATTGCTGGAATATTGCTAAAAGCGGCGTAAAACCATACTCACTCACTCACTCAATGTTACAAAAGCGAAAACATCATTCAGTATTCCTTAATTTACATTTTATCTCAATATAATTCCTTTTGACCAGGCACTGACCTCTTGAAGAAGCTTGGAGACACGTGGGATTACTTCTACACGGAGATCCTGCCTGACCTCCAAGCGGTGCTCTACCCTCTCAAGGTGTGTACTGTTAAACCCCGATATGTGCGTGAGGATACACCTTTATTTAGTTCGCCATCTGGTTCATATTTAAGAAATAAACGACTCGTGGTTGTTGTGCCCGTGACCATATATAATTAACGAGATTATCTTCTTGCTTTACAGACAACTGGTGCTTCAATACGACAAGTAACGTTAGTGGAATTTAGAAACATCGTCATGCTCAAAGTCAGCATCGAAGGTAGTGCGTTTGTGTCCTTTTTCAAATTATTAAACATACACAAATCTTATTTTTATGTTATAAAATGCCCATTCTTATCAGATTACGTTGACAGATACATTTTAATTAAATAATACGTATTTGTATGTCTTTATTTTTTAACGCCGCACTCAGCAATATTCACGCTATATGACGGCGGTCTGTAAATAATCGAGTCTGGACCAGACAATCCAGTGATTGGTAATGTGAGCATGGCGTTAGGTAGTTTGACACTCCCATCAACAAGCCTGACCACTAGATTCGCTAAGTCACCACCTATGACCGGCATAATTTGCTGAGGAACACTTCTGACGCCGGAATCCACACACATTAAATGGTACACCTTTCGCCACAAACGTACCACAGGCAGTATATATGATACTTTAGCTGCCTATTATTTGTTCATGCTAACCTCCCATCATTTATAGTTGGCATTCCCTTCTGTAGTCATCAATCCGCCCTTGGTCCCACGCTTATGATTACAGCCGACTGAAATAGGGATCGTGTCGCAACGGTGTGTTACCTTGCTGATTGTGCATTATCGATACCCGACGTGTTGCTCATGCTGTCAACCACTTGTCCGCCTGTCCTGGCGTGTTTATGTCCCGGAAGCCGTGACATAGGTTGGCTATTGCTGACTTTGCCATTAATCAACATTCACTCCCTGATCACGATTTTCATTTATTCAATGAACCGCTTTCAGATGCCTTGGACAACCTGACCGGTGAAGTGCCTCCCTCTATCCGACAGATGCTGCTAGTTCTACAGGTGAGTTAGCAGGCTTGGTGATAGCAATCATTACCACAGAGGGGACGTTGGGTGGTTTAGTGGTTAAGGTGTTTGACCATTATGCCAAAGACCGGGTTCGAGTCCCCACATGTGTACGAGTATTGTGGTCTCGGGATCAACACTGTCTGGAATATATGTGAAGGCGACAGAAAACTCGCTCGCTGTGCACAATTTGTATTGCGAAAACAGTCATTCTGTGTTTGACCGAATATTTTCCGATTAACAAAATATTTCTTAAAGAAGACAAATAGAACACATGACGTCAGAGAATGTTGCTTCGTTTCTTACAAATATTGTAATTGGTTATATCCTCGTTACTAGAATGGTACCCGTGAAGATCCGAGGTAGAATAGGTCTTCAGCAACCCATGCTTGCCGTAAAAAGCGTCTGTGCTTGTCGTGAGAGGCGACTACGGGATCGGGTGGTCGGACTCGCTGACTTGGTTGATGCATGTCATCGTATCCCAATTGCGTGGATCGATGCTCATGATGTCAATCACTTGATTGTGTCGTCTTGACTCGAATATTTACAGACCGCCTTCAGAAAGCTGGAATATTGTTGAGTGCGGCGTTAAACAGCAAAACAAATACTAAGATGGGTGTGATTGGAAGATTCACTCTGGTTATTACCAACCCGCGTGGTGATTAGCCTAGCGGTTAAAGCGTTCGCTCGTCACGCCGAAGACCGGGGTTCGATTTACCACATGGGTACCATTTCTGTTGTCCCCTGCTTTCATTTTGCTGGGAGTTTGCGAAAAGACGGCGTAGAACCATACTCACTCTTAATTACCATCTCTCGTCAGCAACATACCCACGGTCGTGGGTTGCACTGATATAGTGACCGACAACCACAAGTGTCACTTCTTGTTTTCCTCCTATATTAAGCAGGCACGCCGCTATATAAACTACTGACGTCTTCAGAAATGTATTAATTAAACTCACACTCTTTGCGATGAATTTTGATATCATTATGACTGTTGATTTGTTTGACCAATAACAGTGGATCGAGTTACCAACATTATGAAAACTTGAGACATTATCACAGATTGACAGTTGTTCTTTTTCCTTTCAGAGCGTATGCGAGACATTTCCTGGAGAAAATTATTACAAACTGGAGAAACTAGTCGCCAGAGTCGTCGTTCCTTATCTTGGACTCCGTGGCCTGTATATGGGAAACCCCGAACCTGTCATACGCTCGTCATCACGGATTACCCCGAAGGTCACAATCACAACAGGTCGGTGCCGTTTAGTGGGAATTTGGTAAATAGGTATATGTGTTATTAGGCTGAATAAAAAAATATGTTTCTCCGGCAGTAAACATCGACGTGACGCGCCGATGCCCGGGAAACGTTTCCTTTTTAGCCTTATGTGTAAGCAGAGACCATATAATAGATCTATTATATGGTCTCTGGTGTAAGTGTGTAGGGATGCAGTTTGGGGATTTCGGACTATCACAGTAATATTAATGTAGTTAAACACTACTATTATGACCCACGTGAAATCCGGGTTAGAATTGATCTTCAGCAACACGTGCTTGTCGAAAGAGGCGACTAACGGGATCGGGTAGTCAGACTCGATACCTTGGTTGATGCGTGTCATCGCATCCCTACTGTGTACATCGAGATATATTGTGGATACATACATATACACAGAAAGTCCAGATGTGCTTGGTTGTCAAAACTCCTTTATGCACACAAGATCTTTCACCGTTCAACGGCTCTTCAGGTGTAATGAAAACTTTAACTACATTGTAGTGAAGAAAGTGACTATCATGTCACACGTCTTTAGCATCTACTCTCATGTTTTGAAGGGGGGCACGGGTGGCCCAGTCGTCTAAGGCGCCGCGATTCGCTGCGCAGAGTTGCGTCCCTTGGGCACGCCGGAAACCTATGATTGTGGGTTCGAATCCCGGTTCGCCCCGATTATGTTTCTAGGATTGTCAGCACCATACCCGTGATCGTGGGTTTCACCGAAGTGGTAAACGTCTGAGACCTGCATCACTTCGGGCTTTCCTCCCACATTAAGCTGACACGCCGCGATATAACTGAAATACTGTCAAAAGCGGCGTTAAACCCAACTTACTCACTCACTCACTCATGCTTTAAAGGGTTTTAGTTATATGACTATCAGTGTCCAGTATTATATCCATCTATAAAAATGATAGTGCGACGTCATTGATGAGGTTCTGCTGACCAATGGCAGGGTATGAAACTCCCAAAAATTTCAGCCAGACCACAGGACTGGCTAGCTGAAATACTTGCCAGCCCTGACCAAAACCTGCCTGCCCACTATAATCATATGTTTCTCAGGATAAGCTAACGGGGTTTCTTTTTGGTTACATTTTATCATTCATCTTTACATGTGAATTAATGCTTATCATCGGGAAATATTTTGAATATTTTCACATATGAAATATAACCCGACCGTCGGGCAGGGGGATTTGAAAATCTGGCAGCCCGAGTTGAAATCAACCCGTCTCGGACGGTCGGGCAGGCAGGTATTTCGAACACTGCCAATGGGTAATTGTAGTGTAGAACTATTGATATCTCGTTTGTACCTCGAAGTATACCTAGACAGCATATATTAGTGGTACAAGTGAGACACTTCTTGTCTTGAAGTAATTAGAATTTTGACGAAATCGTTGTACGGTATGGCTCACAAAATACCCTAGACGCAACGTAATGCACCTAAATGAATGTGTTGAGTGAGTGAGTGAGTTTTGGTTTAACGCCGCTTTTAACAGTATTCCAGTTATATCACGGCGTGTCAGCTTAATGTGGGAGGAAAGCCCGAAGTGATGCAGGTCTCAGACGTTTACCACTTCGGTGAAAGCCCCGAGCACGGGTATGGTGCTGACAAACCTAGAAAAATAATCGGGGCGAACCGGGATTCGAACCCACAAGCATAGGTTTCTGGTGTGCTAAAGGGACGCAACTCTGCACAGCGAATGATGGCGCCTTAGACGACTGGGCCACCTGGCCCTCTGCACCCAAATGAACACAGGACTATTGGCGTTTTGGGAAATGCGGTAACGGCATCGATGAACAATGTGACACAATCAAAACGAGTCTAATATTAAAATATTTATGATTTTGTTCTATTTTCAGGAAGCACAGAAAGTGTGTCGAAAGAGCATGACAGACTTGACGAGACAAAACACACATGGTCTCCAGTAATGACCAAAAAACATGCTCACAGGTTCGGAAACGGTCTCCATGGTAACGCCAAACTCGCACCGGTGTTTGAACATGTATATGACGGCGGAAGAAGACATAGTATAATATCCTAGCATCAGTGTATCACGCAAGTGTGAGAATCATTCAGTATGGCAGCTGTGTCGCCGTCTTTCACCAAACACGTCACACGTCTTTGGGATCTTCAATCAATCTTCGAAGAGTTATCGAACCTGTTTCGCCTACAGGTGGAGTTCAAATACAGCTATCCAATGGGGAACTAACTCCGGAATTTGCTGCCCTCAAAGAAGCCATGTCCGATGACCACTGGTATTAGAAACAACACTTGTGTTTTTATCCTGAGAAAAGGGACAGGACCTTCGGAGACCTGGGATTCGAGAATGACAAGGATGGACTCCGATGCATCACCTTCGAGATAAACAGTACGAGGCAGCTTCGTAGGCGATGTCATTCCGAGACTATATGTATCCTGTTGTTGTGGGTGACGCTGTTCGTTACGTGTGTGTCGTTACGGAAGCTGTTTCAAAGTCCCAGCCCACATTTTGGGAAGCGGCAGACTTGTGAAAAATATTGGATTTGCTTGCTTGGACATGGAATTACCTTCTTCATTGATGAAGTCTTGCTCAATGATAGGACGTGTAGTACATCCACTCTTGTCTTTCATGTACATAGCAGTGCCTGTGTGTCAGTGTCATATCATTCCGAGTGATAAAAGCATTACGTTGTTGTCCTCACCATGATAACAACAAAACATGATAACAACATTACACGATTTGCCAAACATGCAAGTTACCCAGAACGTCTCAAACGGATCATTCTTCTGAGTGCTTATGTTGTTCGAAAATGCTTCTCCGATGTACAACTTATTATATATGATATAATGACTACGATGTCAACCCTTATCCAACACCTGTGTCATTCTTGTGAATGTGTTGCTCTATTACATACATGGAAGATGAAGGTTTTAAACCAAAGCCATTTCTTAAGGCATTGAAGGCGGGCATGTATAATATGTCCTTTTACATCATTTGTGGACAGTAGTCTCAGTGTATTACAAATACGGACAATGCTGTTCTTTTATAAAGACTTTATCATTCTTGTTCAATTTCGTGTGTGTTAAGTTCAGAATATGTGGAAGGGGTAGGTATATGTAATACACGTACACACAGGACTTTGATTGGAAATGACACATATCAGGGCCAGATGGTTCATCTTCAACATGCATTCTGTGCCTATTCAGCGAGCTAGTACTGGAAGCCATCCAGGATGCGTTGGGGCATCTTGCTTGCTATTTACGACCATGCCAAATATAATTTATATTTATCATATATGAAATATGTATGCACAATGTCGGTACTGAAACAAACATGGCGGTCATGTGATAACTAAGTCATTCCAGTTCATGGTGTAAAAATATGTTTCGGATGCAATAGCCATCCAGTGATATTCCTTAGTTATTTATTTATTTTGTAAAGGCAAGACTGATTTGTTACAGAGAGATAATTTTGTTTAAGTATTAAATATATTCAAAATGAAATTATTGAATGTTGTGTCGTTGATATTGTATTTCTATTTCGTGTTGAATGGATGTGGAGGAGCTGTTGGTAAGAGAAGATTAAATAAATGTTCGTGCACTATATTCAATTAAGTACGAAAGAAACAATAGTAAAAAATTATTATTATTATCCATATTATAAGCGTCGAAACCCTTGCCGTAATCATTAGAAAGGAGTCCTTTATAACATTCCGAATATATTATTGGTATTAATTGTTTATAAATGACTATGAAATAGTCATGATACCAGGTGTTCGCGAAAAGGTGAGGCATCCGTAACAAACACATGCAACGGCAAGTCAAGTGTTCACATAAACAAACACGGGAACACATGGTAGAAGTCAAAATAGGGAATTGCATGAGACACCATTTTGGTCACTGATGCGTCAAATTTGGAAATGTCCTCCACGTATCTACATAGAGCCAGACCAAACAACTAGAGGGAAGACGCTTTTTCAAATCTTCGTAGAAAGAGCATGATCAGGTAATGCAGACACCAAAGGCTTGAGCTGTTGGAATATTGCTCGAAGGCTGACAATTGGCAAGTCGCACACTTGACTGAACAAAGGGAAGGTATCCATACCGACAACCTTCCAGATCTAAAACGTGATGACAACTGTATGTTGTGGAAACCAAGGGCTATATTTTGGTTGGTTTGTTTATTACTCCTCAGCCAGCAGTATTCACACGTGTGTGTGTCATGTAGGGAGACATTGATCTGTTATGCCTGACAAATTAAGGAGTCTCTACCCAATTTCACTCTCTTAGAATTAACGTCTGTTTCCATTAAGGTTTCGCACCACTCCATAAACAGAATTATTGGATCAGGCTCTGTGGCTTAAACTGTAGCTAGTCAAGGGCCTGGACACCGTAACTCCCACACGTTTACATGGCAGTTTGGTTGTAAGTTTTGGACAAACGACCTGACTAAGCTTTACAGGTATCGAGAATATTTTGATGCGAGGCATCAACACGGCTGCAAGCACTTGGTTCGTCAAATTCAATTTTCAATAAAATATTTTCCCAAAATATTTAATCAATACAGGCATGATTTAAAACAATATGGACAATACTGGTTTCAATTCTTTCCCTGTTTCACATCTTTCTCACATCATGGTCAATTACATCTTGAATTTGACACACAATGTCTCCAAACTAAATGAGTGAGTGAGTATGGTTTTATGCCCATTTAACCAATACTCCAGCAAATATCACAGCAGGGGACACCAGAAATGGGCTTCACGCATTGTACCCATGTCGGGAATCGAACCCGGGTCTTTGGCGTTACAGGCGAACGCTCTATCCACAAGGCTACCCTCAGTGCAACCCCACAACCCCACCCCAACCCCACACCCCCTGTACATGAGCGCAGTAAGCAGTAGACTATTTAGGTCAGGTTGTATCCCTGGCAGAGGTTATTGACTCACTGTGATGTGACTGAAATAGTTGTTGACTGAGATGTGAAATGACCATTTAGCATCATTTACCCTTACTTGGAAAATTGCATAAACATATATATAAATACAAATATTTTATTCCAATAACCTAAACTGACGAGCCAAAGAAACAAAAACAGATCAATACCAATGCCGACGCCGGGTGTTCGGTGTGATGAGCAAAAGCGTGAACCACTAGGCACCCAACACCTGCCTACGTTTAAGTCTCATATTCAATTACAAATAATGATGCCCATATATTAAGCCATAATGTTTTCTGTAAGTTATGAATAACTACTGACCAGTTTTGTAATGTGAAGACTTCACATCCGCATCCAGAGGGTAGTGTAGGGATGGGCACCCCTCACCCCTACTCCCTCCCTGTACACACCCACCCACCACTTTTTGAAACGTGCTTGACATTCAGTGGAACAGTATCATAAACTCAGTTGCTGAAGTGTTTAACAAAAATGACACGACTATCAAAATGATTCTTGTGAACCCCGTTTCCAAAACCTGTATCCGCACTTGAACATGATCTCCCCATTAACAGTAAGATGTTTATATTTACGCTTGAGACTACCAGACAATCAAAGAGTCTCAATGTTTTCAAACAGACTTGCTAGTACCACCCATTGGTCTGAACAATGTATCTGCTCAGTGAACCATGCTTGTGAGTCTCTGATTATGTTGATTACAGGTGAGGTAGATGACACGATGTTACAGGTAAGACAGGTAGATGACACGAGGTTACAGGTGAGATGGGTAGATCACACGAGATTAGCGTCCTTGGCAAGTTTGTAGAACAAACTGTCCGTGTTCTGCAGCATATTGGACGGGGAGTCGAAGTCCACCACTCGGCCCTGGTCAAGGACAATAATTCTGTGGAAGAAAGGGATGCCTTTATCTGGATTCTCGACATACATAGCGAATCGATCTCTGTTACTGGATTCTGCCACTATGATACAGTAACTGACACCGTTCATAGCCATTGACGAGTGCCACTGCTTGCAGTCATGTACTCAGTCAGGTATTACTGGGTCGATGAAAACTGACCGAATAAACCGATGAATAACAAACTTGGATGTAAGAAAAAGAACATTATCAAGAGCCTTTTGTTCCAAACCAAGTCACAAGACTAACGTGGCTTGTGCACGTATTTTTCCCACATTACCTGGCCAATCTCATCACCCCTTATGCACCAGAAGGACAATCAGCTAACAACCATCTTTGAGAGTACCAAGAGTCCAAAGATCGCTTGGACAAAAATCCTTTTCTTATGTTGCCAATGGATCTCAAGACTTCACCACAGAACTGTATATATGTTTCCCATCAACTAGCCCTATGAGCAAACACTTGGTGGATTGAACTTGGTGCTTTATAAATGGACAAAAGTAAGACAGCGAATGGGACTTCGCCCAGGAATTTCTGCCCAGTCGAATCCACCCCGAACTCTTAGGAGAATGTGAAGACTCCTCAACACTGCAGCCTTTTGCATTACCAAGATTGTCAAAAGGGTTGTATTTCTGGCAGCAAACACGGGTACGCTCCCATTGTCAGTCAACAGTTTGGGAGGTACCACACCTAAGGCACCGAGACTAATGGGTAGTCGGACAATTTGGAACTAAGGATGCAAGCGTGACATTTCGAAAGCGAGGTCCGCATATTTGCTTTTTTTCCTTCAATCTTGTCAATCACATTAGTGTCAAAAGGGACAGAAAATTCAATGATATATATGATTTCATTGGATTTATCCAAAAGGACAAGATCTGGTTTATTGGCCTGGATAAATCTGAGGCTATATAAGGGCCTATTCCCAAGAATTTTATATTTAATATTTTCCGTGACGCCCTCTGCATATTCTGGGTCCTACTATGGATGGACCTCCGTGTCAAAACCACAAGCCTGGCGGAGACGGTAAAAAAAGGATCGACCCACACCATCATGTCGCTTAATATAAGATACTGTGTTACAGCTGGGCATTCACTGACAATGTGTTGGACAGTCTCATTAAATTTACTGCTTAACCTACATTTCAAATTTACATTTTGATGCAAAAGCACACATTCACGGTTTCGAGTGGGAAGTGACTGGTCCTGGGCAGCAAGCAGAAAGCCTTTTGTTTCACTTTTCAGGACAGCCGACTTCATGCAGGCGAAGGACTCTGCAGGGTTGCTCATGGTTCTCAACAGACTGCACATCATATCGATGCAGTGGTCGTTCAGATAGTCTCTTCTTGAAAATCTGGCCCGATTTGATATGGCACTTTTCTTGGTTGCCACTGTACCGTCCAGCAGTAAAGAATCATCAACAATATTAACTGACATCTGAAATCATGTCCAGTACATCCTTGGCTACTTTAAGAAAACTGTGGAATGCCTTGTTTCCGTTATGAGTCTTGACATGCTTCACAAGAGGAATATCAGAGAAATAAATGTGTGCACTAGTGCACAATACAATTCTATCACGAAGAGCCTCCACGTTTATCAAACCACGCCCTCCCATTGTATGTTAGGTAAATATAAGCGAATGAAATATGGAGTCCTCCAGAGTTGGCTGAAATGACATAGAGATGAGGCGTGTCGAATGTCACCTACCTGTCGTAATCCATGACGGTGTTGAGTCTGTGGGCGATGGTGATGATGGTGGAGTCGTGGAACTCGGTTCTGATGGTTTCCTGGATGAGGTCGTCCGTTTCCATGTCAACGGCCGCCGTAGCTTCATCCAGAATCAGGATCTTGCTCTTCCGCAGCAGACAGCGGGCCAAACACACCAACTGACGCTGTCCCACACTGCGAGGATAACAATATACGGAAGTCAGGCTGCAGAACACTCACTAAAACACTCTCCTACCCAGAGTTCCATGCGGCCGGCAGCCAGCTAGCATAGTACCTCTGCCACAGGCCAGCGCCATGTGACGATTCGTCACATCTTTCACAGTCCATTCAAGATATTGCATATGCTTTCCATCCGTTTCATGTTTGACAAGTCTACACATTTTCATAAACAAATGTCAAAGAATGGTTAACTTTCGTTGAGAAAGTATGCAAATACGTAAAAATCTACTTGTTTTTGCGTAGTTATCCTATGTTTACATTGGTTGTACGGCTCCACGTGCTGTCATCGAAGCCCAACGGAGAGCTAGCGACACGGTCACTTTGATGCATAAATATATATTGTCATGCAACTCACTGTCGCAGTTGTAGTAGCATATATATATAGTTATGCAAAACAATATGTAAAGCGCCCCAAAATACTTGCATTAGTCCGTTCTATACTGATTTCTGAAAAAGCGCGTTTGTTTACAAACAAGAGAAAAGTCCGGTCACGTGATATGCAAATTAGCCTGTGGCAGTGGTGTTATGCTGAGTCACCACTGCGACGGAGTGTGTCACTAAAACAATCTCTCGGGTACCAACAGCATTTATTATCGGTATCTAATTTTACTCCCGTCTCAATTTCTGGCTTCATCTTGAAATACGGGAGGGCATGTTATTTAACACCGCACTCAGCAATAGTCAAGCTATGTAAGTGAGGTTGTAAATAATCTAGTCTTGGCCCGGTAAACCAGTGACTGAAAACATGAGCAGACCCCACGCAATCAACCGAGCCTGACCAAATCTATGCAATAAAACCCCGTACAATCAATATATTGATCATTGGTACCTTTATTACCAGTGGACAGTAAGGTTACTAGTTAAAGCCCCATCTGCGGTAGTAACTACCGCACTCTAGTGGGCGGAGCTTATACAAGTGATTTGACAGGTCAATATGACGTCATGATAACACATACATTTCATTGGCTAATGCGTAAACGGGTGACGTCATGTAAACACCCACCCACGTGGGTCGTTTGACAACAAGGACGTAAGTTTTAATGGTAATATAAATATCTACCAAACGATTCCAAGACTTTTCAACAAACGCGTACGTCTTTGGTTTCAAAACCTACCTGCCATGTAGTCTTCACATCTTCATAAAATGATACCGTGGAATGTCCACGATTTATCCAACACACAAATTATAGTTCTAGATCTTTGGACTAGAACGAAATACATTTGTCGTGATGCATATGAGCAGTGTAAATGAAGAAACATAATATGTGTTGGGGCACCAATCGCAATCCTGTGGTGTACGGTATATCTGCAGTTTATAAATAGCATTTCTCACAATATATACAGTAATCGGTGATTTCAACAATGTTTTTCTTCGTTGTGTTCGTCTTGCCTCATCTGGAATCTGGATGACAACGATCGTGTAAAAAACCCTGGTAATGGTCAAAAATATTTTCAAGTGATCAAAGTAGTTTCTTGTCGTTTTTTCATTGCCCAGTAGCAATGTATTTTGGCAAAGTCTCACTTGTCCGATGAAGCTCCTCATGCCGAAGTAACTCGATCCGTGAAACTTGGTGGGTCCCAGTGACCCAAATCCATGTTGATTGGCATGCCAAGTGTCATTTGCATAAGGCCATCCATATTTTTTGTATGTGTTTCTCCCCTCAAGCCTCAACTAATCAGAGACCGGGCGGACGAAATAAAATATATGACTTATCAAAACATGTCTTTCAATAATTGTGTAAGTTATTTGATGACATTTTAAAAAAAGGTTCAACACTTGGTACTAGAATCTAGTCTATGAATTAATTTATGATGTAGATCGATTCGCTTTGCTTCGGAAACGAATTTTTAATAAACAACGGAACAAAGATAAAGTTGACCTGGTTCTTTTATGACGGTGCAATTGTAGATCTAGTAGTATTTCTTTTATTAGATCGGTGCGCAATTTTCCACAGCGGCAGCAAAATTGAGACACGAAGACATTACATTATTTCACGTCGGAATGGAGATAAAAATATTCAAATACGGACAGCCTCACAGGCTTCGAAACGATGTTCAGATAAATATTTGTTCACATTAATTCTGTCATGTGCGTGAAAATGGGTTTCAACATTACTTTCATCAAGCTTACATTCAGGTCGCTGGCTACTTCGGCATTAACACATGTTTTGTCTCGAAGCTCAAAGAAACAATGTTTCTCTCAGATACATTTTTCTCTCCATCCATGACGAACATCTGTCATAATGTCAATGCCTAAACATTCCTGGGCAGCTGATTTCAACAATGTAATACACACTCATTAACGGCGTCATCGCAAAGATTCCTTCCAAATACCCACCACGTGATCAGGGTTACGACCTTGGGATAAATTAATAAATTATTTTGCATTTTTAGAAAAGATTTGTTTTCGTGAATATTATTTTTTTTTAAATATCCTGTACATGGTACTTTTGGATTGCACTGGGCATTTCTTTTATTAATTTCTAAAACTTTTTATTTTCGCCTTTCCGACCACGCGATCTCCTAGCAACCACGCCCCATGAGCACATCGAGTTGCTGCTTACAACTGTCAAGAACTTTGCAATTTCGCTTGTCTTCAATATGAGCAACAAAACATTTTCATATGAAGCCTAATTTGACGAAGAATTGTTCGAGATAATCAGGGAGCCTTAGGTAATTTCGATTATGACATTGGTGACTTTATCGTGGAGAAAGTTCCAATTCAAGATGACATCATTCCGATTCACAACTCGAATCGACAAGATGGCGCCTCTCTTCCCGCCCTTGCAAGTGCAACAGAAACTTTGATAAATTCAGTGCCGATTATTGGGATTAGTGAATCAGTGTCACAGCTAGATTTCATTGTGGAACCAGATGAAGCCGAATATGTATGTTCACATTTCTTTTGTCAACCATGCGTGACACGGCACAGGCAATCGCAGTTAGGGAATGGTGCGGCCACCATGTTGCAGAAATTCGTCGATTCGAACACATTGCTTCTGGACTGAGCTAAATAAACGAAATGTTTGGAGAGATCGTAGATACTTGGACTTGAAGAAACGGAAATAAACGTTGCAGAAGATGAAGGATCGGTGTGGACAAAACGGGAAAGGGATCCCAGATTATATTTTAAAACTTGTGCGCGAAGTGTATCCAAATACCCCGAACAAAAAATACATGGGACAAGTGTGGATCTAATGATCAAACTCAGTTTTGTGTGTGAAAATTCTGTGAAAGAAAAGGAAATTCATAATTAAAGTTGTCTTGGAATATGTGTATTGGAGTTTTCGTTTATCGTAAGTACAATATTATCTGGATACGCCTTCAGTAGGTCAAAACATCAAGTATATTTCGTTACTTATTTACCAGTTGCTTATGTGCATTGTTATGTTAACGTTGATACACGTGACATATTCATCTATTGTAGTCAAGCTGAGAAATATTGGCGCAACTTCTGGTGCTTCAAATTAGGCCCCTTCCTAAACACTAGTTTAAAAATCTGTGTAATAATTTAGGTTTTATAAATATAAACTGATTATTGTGTGGCACAAATCTAATTGTTGAATGCAAATGACCAAAACTAAACAAATATCTGTATTTTTCGGATTGAACTCAAAGAATCGCGTCGTCAATTTCGTATTTAAATATCGTTACTGTTACATTAACCGAAACTGATGTTCTGCTGCTGTTCTGCCGTAAAAATATGCAACACAATTCACTTTGACCACAAATGCATTGAATGTGTCACATGTACACATGACCATGTGCTTTGCTATTTATAGCGCAACCGTAAATAAGCTCCGCCCACTGTGATTGATGCAGACGCCAAACACGATCGATACGATTTTTTATGATAAAACTACAGAAAATCTATTGACTTATATCTTGATATGGAGCCATTTGTTGTATCCATGGTTTGTCATTCAAGTTGACACGAAGTTTGACGGTCAATGGTGATATGGTTCCCTTATGGTTTTCAAAAAACGTCTCCCGACACTCGGTTGTGTTTACATTGTCAGTCATTGTTCGAAACTGAAACACCGCCACCTTGCGGGCTATTTATAGTCAGGGTGGGGCTTTAAGTAACTATAGAAAGCTACAAGCTCTCTCTATTCTTATCTTGAAATTATCGCCCGGGAAGAAGGAAGTCCGGGTTTACCAATAGTGGTTTTCTTTTGCAGTTTTTCGCAATTATTCGTATGAATGGCCTCACCAAAAGTGAAAATAGCTTTACCAAACGTGATAACAGTTTTACCAAATGTTGTTACGGAAATTTGGTTCACCTGAGATTTTCCCCTCCCTCGCCACACGGATACTCCAGGCCGCTGGACAAAGAGTCCACAAAGTCCTTCAAGTGGGCTTGACCCAAGGCTACCCAGATTTGAGCGTCCCGATACTGACCGAAGGGGTCCAGATTCATCCGAAGAGATCCACCGAAAATCACCGGGTCCTTTTCATATGAGAAAATTAATTTATGACCCATATTAAATTACGAAAGCCTAATGGTGCCACTTTGATACCATAATTTTCTCTTTTTCAAATCGAAATTTCTCGTATTTTCATGTATTTGTGAAATTTTGAGTTCTGAAAAGAAAGTTGAGAAATAATCGAAATTTCGAGTTATTAAAAACTAACTTTAAATAACGAGAAAATACGAGAAATTTCGAGAAAATAATTGAAATAACGAAAATTTCGTTTTAAAAAACAAACAAACTATGGTACCAAAGTGGCATCATTAGGCTTTCCTAAGAAATAATTCAGTTCATAAAAATCGTATGAGTACCAAATTGAATGCTAACAGCATATAATGGGTAATATAGCTCTGGAAATGCAAGAAGTCGGACACTGAAAATCAATGACACAATCCTCATATAATAATCTCTATATATCGTTATAAATATTCTGGTCTACCAAGTATGATCTTAGTAAGCTACATCATATAGATGTATATATTTGACTGACATATGTGGTTTATTTATGTTCTGCAGATGGAAGGACGACCCTTGAGGTCACAAGATCTTGATTCCAGTGTTCCACTGACAATGACAACACAGGCCTACCTTATCACAAATATATTACAAGAAATGACCCACGTTTTTGGCAATACAAGTTTGAGCATCCATGTAGTGGAGAGATGTTCAGATAAATGTCGGTTTACGCATCTTTTAGTAATCCCACGGCAGCAATACGAGGGGGGCCCTCGAAATGAGCTGTTTAGAATCATGAATGAGTGAATAAGGTTTTACGCATCTTTTAGCAATACACCAGAAATACAATGGTGTACCTGTGTCGGGATTCGAACCCGGGCCATCGTCTTGACGAGCAAACCCAAGGTTACCCTGATTCATCTACGTGCATCAACGAGTTTCTACTGGTGCCTACCTGTGGGAGAATGGTAAGCTTCTCCCTGAGATCGTGTAGGCCCAGCTTGCCCACGCTGTACCCGTCTATGAGGATGTCCCCTGATGCTGCCTCTATCAGTCGGAACAACGCCACTGCCAGAGACGATTTCCCCGCCCCCGTACGTCCAACAATGCCGACCTGGAAAGTGAGAGTGAGAGGGTTAAACCCGCATTCAACCTTTTTTCTAGTGTGTCACGTATTCGGAGGTCACTTATTACATCTTTGGAGAAGTCCACGTGCTATGGTACTGATAGATCATAAGTGGGGCTAATCTTTGATTCGAACCCCCGAGCTTCCAATTGTGGCTCCTTATTTCAGTGGGCCACTCGATGCTCCAAAATAATCAGTGCAGCTTGAGTATTTTATATCACAAAATAGTCAAGTATGTATGACCTATGGTATTATCAATGTCTCCATATTCATTCCAATCCTATTTCGGTGTTTTTTTAATAATAATTTAATAATAATAATTGATTTGTAAAGCGCCTAATATCCATCGACAGTTGCTCACTGGCGCTGTGACAAAGTTAAAATGTAATGTCTATGTACATATGCCAACAATCAGGAGATCTATTGAAAAGCTGAAGTGAAGAAGTGGGTTTTGAGGAGAGACTTAAACGTTTCCTTAGAAGCAGAGTTTCTCAGAATCAAAGGCAAAGAGTTGCATAACTGTGGACTGCAAAAGGAGAAGGCACGGTTAGACATAGCAGATGTAGACAGAGGCTGATACAGTAGAGTTCCACCAGAGGATCGGAGAGCACGCTCTGGCGAGTACAGGGATATAAGATCTTTGAGATAGTCTGGATGATAGTGAGTGATGATACATATCTTATAGTTTATACGAAAGGAGACTGGAAGCCAATGTAGTGCTTTGAGGACAGGACTGATATGATTGGACCAATATTTTACCTAAATATATATCAAAATGAGATAACAAATGAAAGGAACCCAACTAATTCAAAACAATCCAAATATTCCAAACAATCCATTTCAATCCAAATAATCCAAAAACAATAAACGGAAGTCATGCAACACTGAGATATCTGGAAACGTGTGGAATGAACGGTTTTTTCGCATGTTCTGTCCACATTTGTCAAGGTAGCGTTTCCTTACAGTGATTTCCTACTCGCAGTTACCTTTTCTTTGGGGGCTATCCGACAGGATACGTCTTTCAGGACCAGCTCGAGTCCAGGGCGGAACCTGGTGCTGTAGCGGTCAAACTGGACTTCGCCCTTGTCCGGCCACTCAATGGGAGGACGGGTAGAAAATACCCTTAACGCGGCCTGAAAGAGAAATTCAGGTAGATGATATGCAGAATATATATATGATGATGTTACTACCGAGTAGCATATACATAATGTACTTGTGTAGAGAAGAATATGCTTGTATAGTGAGGAATATGGTTCGATACCAAGCCCCATTGGTACATCTGTGTATTCTTTCAGTCTCTCAACTTGTTTAGAAAATTAGGTAGTTCAATACTCACCTCCATTGGTACCTCTGTGTATTCCTCCAGACTCTAGACTCGTATAGAGAAGGATAAGATTCAATACTCACCTCCATTGGTACCTCTGTGTATTCCTTCAGACTCTAGACTCGTATAGAGAAGGATAAGATTCAATACTCACCTCCACTGGTACCTCTGTGTATTCCTTCAGACTCTAGACTCGTAAAGAGAAGGATAAGATTCAATACTCACCTCCATTGGTACCTCTGTGTATTCCTTCAGACTCTAGACTCGTATAGAGAAGGATAAGATTCAATACTCACCTCCATTGGTACCTCTGTGTATTCCTTCAGACTCTAGACTCGTATAGAGAAGGGTTAAGATTCAATACTCACCTCCATTGGTACCTCTGTGTATTCCTTCAGACTCTAGACTCGTAAAGAGAAGGATAAGATTCAATACTCACCTCCATTGGTACCTCTGTGTATTCCTTCAGACTCTAGACTCGTAAAGAGAAGGATAAGACTCAATACTCACCTCCATTGGTACCTCTGTGTATTCTTTCAGCCTCTCCACCGCCACAATCTGAGTTTCTATGTCGGAGGTTAGTCGCACTAGCCAGTTGAGGCTGATGGTAATCTGGAATACACAAACTCTCAGATATGACTGTCAGTTTCATTATACTAATGAGATATTCAAACAAAATATGTTCAGGTAATCAAGGCGCGGTTACACATTGTCATGGCAACGAAAACAATTGTTCCAATCTTGATATTATTCAGTTAAATAAATTCAGGAGGTAACTATCATAATCCCCACTAACCACTATGTTAGCTGCGGGTACACTGAACTCAGAAGCGTGAGATGAGGCGCTGTCTGACTTTGCTTGATTTGGGAGATCCGCCATTCCAAACTTTCGCAAACGTTGGATTAAATTGAAATAGTAATCGACGAGTCCTTTTATCATAGCATGTAGCATACTTGGCTGAGTGTGAATTGATGTTTTTATACGCCTGAACACTCCAAGGAATACTAAAAGATTTTAAATTTTGGGCTTCAAAAATCTCATTTTGATAAATAAGAAAATGATCACTTAATTGTTTGTTTGTGGTACATAGTCATGAATCCTGTTCGAGCTATGTTAAAGTATTGATGTTACGATGATCTGTGCAGTAAGATCGCTTTGTGAAAAGAGGACCCAGGATTGGAACATCGTTGTGTCTCTTACGTCAAGAGCGTAGGACACCGAAAGTCCTATGGTGCCACCGCTGATGGAATCCTTCAAGAAGACAGACAGGAGAGACGCAAGGAACACCACCAGAGCTCCCAGGACCTCGATTCGGACGCCCAGCCATCTACACAAACATACCATGTGGAATCCACTTGTTGTTACATTCAAAAACACACTTGTATTTTCCCCATCCAATAACTCGGTAACGCCATGATGATGCGTTGTGTGGCGGGAGTACTGCTGTGTGGCGCCAGGCAACAAACCTTTTTATGCAAATTGTGCGATTGGAGGAGGCTACCCGTAGGACAAGACATGATTACCCTTTTCGCGAACACATGGGGTCATCACTTGTTTTCAATTATCCATCCATATACTTTCCACTGTTATTATTACTTTTACTCCCAGTTGGTTGTTTTGTTTTGTTGTTTAACGCCGCACTCAGCAATATTCCAGCTATATGACGGCGGTCTGTAAATAATCGAGTCTGGACCAGACAATCCAGTGATTGGTATCATGAGCATCGATCCACGCAATTGGGATCGCTAACGTGCATCAACCAAGTCAGCGAGCCTGACCACCCGATCCCGTTAGTCGCCTTTTACGACAAGCATAGTCATCTTTTACGGCAAGCATGGGTTGCTGAAGACCTGTTCCCTCCCTGAATCTTCACGGGTCTTTACTCCCAGTGGAATCTGTTTCGTGGGTTATTCCAGACTGGTTATGCAATGACTTTAACGTTTTATATCTGCCATATAAATGTCTTACCAGGGATAAGGTAAACAAATATGCATGTAGTTGAAGAACTGTACACTAATTCTATCATGTAGTCCAGTTTTAATCCCGCCATTACAATAGTGCTCCACTGCATGGTGATGTAATTCAGTCCTGCGCGAACCTGACCACAATGAGCGAGACGCCGAAGGACGAAGTATTATACAGACTCTTTTAACTCACTATCAAATCAGAAAGGTACCGTACCGGAACATTTGGAAGTACAGTTGTGAAAGTTATTGGAAGTGTTTGATTTACTGGACGCTTTTATTTTTATCACATCACTAAATGTATCTGGTTTGGGCATGAAATTCAGTATTCAGAGAAAATGTGAGCCAAGAATGAGCGAAAAGAGCTGATTGTTCCAACATTAAAAGTCAATTTCTGTCTGTGATTCCACATCAAATTTGTCATCATATGTTTGTACTCTCTTTACCTGTACTTATGATAATCAGCGTGGGTAAATTGATTTCTCATGATCAAAAATGATGAAAAGTGGGTTTTTAAAATAACTCTTATTATACGATGAGCGAAGGTTAACTGATACCTGTTGGCTGTATTGGAAGCAAAAGAAAACTTCTGGTTCATGTCCACGAGTCTCTCCGAGTGTCTGATGAACCTGTTCTCGGCCCGGTACGTCCTGATGATGCTGCCACCAGACAGAGTCTCGCTGAAGTGGGCGAAGATGGGAGATCGAGTCTTGGACTCGAGACGTCGGAGCTGCCTCGATGTCGGAATGTAGAACCTCTGAAATGTGGCCACAGTGTGGTTGGTGCAGGAACAAAGGGTAAATTTGCAAGTTGTCTCATGGGCTGAGTACTGAGTACGACAAAGCGTATTATGGATAACAAATTCTTTACTGTCTAAACACAACGTTTCAGGGTTACCTCTTGCCCCTTTAGGGATGAGAGCTGATGAAGAGATGGCAATTTTATCCTCATGAGCTACATGAAAGCGACAAAACCCTTTCCATATTCAAAAGAAATCTCTCCCAAAAGCAGAGTCGATTGTATGATTCCGACTGTATCATGAGCATGTGTTTATGAATCACTACCACACAGTGATGATACCAGGTGTTCGTGAACAGGTGAGCGTATCCTTCCCCACCGGTGGCACCCGTCACAAACACACGGGAAGGCAAATCAGTTGTTTAACTGAACAAACACTGGGATATATGGTACAAGTCAACATAGGGAATTGGATCGGACATCATCGATGTCACTGATGCGTCAAATTTGGAAATGTCCTCCTCATGTCTACTTTAAACTATTGTAAGCTTTGCTGTGGCCTTGAATGTTGTAACCTTGATCACACAGCTTCTGAGTCATATGATGCTCTTTGAAATCTTGGTAGGAAGCGCATGTTCGACACCAAGAGCTTGAGCTGTAGGAATATTGATCAACATACATGTAAAGGAAGAGTTGAGGTCATCCTTCTTGTCATATATTCTTGTGGAGAGTGTTTTGTCACTCTGAATCTTTATGCATATCTAAATATGAATCAGATGAGGCGGACTCGCTGGTCTCCTTTATTTCTAGTTCATATGGGTAAATCAGTGGAAAAGAATTGCATTTTTGAAGCTTCAGTTGAACTTCTTGGCCAAATGAACTTGTTTTGACTTTGCTAATCTAGCAGAAATTTCGGTTAATGTGTATAAAGAAACAGAAGCGCAAGAAGAGGAGCATATATACAAACTAAAAATATCATCATATTTAGAGAGTCGACTGTAAAATCTTCTAAATCAGTCCCCCCTGTAGAGTTTCAGACAGTAAAGGCTGATCGTATTTGTACTTTTAATGAATACACCTTTCTCAGGCCAAACGATTCTAAAGTTTTAGCAAAAATGTCACTGTTAACTATTCATGCTGGGTGTTGTGAAAAGAAATGTTCAGCCCCTCATTTTAACCCAGCCCCCAAATATCGGCATTAAAACCCTAGGTTCATTGGTCACGTCACACAACCGGCTGCATGTACCTGTATGATGGTATAGATGATGGAGATGGGCACGACAGCTATCAGGAACAATGGCGTGGTGTAACTAACAACTAGGACAGTACTGAGTACGGTGCACACGCGGCCGATCCACATCATCAGGGTAATGGGTAACTCGTTGTCTAGAGTATCAATGTCTTGCGAGAAGCGGTTCAGAATCCGCCCCATGGGTGTGGTGTCAAAGAAGGACATTGGCGCACGCAGCACGTGAGCTAGCATGTTGCTGTGGACGATCCTGGAGGCGTGGACCGACGTGATGGCCATCAGGATAGAATACACAGTGATGGCAGCAACTGTGTAGAAATCATCCGTTAGTATTATACACAGTATTACCTCGAGAATCTGGACGGTTATTATATAGCTAATCACCAAGTTGACCATTTTGTGAGAATTATTGAAATGGTCGTCATTACTACAATGAGCCGTAAGAAATATGGTAAATTACAAAGACATACTATGCCCACCCATCACTCACTCAGACAGACTATTTGCTAATAAGACCCTTTCATTGGAAGCGACAATGCCTGGATTATAAACCTACTGCCTCTTTTGCCTGTAGTAACCTTGTGAGAGTTAGTACTTTCAGAGCTACTTAGAGGTTTTACATTTGAAATGGAGGGGAAACAGCACTATAATATCCATAAAATGTTTTTAGACTGGTTAAAAGTCACAGTTTTCAAATGGAAATTCCATGACGTGAAGCCACCTTGGTATTGTATCCTGTTTTCCCAATGAGTCAACAGGGCAGGTGATGAATTGGTGTTCAATCTTACATGTCATGACTTTAGTTGTCTGCTGCACCTGGTCTCTTTCTCACCCGCTGTCACATAATTCGTTTTAATACGCAACTTCTATATTGTTTCACTATAAGCTCTCCCGGTGATTTCTTATTCTTTCTGGTATTTCTTACATTTAGACGGTTAATTAAAACACTCCTCCTCCGTTTTGGGTTGAACATATCAAATTTCGAGTTTTTCCCTCGCTCGCGCTTTTACATTTTTAAAAAACCCTTGTAGTCGTGTTTTAACTTAAACATATACTCAACAACAAAAGTTCCTGTGACACCAATATTTTAGTGTATTTTTCAAACAAGTAAAGTTTGGTTTTCAATATTGTAGTACATGTATGGAATCAAGTCACAAAAACGCAACTGCTACAGAAAAGCATGCATTCCATGCAAAAGTTGACTTTTATGCAAGTCCCATGCATTTCACTACCCAAGAATGGGTATCAAAACGTGTGCGTTAAAGGGATTCCATATGCATTGTTCAGAATCGTGCTGACAACAACCACTCAGAAAAAAAAAAATACACAATTATTCAACATTACGAAATGCCACGCCTGTCCGAAAATGAGCGTCTGCGAGCCATTTGTATGCTTGAGGGAGGATCGAGTCAACGTGATGTTGCAAGACAATTTAACGTCCACAGAAACACCATTTGGTGTTTATAGCAGCGTTGGCAACAGACGAATGCAGTCAGAGACCTTCCTCGGAGTGGCAGGTCACGCGTAACCAATAATCGACAAGACAACTGGATTCGAACAACACACCTACGAAATCGATTCCAGCCAGCAACAGTGACTACAAGAAGCATCCCTTGCCTTCGACGAATATCGTACGTCGTCGCCTCAGATGTGCAGGGATTGTCGCCAGAAGACCCGCCAGACGTCCCATTTTGACAGGACACCGTGCAGCTGGGCGGTCATGCAGTGGGGACAAGTTCTATTTCTAAGTCTCATTTTCACCTCAGCCACAGCAACGGACGGATTCAAATGTACCGACGTCGAGGTAAACGTAACGTCAATCATTGTGTCATGGAAGAAGATTGGTTCGGGGGCGGCAGCGTTATGGTATGGGGTATGATTACAGCAAGACAGAAGACCCGTTTGATAGTGGTAGAGGGAAATCTCAATGGACAGTGCTACCGCGACGAGATCATCGGCCCTGTTTTTGCGTCGTCATGGCCCAGGCATAACCTTTCAACATGACAACGCCCTGCCTCATATTGCTCGACTTGTTGAGGATTCGCAACCAGAGGTGGACACACACGTTATTGATTTGTAAATTGACATTTTGGCATGTTCATGTTTTTTTTTTATGAAATCACGCATTTTCTGAAGTCAGTTTGGCAAATGAAACCATTTGAATGCTTACAGGTGTCTTTTATCTGTTGCAAACCGAAATTGTTTCAGATTTGGTAAAAAACATAACTTTGCATTAAATCTTATTCAATGTCGCAGGAACTTTTGTTGTTCAGTATATATTTTTACCGGCGGAGAAATTGACGGGGTACAGAAAGGCAGTCAATTTAAATGTGACACTGCTAAAATGGACCTATGACAATTGGAGACGTACAGCATGAACATTTAGAAATACCTTGAACGATTCCAAAGAGGCCATAAACTCCCATGAAGAAATCTGTCCTTTCCCGTCTTTCCGGAGTGCCGATCGGGAGGGAGGAGTTGGTCAGTTGGGGGTCATCTGTCCAGCCACTAAGCCAGATGCTGGCCGCTATGGTCCCAGCCTGGTACAGGATGAAGGACAGGATCATCACCACAGAACTCACTGAACCCAGGGCCCTGGCGTACGACACGTACACTGCCTTCTTTACCTGTGGGGGGGAATATGTGCACTGTAGAACATTATCCAATAGTTTTTAAGATTTCATTTCGATTAATTTATCTATATTAACACACCCCACTGCACTAAAACCTCCTCTGTCAATGACACACACGACTGCAAACTACCTCTATCACTGACACTCACCACACCCAACTGGACAACCTCCTCTATCACTGAAACTCACCATACCCGACCACACTATAATCTCCTCTCAGACACTAATCTCAGACACTCCCGATTGCACTATCTCTTCTGTCACAGATATACCCGTCTGCTCAACACCCCCCCACTCCCATCGCTGACGCTCAAACACCCGACTGCACAACCTCCTCTATCACTGACACTCACCACACCCGACTGCACAACCTCCTCTATCACTGACACTCACCACACCCGACTGCACAACCTCCTCTATCACTGACACTCACCACACCCGACTGCACAACCTCCTCTATCACTGACACTCACCACACCCGACTGCACAACCTCCTCTATCACTGACACTCACCACACCCGACTGCACAACCTCCTCTATCACTGACACTCACCACACCCGACTGCACAACCTCCTCTATCACTGACACTCACCACACCCGACTGCACAACCTCCTCTATCACTGACACTCACCACACCCGACTGCACAACCTCCTCTATCACTGACACTCACCACACCCGACTGCACAACCTCCTCTATCACTGACACTCACCACACCCGACTGCACAACCTCCTCTATCACTGACACTCACCACACCTGACTGCACAACCTCCTCTATCACTGACACTCACCACACCCGACTGCACAACCTCCTCTATCACTGACACTCACCACACCCGACTGCACAACCTCCTCTATCACTGACACTCACCTCCTCTATCACTGACACTCACCACACCTGACTGCACAACCTCCTCTATCACTGACACTCACCACACCCGACTGCACAACCTCCTCTATCACTGACACTCACCACACCTGACTGCACAACCTCCTCTATCACTGACACTCGCCACACCCGACTGCACAACCTCCTCTATCACTGACACTCACCACACCTGACTGCACAACCTCCTCTATCACTGACACTCACCACACCCGACTGCACAACCTCCTCTATCACTGACACTCACCTCCTCTATCACTGACACTCACCACACCTGACTGCACAACCTCCTCTATCACTGACACTCACCACACCTGACTGCACAACCTCCTCTATCACTGACACTCACCACACCTGACTGCACAACCTCCTCTATCACTGACACTCAACACACCTGACTGCACAACCTCCTCTATCACTGACACTCACCACACCTGACTGCACAACCTCCTCTATCACTGACACTCACCACACCTGACTGCACAACCTCCTCTATCACTGACACTCACCACACCTGACTGCACAACCTCCTCTATCACTGACACTCACCACACCTGACTGCACAACCTCCTCTATCACTGACACTCACCACACCTGACTGCACAACCTCCTCTATCACTGACACTCACCACACCCGACTGCACAACCTCCTCTATCACTGACACTCACCACACCCGACTGCACAACCTCCTCTATCACTGACACTCACCACACCCGACTGCACAACCTCCTGTATCACTGACACTCACCACACCCGACGGCACAACATCCTCTATCACTGACACTCACCATACCCGACTGCACAACCTCCTGTATCACTGACACTCACCATTCCCGACTGCACAACCTCCTCTATCACTGACACTCACCACACCCGACTGCACAACCTCCTCTATCACTGACACTCACCATACCCGACTGCACAACCTCCTGTATCACTGACACTCACCACACCCGACTGCACAACCTCCTCTATCACTGACACTCACCACGGCCGACTGCACAACCTCCTCTATCACTGACACTCACCACGGCCGACTGCACAACCTCCTCTATCACTGACACTCACCACACCCGACTGCACAACATCCTCTATCACTGACACTCACCATACCCGACTGCACAACCTCCTGTATCACTGACACTCACCATACCCGACTGCACAACCTCCTCTATCACTGACACTCACCACACCCGACTGCACAACCTCCTCTATCACTGACACTCACCACACCTGACTGCACAACCTCCTCTATCACTGACACTCACCACACCCGACTGCACAACCTCCTCTATCACTGACACTCACCACACCCGACTGCACAACCTCCTCTATCACTGACACTCACCATACCCGACTGCACAACCTCCTCTATCACTGACACTCACCATACCCGACTGCACGACCTCTTCCTCTATCACTGACACTCACCATACCCGACTGCACAACCTCCTCTATCACTGACACTCACCTCCTCTATCACTGACACTCACCACACCTGACTGCACAACCTCTTCCTCTATCAACTTGTTCATATCCTTTATCTCCACCCTGCTGTCCTTCCTGTCTCGCTTTACTCTTGTGGAGGAAGACAATCCTTCTAGCAGAGAACCCCTGAAAGCGTATCATAATGATTATGGCTTATGTAAACATTATTGGGGCATGCTTGGGACATTTGTTTCCAATATAATTACATGATCCAAATGTCCAGTGCAATTTGTCAAAAATACAAAAGTCATCTAAAGTTTACAATATGTGAAATTCTGGACTTCCTCAAAGATAACATCTAGGCGAAATTTTGGGATATGACATTTAGGCAAAACGTAGGCATACTCATGGACACCAGTCTGTGTTCCCCTCCTTGCTGTTCTGCCTGTTTATGCAGGCGGATAGGCAAAATTAAAACAAGGGAATTCGGTTAGGAAGTTTAACTTTAGCGTCAGGTATATCGACTATTGGATATAGTTCAAATATCCCTTCCACTTATTTACCCATCTGAACTAGAAATAAAAGAAACCAGTAAAACCGCCTCATCACATTTATATAGGTGTGCATTAAGATTCAGGCACAAAAAAAATTATACACAAGACTCTATGACAAGAGGGATGACTTTCAAATAGTTCACTTTCCTTTTATGTCGAGCACTATGCCAGCAGTTCCAGCCTTAAGCATCTACATTTCACATCTGTGGAGGAACAATCAATCATGAAGGTGTCAGAAAATGTCATGTGACTTTTGCTCAAAAGATGTTTGATCAGGGTTACAACATCCAATGCCTTGGTAAAGCTATTAAACCGTTTTATGGTGACATGGGGAGGACATTTAAAAAACAAACACCATCAGTGACCAAAAGGATGTCCGATGCAATTCCCTATTTTTACCATATGTTCCCGATCCGTTTTAGGTGAACAGTTGTCTTGCCTTTGTACGTGTTTGTGACGAGTGCCACCGATGGTGCTGAATACGGTTTCCCTTTCGCGAACACAAGGTATCATCACTGATATAGTCAGAATCTGACAATGACTTTTTCCAATCTACTGGTTATGTGAAGGGTTTTATGGGAAAGGTTTGAAATTAAACACGACATTTTAGTTTTGTAACTGCTATATTTAAGAGCAACAACATAGTTATGATCATGATCGAATAACAGACTTTGGCCGTAGATCGATGACAGGACAGGTTGTCTGTCTTTTCATGAAGCTTAGGATTTGCTTTTTTATTTGTTTAAAGTGTCTTCTGTGTCCTCGGTGACTAAAGTTGCCACAATATTTAGATTTGCTATAATGTTTCCATCGACGCTTTGCCATACCAAAGTTTTACCAAATCTTGTGTTCAATCAAAGCGTGGCCCTTTGCAATGTTCCCATCAAAGCTTTTCCCTGTCCATTAATTTCACCTGAACGTGACCCTTTCCGTTGCTTTTTTCAAATGTTTGTCCTTTCCATTGTCTTAATCAAAGTTTTGTGCTTTCCGTTGTTGTCATCAAAATTTGCCTTATTACTGTTTCATCAAAGCTTTGTCGCATTCACATTTTCCACGAGCTCCGCATCACATCCGATATATGATCCCCATTAACTAGAAATATGAACTTCGTTTACCTTCTCAATTTCTCTATTGTTCGGTCAAATTCTTCGGCTGACTTCTCCAGCTCGCTGTCCGTAGTATGGAGCACCTTCAGTCGCTCAAATACCTCCTTCTCCATCTCCTGAACTGGACAAAAGCTACAACTTTAATTAAGAGAATTACCTTTTGAAATCTTAAAGATATTACAAATACAATCGACTTGTATACACACTGAGCAAACACTAAGCCTTTTTTGTGGATACCCTCCTAGAGCTCATTGGATACCTTCTACTAATGACTAATGTTTGGCATGGCTGACTGTGTGCCACCTTGTCCCCGTGGCGTGGATCGATGCTCTTACTGTTTATGACTATTTACACGACTATGAACATGATGCTCCCTCCATCCATCCCTCCCTCCCTCCCTCTACCTCTACGTCTACCTCCCTCCCTTTCCCCCTACCCCTCACCTCTCTCCCTCCCCCCTCTCCCTCACTGTAGATGCTGGACTACCTCTTCCAGACACCCTTTGAAATTAATGAAATGTCATCTCAGATAAATAACATTGGACATACCAACTTCGTCTTCGGATTCATCGTCGTCTTTAGATTCCGTGAAATACGTCATCAAAAACTGAGAAAAGGCGCCATGGTGACTCATCAGCTGGTTATACGAACCAATCTCAGAAATCTTGCCACTGGTCATCACAACTATCACGTCCACCTGAGGCAGCCAATGGACTCCATGGGTCACCAGAATGCGTGTCTGTAGAATATAGACCACTAACTTAATGACAACAGTGCATGTCATTCGTATTAAATAAACAACTGGAATGAGAATCATCAAGATTACAACATGGACAGGTGGCACTATTGATCAAGTTCTATAATAATTATGACCATATTAACCCCGCTTTCTGTGCGAATGAGTGAGTGAGTGAGTGAGTAAGGTTTTACGCCGCTTTTTAGCAATATTCCAGCAATATCACGGTGGGGGACACCAGAAATGGGCTTCACACATTGTACCCATGTCGGGAATCGAACCCGGGTCTTCGGTGTGACGAGTTAACGCTTTAACCACGAGGCCACCCGACCGCCCCTCTGAGCGAATGAGGTTAGGGTATATCTGTATATGTTAAGCCCCAACAGAAATTGCATGAAAATTGCATTGGCAAATATGCCTGATTGACTATTTGTACCAGTAATAAACTGCGATAACAAAGTCAGATAAGTTTGGAATTGAGTTTTTAATGTCCTGAATTTCACTTTTGCTGCTATATCTAAGGTGCATTCTTGTCATCTGAGGCAAAACATTATTTTTTATTGCAATTTGTGAAAGCATTTTCGTACTTTTAAATCGGTCAATCTGTCAAATAATTAAAAGACATTTTCGAGCAACTTGCTTTGTGACTTAATGAATCAAGCAATTTGTAAATTGACTAGAAGTTTCAGTTGTTTTACAAAAATAGATCACATTAACCGCATCATATTTACAAAGCATATTAAACCGCGTTCATTCGTTAACGCGGATTTTTTTTTGTGAATCATTCATCGGCAATGGTCGAGTTTAACCGCAGTTGGTTTGCTCCAGGTGACCGGTCAGAAGTGCAGCAATGATACCGTTATACCATTTGTAAAGTTTAAAACAAGTAACCATAGATTACCCTTTGAGAAGGGTAGATGGATAAGATATAGCCATACGAAGTACATTGTAAGATCTAATGTCAGTGAGTTATATGTCATCCTTAACACTTATAATGCATTAAAATTACAAATGTTATCACAAACGTTATATAATTATTCTGAAAACCATGACGTAACATTATTGTTGCTGCTGATGAAGCAGCCTCCTATGTACACACCTCCGCCTATCAGTGCAATCCTCAATTTATATTTGTATTTATGGTACGCATCATCTATCATTGGGGGCGGTCGGGTAGCCTAGTGGTTAAAGCGTTCGCTCGCCACGCCGAAGATCCGGGTTCGATTCGCGACATGGTTACAGTGTATGAAGCCAATTTGTGGTGTCCCCCGCCGTGATATTGCTGGAATATTGCTAAAAGCGGCGTAAAACTATACTCACAAACTCATCTATCATTGTATGAGCTAAAGCTGTAATAAAGTATTATGAAGTTGAGTTGAGTCGATACGCTCTAGCGAGCAGTTCATTGCAATATTTTCATGGTGGTCAGCTGAGGATTACAGAAGTAAATGCCGCGTCTTATGTTATGAAATACATGGGATACGGTTGACCTGGTCTGTCCTGACCTCTATATAGGAGCCATAACACCATCATCAGATTTAAATATAAAAAGTGTGGAAACTTCAAAGGAAATGAATTCGCCCCTGATTTGAACGACCAATGAATTGGATAAAGCACGGTCATTCTACCTTATGCTGAAGAAGTCCGGTCTTGCCCACCACTTTACTGAAGATGTGTTTGCCAACATGGCTGTCCACGGCACTGAGAGGGTCGTCCAGGAGGTAGATGTCAGCATCGTTGTAGACGGCTCTGGCCAGAGACACTCTCTGCTTCTGTCCCCCACTCAAGTTGATGCCCTGATGACAAGAAAGGGAAGACATAGAATACACAGGACACAGTAGATAGCTCTGGCTAGAGACACTCTCTGTTTGTGTCCCCCCACTCAAGTTGATGCCCTGATGACAAGATAGGAAAGACATAGAATACACAAGACACAGTAGACGGCTCTGGCTAGAGACACCCTCTGCTTCTGTCCCCCACTCAAGTTGATGCCCTGATGACAAGATAGGAAAGACATAGAATACACAAGACACAGTAGACGGCTCTGGCTAGAGACACTCTCTGCTTCTGTCCCCCACTCAAGTTGATGCCCTGATAACAAGATAGGAAACACATACATGTAGCATTTTCTAGACACAGAAGACGTTAAACGACTTCCGTAATCACAAGAAACCTTCGATGTCGACTATATCATAAGCATGTGTTTATGAATCACTATCAAATAATCATGATACGAGGTGTTCGCGAGGTGTTCGCGAATGGGGAGCGTATCCTACCCCATCGGTGGCACCGTCTCATCGTATGGGGGCTCTTGGACACCTTCTTCGTAGAAAGAGCATGCTCACGTATACCTCAAAATAGTAGGGAATTATGGACACCAAAGGAATATTGGAATATTGCTCGACATAAAGGAAAAGTTGACCATGGATCGTTAAAGTAATCCCTCTTGTCCCACATTCTTGTTGAAAGATGTTTATGCCTTATAATCTTTTTGCATATATCTCAAGATAAAACAGGTGAAGTGGTTTAAATTGTCTCTTCTTTTTCTAGTTCAGATTGGGGAATCGGGGATGTGAATTGACCATGACTGAACGATATTAGATCATCGATATACCTGAAGCATAAGTTAAAACCTTTGGCCAGATTCCCCTGTTTTGACTTTGCCAATCCGAGCCGAAATTCCGATTCATTTAAAATGAACAGACAAAAAAATAGGGAGCACGGTACTTCTTCTTGCCTGAATGTCCCATCCCCAATTGGTTAGAAGCATCAGGAAATAAATTAAAGAATTTGAAAAAGAACTGTACAGTACAGAGAAGGTATAGATGGAAATGACCACGTGTGGAACGGCGACTCCACCTTTTCCCCGATCTCAGTTTTGTCGCCACCAGGCAGTATATCCAGATCCTGCTTTAGTGCGCAGGCCTCCAGAACCTTGACGTAGTTCCGCCGGTGCAAAGACTTGCCAAACAGAATATTATTTTGAACAGTATCGTTCTGTATCCAGGCTTGTTGAGGTACGTAAGCAACTCGTCCCTGCAAAATTATCAAGAGATTTACAGTTGACAAATCGAAAAGCTGAACACAACTAAGAATGTTTGAGGCAAATTTAATATAAACACCTTTATGAAACATAGTTAACCAAATTTTATGTCATTAAGATAGCTTGGATAACATAAAGCCAATAAAGGTACGTTGTTGGAAATTTATGTAAGTTTACACACACACACACGCACGCACGCACACGCACACGCACACACACACACACGAAATGGTATTTGCGGAGACACCAAGTGGATCGAGGATCGAGTCAACTCCAGTGTTACCCAACGCAGGAAGCTGTGATTACGTAGATGTTATGTTAGCACCCCTGTACCATTTAGTCATTCAGGAAACACATAAGCCCCGTTAAGTCAGACAGTTAACTCGTGATGAGTAAATCATCCTGTGATGGACACATCATGGGTTCTTAACTTCATCGATTCGTGTTGATATACTTCATAAAAAAAACAACATGGCTATGCTCTACATATCATTCAAAATCATTCTTCCAACTTTTTAAGTTGGTTAACAGTGATAAGCAGTGTCTTGAGTGTAAAAAAAGTACAATAAACAAGCTTCAGTAAAGACAGTGGTGACATTTGATTGTGACGTGATGGTAACCGATGACGTCACAATGGTCTTCAAAACATTGTGATGCAATTTTATTGGTATTATTTCCTATGACATGTCACTTGATCTCCCCAAGTGATGTGTGTGGATGACCCATATAATTTGACAGCACTCACATTGACGTTGACGTAACCGTCGACGGTGTCCATGTCGCCAAGGATGGCGGAGATGAGGGACGTTTTGCCCGACCCCACCTGGCCGACAACAGCGACCAGACTCCCCTCAGACACGCGCAACATGATACTGGGGTAGAACAGATGATGATATACACGATACATACACAGGTGGCATCATATTCGTCTACACTGCCGTGCAAAAGTAAGTGTTCACTTGAAAATTTGATTTGACCAAAACCAAAACATTATCAAAACGTTACCAGGCTGAAAACAGTCACCGAAACACTGCAGAGATAGGTACAGAACACAGCTATGCTACACGCATCAAATACATCACCATCGAATAACCATATCTTGTTTGTTTCATTTTTTAGCCACCATCAATGGGTGTATTCTTACTCTTACGCAGTTTATAATGAGAATCCCACCGGTTTTATACCGCTATATAGTGTTTGTTTGTTTGTTTGTTTGTTTGTTTGTTGTTTAACGCCGCACTCAGCAATATTCCCACCACATGACTGCGGTCTGTAAATAATCGAGTCTGGACCAGGCATTCAATGAGCAGCGATCTACACAAATGGGATACCATGACATGTGTCAACCAGGTCAGCAATTCTGACCACCTGAGTGAGAGAGTTAGATTGTTAGTCCCATCGGCAGCATTTTTAGCCATGTTGTGACTAGCACAGGTTATACACTAATGATAACTAAAAACATGTCGATAATCACTAGATACTCACAGATTTTAGTTAAAACAACTAGTATTAGGTAATCCAAAAGTTGGGGCGGCCGGGTAGCCTCGTGGTTAAAGCATTCGCTCGTCACGCCGAAGACCCGGGTTCGATTCCCGACATGGGTACAATGTGTGAAGCCCATTTCCGGTGTCCCCCGCCGTGATATTGCTGGAATATTGCTAAAAGCGGCGTAAAATCAAACTTACTGACTCACCTATCAAAAAGTTAGTATTTGAAGGGACAATATAAAACTGGGTTATAGATCGCTAACAACCAAACGTCACCATAACAGGCAACTATTTTATAATTATGAAGGATCATTGCTTGGTATGATTGATAAATACCACGATGATGTTACTTATGATTGTGAAGACGGAAAACTCATAGTGTCACCATATAGTGAGTGCGTTTGGTAAAATGTCGTTTTTCCACAGTAATGCAGTTGTTACAGCGTGTTAGTTTAATGTGGGCACAAAACTACAAAACGAAACAGTTCTTAGACCCAGGAACACAGGTATGGTGCCGACAAACCAAGAAACATAATCAGGGACAATCTGGGCTTCGAACCCAGGATCACAAGTTCTTGGCAAGACTAATTGACGCAACTCTGCACAGCGATTTACGGTGCCTCTCTATGCTATGTCTATGCTATGTGTACAACAGACATAGTGGGGTTAAATAGGGTTTAACGTCGCGTCAATTATTGCACTTATATAGCGACGTGCATGCACGTGTATGTGTGTCTCTGCTTGTTCTAGTCCGGACTGATGCTGATTTATAGTGCTCGCACACTGAGATACCATGCCGCAGTTTAACATGAATACCCCACTCAGACACAGTATACTGACTCCGAGCCGACCAGTCCCTGTTTTAGCCCCTTAATGCCGAGCGCCAGACAGGGTAACAACAAGTACCATCGTTTAACGTCTTTTGGTATGACGCGACTGGGATCGAACCCCGGACCTTCCGCTCTCTGGGCAGACGCTCTACCATTAGACCACGGAGGCGGTCGGACTCAAATGGGGTTAAATGTATGTTTAGAGTTGGACGCGTCTTTATTATCACTGGTTTGTTTTCCAGAAGACACAGAGTTTGCAGGCGTCGTCAATTTCTGTAAAAAGCGTTGTAACATCGTGTTCGATCACAACCTGTTCAGACTGGCTATACCTACTTGCTGAGTGTGGGCGGGGCGTCTGGGTCCCACGTGAAAGTCCCGTTATTTACAACCAGGGGGTAACCTGTCAACATGAACGAGCAATACAACATGGTGTTGGTCACAACATGCAGGACGAAACACGTGCTTGACATACATGGCGTGTCTTATTCTCATGGACGGATAACTGTTCAGTATTGTATACTATGGGCCCGAGGCGACATTCTGAATTAATTATTAATTAACAATTATTAATTGATCAACAGGTTCTCAACATGTAGCAAGTCGTGACTTAAATAAAAACACTTCTACATCCCCAAAATGTTGGTTCTGCGTCATGATGTTTGTCTGTCTGTTGTTTAACGCCGCACTCAGCAATATTCCAGCTGTATGACGGCGGTCTGCAAGTAATCGAGTCTGGACCAGACAATCCAGTGACTGACATCATGAGCATAGATCCAGGCAATTAGGATCGATGACATGCATCAACCAAGTCAGCGAGCCTGACCACCCGATCCCGTTAGTCGCCTCTTACGACAAGCATCGTTGCCGGTTACGGCAAGCATGGATTGATGAAGACCTGTTCTACATCATGATAAAATACTGACACTGATATACTCTGCCACTTATCTTTCCTAAGTCTGTCAGGACTGGATGCCATGAGGGAGTCAACGGTAAGGAAGAAAATACTAATGCCGGATCAGTAGCATCCATTTACACGCCCCCACAAATAACTGCTGAGAAGGTGAGCCAGATAAAAATTGGTATAAACTTCACTCAAAAAAAAGAGTACCTTTTTCACTTCTTGTTGCAGGTTTAGCTTTCAGGTCTCCACATTGCAGAAATCGGTTCACTCGGTTCACACTGATCACAGACTGTAAGTACAGGTCGTTATCACCATTAACGCAATAGTGGGTACTTTGAGGTGATTGACAGTAAATATGATATAAATACACCAGTCCCTGCTAACGACCCAAACATAGGTTGGTTGGGTTTGTTGTTTAACGCCGCACTCAGCAATATTCCAGCTATATGACGGCGGTCTGTAAATAATCGAGTCTGGACCAGACAATCCAGTGATTAATATCATGAGCATCGATCCACGAAATTGGGATCGATGACATGCATCAGCCAAATCAGCGAGTCTGACCACCCGATCCCGTTAGTCGCCTTTTACGACAAGCATAGTCACCTTTTACGGCAAGCATGGGTTGCTGAAGATCTATTCTACCCCGGATCTTCACGGGTCCCCAAACATAGGTGATGAAGTGAGACAGTCACAACCAGCAATATCGCAGCTGTAACACGGCAGTCTGGTTGATGAGACAATGACCCATGCCGTCCAGGTACGATGACACATCATCAGCCAAAGTGTCAGAGCCTCACCACCCAATCATTATTTGGGTGTCTCTTTAGACAGGCTCTGTTTGTTTGTTGTTTGACGCCGCACTCAGCAATATTCCAGCTATATGACGGCGGTCTGTAAATAATCGAGTCTGGACCAGACAATCCAGTGATTGACATCATCAGCATCGATCCACGCAATTGGGATCGATGACATGCATCAACCAAGTCAGCGAGCCTGACCACCCGATCCCGTTAGTCGCCTCTTACGACAAGCATAGTCGCCCGTTACGGCAAGCATGGATTGATGAAGACCTATTCTACCCCGGATCTTCACGGGTCGACGGGCTTTGAGTGACTGGTGTTACAATGCTCTTTGCAATATTAAGTGATATTAAGGCGGAGGGCACTCGAAATTGAATTCAGACATGTGAGAATCGAACTCGGGTCAAGGCCGGACGAGCGAGCCCCAGTCTATCCCACCTTTACACTGGGTTTTAAGTAACGGGGGGTTAGAAAGTATGATACCTTCACAAGGTCACTGAATATTTTGGGTGAGAGTGTCAGGGGATTCTTCATGGTGTTGAACAGAGAAAGACCAACGAATGCTGTGCCGGCGTCTAGGGTGTGAGATCCATTCAAAAACACATAGGCCACGAAGGTGAACAGACCGACCTGCAACACAAACACATAGGCCACGAAGGTGAACAGACCGACCTGCAACACAAACACATAGGCCACGAAGGTGAACAGACCGACCTGCAACACAAACACATAGGCCACGAAGGTGAACAGACCGACCTGCAACACAAACACATAGGCCACGAAGGTGAACAGACCGACCTGCAACACAAACACATAGGCCACGAAGGTGAACAGACCGACCTGCAACACAGACACATATCGGGGCATGGATGGAACAGATTCTGAAACAGTATACCAGAGCTCCAGATAAGCTTTTGGTGTTGTGGGTATTTTACCCATGCATTTTAAAATCATTAGGTATCAGTAATTCTATCTGGGTATTCAAATTTCTGTTACCCACTAGTTTTTACACATATGGGTATTTAAGTTAAATATTTAAAAACACTATTCATCTAGTCCCTGCAAGCTGGTGTCGTGTGGGTTCGAGAACTTTATAGGACTCAAAAATACCACGATACTTCCACAAGAAAGTGTGATGGCAAAATTTTTAATGATCGTGATGTAACTATCATCGTGGAGTTTGGCAAGGTTGACGGAATGCCCGTTTATAATTTCAAAATAAGTTACTGATTTGCTAATCGAATACGCAGGGTTACTTCACAATATTTTGATGATACGCAAAAGTTTTATTTTTGTAGCTTATCTGTAATGTTCGTTGCGTATTTGATACGCTTGGATTTTATTTTACTGCGTATTTCTGCATTTCTGATGCGTGTTTTACGCAGATACGCAGCTTATCTGGAGCTCTGCAGTATACAGAGATGAAGAATAGAACGAATGAATGAATTGAACGCAATTTGAACAGTTTATCAGCACAAAACGGGTCATATTCAGTCGAGAGGAAAGCCAAACATGAAGTAGGTCGTATACGTTCACCCTTAAGTTTTAATTCAGCCCAAGAGTATGCTAATGATACTGGCAAGCCAAAGGACTTTGTCACGTTGAATCTGAAATGCGAACGTTTCGCGGTACGCCGTAAAAATACCAACGCTGAAAAGTTGACGGTACTCACGTTGAATGGAGGTTATAACGGAGGTGACGATAGGAATTATCATGCCGTTGACCATCTTTCCGAGGCAAGAGCGTTAACTGACTTTAAAAGTCGAGTTCCCACCCTTGCCGAACTAGGCTGGGATGATGGAGTTAGATTTTGGCTGGACTAACGAGTCTATGCATAGTCCAATCAAAATCGCGAACCGAAATCGAAATCTGGTTCGTAAATTGTCATGCAGAGTTCGGTCGATTGCAGGATTTGCAAAGCATGTGCATCGCCAACTCGTTGTCAACAGATATTTTCCGAATCTTTTCATGTTTTTAATCAAGGTGCTCACGTGATTTGATGTACTTCGCGAAGTAAGAACCGTTTTATCACAAAATAGATCTTGATGGTCGATCAGATGGTCTTGACTGGGCGCCACCATTTTGTTTGAAGCAAATGCATGTGATACGAGAGGTGGAATCTGATTGGTCCATATAGGAGAGGCATAGAATGGACATAACTCGTAATAGCCACTGGTGGCGCAACGATCGAGCCCAGGAATTCCAGCCTAGTTCGGCAAGGGTGGAAACTGGACTTTTATAGTCAGTTAACCCACTTGCCTCGGGAAGATGGGTGTTGACGGTATGTCCGTTGATTAAATTGCAAGGTGCGCTTTTCAAGAAATGTCAAATTTCTTAGCGATAAACATCATCATTGAGTTTTGATCACGTGGTAACATTCCGAGTGAGGACCGACAGTCAGGTGACTGCGAGCGACTATATTTAGCAGCACGTGCAGCGGAGAACATCACCAGAAAGAACATGTGCAGATGTAGTATTTAAAGCACAACTGACCAAAGTCATTGCTAAAATTAACCTCACGCAATCACCTGACTGTCGATTCTTACCCGGATTGAAACCACATGATCAAAACCCAATGATGTTTATCGCCAAGAATGTTGACTTTCTTGAAAGGGGTACTTTGCAGTTTTCGTCATTGCTGTAAGTTACATTCCTTGTCGGGGGAATTGCTTATTTTCACTTTATAAGTAATAACTCAAGCAGTTATCTTCGTTGAATAATCATCGCAATATTTCATCTTTCCGTTTCAAGTGGCGAGGAATATAATTGCGTTGAATTAGGTTATCATGGAGGTGACGGTACTCACGTTGAATTGCGTTCCCATGGAGAAGACGGTACTTACGCTTGATGGGGTTATCGTGGAGCGGCGGTACTCATGCTGAATGGGGTTATCGGGGAGAGGCGGTACTCACGCTGAATGAGGTTATCGGAGAGCGGCGGAGCTCACGCTGAATGGGGATACCATGGAGGAGACGGTACTTACGCTGTATGGGGATACCATGAAGGAAACGGTACTTACGCTGAATGGGGATACCATGGAGGAGAAGTACGTACGCTGAATGGGGATACCATGGAGGAGAAGGTACGTACGCTGAATGGGGTTATCATGGAGGAGAAGGTATTTACGCTGAATGGGGTTATCGTGGAGTGGCGGTATTCACGCTGAATGGGTTTATCGGTGAGTGGCGGTACTCACGCTGAATGGGGTTATCGTGGTTCGCGGTATTCACGCTGAATGGGGTTATCGGGGAGTGGCGGTACTCACGCTGAATGGGGTTATAATGATACTCAATCTGAATGGGGTTACTATGGAGTAGACGGTATTCACGCTGAATGGGGTTATCGGGGTGTGGCATTACTCACGCTGAATGGGGTTATCGTGGAGCGGCGGTATTGACGCTGAATGGGTTTATCGGTGAGTGGCTGTACTCACGCTGAATGGGGTTATCGTGGAGAGTCGGTATTTACGCTGAATAGGGTTATCGGGGAGCGGCGGTACTCACGCCGAATGGGGTTACCATGAAGGAGACGGTACTTACGCTGAATGGGGTTACCATGAAGGAGACGGTACTTACGCTGAATGGGGTTATCGTGGAGGAGACGGTACTTACGCTGAATGGGGTTATCGTGGAGCGGCGGTACTCATGCTGAATGGGGTTATCGCGGAGGAGACGGTACTTACGCTGAATGGGGTTATAATGGTACTCAATCTGAATGGGGTTATCGTGAAGATGATGGTACTTACGGTGAATGGGGTTATCATGGAGGTGACCGTAAGGATGACCTGCAATACAGCTATCCGCCATATCACCTTCAACTCATCCTTCCGGATCCGTAATATTTTATCCCTGAATGATTCCTCCCAGGCGTACAGTTTCAATATCTGAGAAATAAAGTTCAAGTCAAGTCTCATAAATCACATGTGATACATAAAGGATATATATATATACACATTAGTACATATATACAGACATATAGACATAAATATGTTCAGTGACATTGCGTGGATAGTAGTAGTAATAATAATAAAAATCATAAGCATAAGCATAATATATAAACATCTTCCAGAGGCAAGGGAGTTAACTGGCTATAAAAGTCCACTTTCCATTCTTGCCGATCTAGGCTGCAATTAAAGTTTGGCTGGACTAATGAGTCTATACTTAGTCCAATCAAAGTCCCGTAACGATATCGACATTCGTTCGATTGCAGGATTTGCAGAGCTGGGAGTCGACAGAGCTGAGAGTCGACAGATATTTTGCAAATCTTTTCATGTTTTTAATCAAGGTGCTCGAGTGATATGATGCACTTCGCGAGGTAATTAATAAAATCTGTTCTATTACGATAAAGAGCTTATTATCGACCAGATCGTCTTGACTGGGCGCTGCCTTTTTGTTTGAAGCCAATGCAAGTGATATGAGAGGTGGAATATGATTGTAAGGGGACATAGACGGGATATAATTCGTAATAGCCACTTGTGGCGCAATTATCGAGCCTGGAGATCCCAGCCTAGTTCAAAAGGGGCGGAAACTTGACTTTTACAGTTAGTGAGCTTCCTTGCCTTGGGAAAATTATATACAAATATATACTAGGGACATTATTTATACAATTTCATTGATGCATTGCTATACTTGGACAAGTTATTAACAAACAAACAAACAAACAAACAATCAGGTTTATAAGGATAGGCATATATTGTACAGACGTTAGTGATAAATATTTTTTTCAAATGAAGTATATTCGAATAGTATTTTGGAATACACCGATTTCTGAGGACATTTTAGTTTGGGCACCTTTTCCAAGATTACATAATGTACAGATTCTATTTCCTCAATGTACACTGTACCATCGACCAGTTTCTATGGGGAGATGATGATTACCTTATCTAGATCGAGTTAAACTTAACATTAGGGTCTACAGTAATAATAGGTATAGTTCCATGTTATGTACTTCTTGAACATAGAATAATAAACACCTTTAGAAAAAGAGGTCATCTCTCTTGGTATCTTGGTAACATTGATCAATCAGAGTTGTTTTAACTTTATACATCCATGGAACGTAGTAAACGACTGAGTTAGTCATATAAAATACAACCCCGTGCTCTCAAGTATAGTTTTAGTACAAGTTAAAAGTGGGAACTTATAATAACAGTTACATTGATGCATCTCATAGATAAGCCCACATTCCGCATTCATCAGTTTGTTTGGTGACAGCAAACGTTTCCTCCAATATAAAGTCATTCTTGTTTTTATGATAATTTCCAGTGGATATCTTCCAAGTTTAGAGTTGATTGCTTAAGTTTAAGTATACGGTTGCAAAATTTCAAATGAATTCTTTCAATCATAACTGACTTTTCAAAGCCCCACACTTCGAAGGTATATAATAATATTGGTTTGAATGCTGTGGTCAAACAAAAGTAATTGACAGTCGACGGACACTTCCAAGTGTCGAATCTTTGTATAAACGACAAACATGGCTTTGGAGGCTTTCTTGCAAAGGCGCTTTTGTGCCTTACAAAAACAACCATTACATGTAACATATATCCCCACATATATATATACAGTAAACTACGGTTATAACGAACTTACAGGGACCACTAGTTTTAGTTCGTTATAACCGCAATTCGTTATAAACGTATATACAGTATATATACAGCAAATGGCTGGGACCAAAAAAAACAGTTCGTCATATCCGCCAGTTCGTTTTAAGCCAGTTCGTTATTTACTGTAGTTTTGTACATTATCTACTGCTGAACCCTGTAGAATAATATATATTCTCTTTTTTGTACGAACGTTTTAAAAAAAATGTGTACTTTCGTTTTGCTTAAATTTATCTTAAATTTCCAAAGATTTTTGCTCAGTCACTGAAGACATTAATTAATTTCTGAAGTTCCTTCCATTAGTACTGTAACTTCTGCATACAATAATATGAGAAACTTTAGAAAAACATGTAAATCATGCTCCATTTAGTCACTGACACATTTAAAAACAGTGACATTTCGTGAAAGGTATAATTCCTCAAGATCGTTTAAATACAAGGCAAATATGAAAGGTGACAGATGTTTACCCTGTCTTAAACCGATTTTGAAGTCAAAGAATGACGACGCTTCCATTACTGGACACATACGATTTAATATTTTTTAGACATCAAATATAATTCTAACAAAATTACTTTTACATTACTCTCTATTAACTGTGGCCACATTCCACATCACCATGCAGTATCAGATGCTTTTTGAAAATGTTTGGGCATTTTTTGAGTGCAATATTCAATAGGAAAGCTTGAAAATAGATGATAATTAGTGTATTGATGGATAAAAAGGATAAAAAAATGATGTTTCTGCAATTCTGCAGTAAGTTACATTTTCTACAAATCTTTCTGCAATCGTGGATTCGCAGGATTCGCTGCCAATTAGGATTGGATGGGCAGTTTTTGAATGAAGACTTCTTTATCCAGCGCTACATTAAAAGATAGACCCGCACCTTGATTCCATTCAACACCTCATTCACTACCCGGATCCTTTGATCTTTAATATGCATGAGCCTGGCCTGCAGCGTGCTCATCCTCGCCATCACCAGGACGTTGAGGCCAATCATCAGCAGCAGGAAGGCCAGGCCGGCGAACATTGCTGTCCCAAATGTGGAGTAGAGGAGATACAGACACACAGCGATCTCTTCCGGAGCTGCCCACACCCAATAGATCTGCTCGCAGTACTTCTGTACCCTCGTCACATCCACGGACATCAGGTTAACAATCTCACCCGCATTCGCCTGCTTCTTGGCCTCGTTGTTCATTGTAAGTGCCTGAAGAGGAGAAAATGTGGTCTGATGCGTTAGTACGAAGGGGGCTTCCAGCTTAAGCAATATTTCAGGATGGATATGTGCTTCTGATATCGCACCCAGGCCTTGGGAGTAACGAGCCATCGATTCGGGGACCGAGATACCCTACAGTCCCAAACTTGAGAAACGCGCATGCTGGTGTGATATAAACTTCATGGCCCAGTTTCATTGTTGTTGAATATTCTGAAACATCCTCGACTGAATGTGGTATTGAAAGTAGCTTATTTCAAAACCAAAATAGTATTTTCATTCTGTTTCTTGGTTTGTCAGCAGAACACCCGTATCGGTTGGTATAAAACCCCTCATCACTTCGGGATTTCGGGTACATTAAAAGAAAAATGACACACCGTGAAATAATGGAAATGCTGTTCATAGCGGCGATAACCAAACTTAGTCACTCACTCGTTGTTGCATGAGTCGCTGGAAGACGGTATTCCATTCGCTGTGCACTGTTTCATCCTGCCAGAAGCTATGCATTCGTGTACCCGATTCTCCTTGTTATGAACGATATCTTATATATCGGTTTCACCAAGGGAGTATACCCGTGAAAATCCGGGTTAGAATAGGTCTTCAGCAACACGCTTGCCGTACAAGGTATCAATGCTTGTGGTCTGAGGCGCCTAACGGGATCGTTTGTCAGGCACGCTGGCATGTTAGATGCATGCTATCGTATCCCAGTTCCTTGGATCGATGCTCATGATGTCAATCACTGGATTGCCTTGTCCAGACTCAATTATATACAGACTGCCGTCATATAGCTGGAATATTGCTGATTGCGGCGTTTAACAACAAACAAACCAAAAAACAAGGGAGTATGATGGCCTTTCATATAACATGAGGTCGACCCACCGTCATAAAACTGAAATACTGTTGAAAGCGGCGACAACCAGACTCACTCACTCACTCTATTCATGTTACCTTCCTGTATATTGCTGACGTCAGCGCTGCCCGGACCCTTATGCCTAAGGCTATGGTGTAATGGTTGAGGATGTGGAAGGTTACAGCCTGTACTAGCACACTGACAAACATCCCAAGGGACAGAAGGTAACCAACCCAGACAGGACTACTGGTATCACCAACATAGGCAATCAGGGCCCTGTAAGGAACACGTTTAGCTTTTTTAGAACCATAGCAATGTATATCATATATGCAAATTCAATGGTAATAGATAGGGGAAATCTGAGTTGCAAGGAACGAGGATGACAGCAGTTGATGCCGAACTAATCGGTCTGAAATCCGTTGCAATGTAACCACATTTAATATTGATATGTATGATTATTCTTTTCCACTCTAATTGATCATCTTGATGTTGAAATAAAGATGATGGAAGACCATGATACGTTAGCATTCTTTCTTGGTGCAGATAACAGTGACATTGATGAAAGAACGTGGCATTTTACTGTTATAGAATTCTCTAAGTATTTATATATAAAAAATATTACCAGTATTTTTCACTGTTTATAGCCTGTACATACGCTGGACACTGATATTTATGTTTGATTATTTTGTTATTTAATTATTTAATTACATAATTTTGATGTTTTGAGAATCTCCGGATTTATCTGGAGGAAGTAAAGACTGCACTCACTTGAGTATCAGAGGGTTGGTCAATATGAGCACATCATTGATGACCTTCCAGATCTGTGCATGTAGCAGCTCCAACCCAAACGTCCTGATTAACAGCTTCCACAACGACGGCATGGGTCCAGGAGCTGACGATGATGTAAGAAGCGGAGGTTTATCATCTCCAATAAGTGGAGTGGACTCACTCGTGTCCCCGTTAGGTAGTGGGGTATAACCGTAGTTCCTTCTGTTTTTGCCATCATGTTTCACCGATACTGAGCCGTCGGTGTACCTGAAATAATCAAACTGGGGTGCTTGGATCACATGACCTACAATGATTGCATTACAGTAACTAGGGTGCTTGCATCACATGACCTACCCTCATTGCATTACAGTAACTAGGGTGCTTGCATCACATGACCTACCATCATTGCATTACAGTAACTAGGGTGCTTGCATCACATGACCTACCATCATTGCATTACAGTAACTAGGGTGCTTGCATCACATGACCTACCATCATTGCATTACAGTAACTAGGGTGCTTGCATCAGATGACCTACCCTCATTGCATTACAGTAACTAGGGTGCTTGCATCACATGACCTACCATCATTGCATTACAGTAACTAGGGTGCTTGCATCACATGACCTACCATCATTGCATTACAGTAACTGGGGTTACTTGATCACTTGAACTCATAATAAATAAACTACACAAAACACATGACATACAGTATGCACAATACCGATTTGATATTTTTATGACAAAATTTACATTTTCAAGAAAACTGTTGATAAAAAATAGCTCTATGAATAAGTGAATATATGTGTATTAGTTAAGCTTATGACACATGTTAATCCTTCACGAGTCAGTATATGATGTTTTTATTTGTTAGGGTGCCAATGTACCTCACAGTCCCATTTTGGTAGCTGGAGCCGGTCAAGTCTCTTCTCATGTCCGCCTGTGTCCGCTGCACCACCTTGTCAAAACGTTCTATCACCCCTGCTGACTGCTCCCGAGGGTGAAGGTCATACACATCAGTCTCGGTCAAGGTCTTTTTGTATCCCTGGACCATGAGTCTGTGAAAACATATGGCAATGCAGAGAATTCACATGGGAATAACGCGAATGCCATGGCAGCCATTAGGAATTAGGATACTACAGAAGTAGATATCACAGCGTCATCTTTGAACATTCCGAATTTGTTTCATCTTATCAGAGTGAAATTTAGGATCCCAGAATGATGTACAATCATTGGCAGGTTATGTAAGATGCAAGAACAGTTTCTTCTTATCCTTATTCTTGAACGTAGTTTGTGAGTCTAATGCAAAAATGAATCTCGAAATCATTTCTTGAGGACCGGTTCACTGTCCCCAAAATATATCTACTGTTATTATTAAAGTTCTTGTTTTTTCTACAAGACTTGGGGCTATGTTTACCCTGTTGTCCAACCAAATGTCAGCCGGGAGAGGTAGGAGGACTCCATTTCAGGGCAAGGATACTGTGGAGAAAGATGGCGGACATGAGAGACATGCTTCAATATGGCCACGGTGGGTCAGTGGCCACACGCGTCGCTATTCATACTTCTCAGGGACGCAACTCTGCAATGTGAATTGCGACGCAGCACTGGTGGGTTCCAATCACAGATTCGACCAGTATGACCATTTATCTGTCACCATTGTAACGTTGTAGGTTACAGACATAAACACTGTAACATTGCGGGTTACATACACAGACGCTGTAACATTGGAGGTTAGAGGAACAGACAATGTAAAACTGTAGGACACAGACACTGTAATATTGTAGGACACAGACACTGTAACATTGTAGGACACAGACACTGTAACATTGGAGGTTAGATACACAGACACTGTCACATTGTAAGACACAGACACTGTAACATTGTAGGACACAGACACTTTAACATTGGGGGTCAGAGGAACACACATTGTTAGATTGTAGGACACAGACTCTGTAACATTGTAGGACACTGTAACATTGTGGGTTATATACACATACACTGTAACATTGTAGGACACATACACTGTAACATTGTAGGACACAGACACTGTAACATTGGAGGTTAGATACACAGACACTGTCACATTGTAGGACACAGACACTGTAACATTGAGGGTTAGAGGAACAGACACTGTAACATTGTAGGACACAGACACTGTAACATTAGAGGTTAGAGAAACAGACACTGTAACATTGTAGGACACATAAACTGTAACATTGTAGGACACAGACACTGTAACATTGTAGGACACTGTAACATTGTGGGTTATATACACATACACTGTAACATTGTAGGACACATACACTGTAACATTGTAGGACACAGCCACTGTAACATTGGAGGTTAGATACACAGACACTGTCACATTGTAGGACACAGACACTGTAACATTGAGGGTTAGAGGAACAGACACTGTAACATTGTAGGACACAGACACTGTAACATTAGAGGTTAGAGAAACAGACACTGTAACATTGTAGGACACTGTTACATTGTGGGTTATATACACATACACTGTAACATTGTAGGACACATACACTGTTACATTGTAGGACACATACACTGTAACATTGTGGGTCACATACTCATACACTGTAACATTGTGGGTCACATACTCATACACTGTAACATTGTGGGTTACATACACATAGACTGTAACATTGTGGGTCACATACTCATACACTGTAACATTGTGGGTTACATACACATATACTGTAACATTGTAGGACACAGACACTGTAACATTGTGGGTTACTACACAGAAACTGCAACATTGTAGGTTACTGATACAGACACTGTAACATTTCATGTTACAGACCATCGCTTTTGGCTTTCATTCAATGAGAAATTAACACCTTCAGGAATAACAGATATAATGTTCAAAGCAATGTAACTCATGCACCCGTGTGTCCTTCAGAACAAGATACTGACAATGAACCAACCACGAGTACAGTTATCAATGTATTAAATACTAGCTACTACTGCGCTTGCCAAGCAGATAAGTAAAACCAAACCCTACCAACATTTGGGGGATGGCGGGCTTTGTAGATGTATGATTATGACGTATAAATAAGTGATTGCTCTTCGCATACATCAGCAAACTCACATCACTTCCTACCAACAAGGCACGTGCAAGCAGATATCACCATGCACATGTGCCCACCCTAAAAACCTTTCATTCGCGTTATATTTTCGTTTTGGGATATCATCAAAATAATGTATCTCATATAATGGCACCTAATGTCTCTTTTTTCAGCATACCACTGGCCAGAGGATTACTGTCGTCAAAGCGTCCAGCAACAATTGATGATAACACACTCCGGCATGTCCTTCACGTATCCATACTGCCAAAGTGTCATTATCAAACACGTAAATAATCTTGGCAATGTTTGTTTGTTTTTGTTTAACGCCACACTCAGCAATATTCCAGCTATATAAAGCGATCTGTAAGTAACCGAGTCTGAACCAGATAATCCAGTGATTGACATCATGAGCACCGATACAAGGAATTTGGGATACGATAGTATGCAACAACCAAGTCAGCGAGCCTGACCACCCGGTCCCGTTAGTCGCCTCTGACGACAAGAATAGTCATTTTAAGGCAATTTTGGGTTGAGGAAAACCTTTTCTATCCCGGATCTTCACTGGTGTCTTGGCAATTCATTTTGTCTGAATTTCATGCATAACAGACTGTTACGTTACACACCAATATATCGCAAAACCAACCACAGGCTACTAATTCCTCCCCCATTAAGCTGACCGCTTCCGTGGTTTAGTGGAAAGAGCGTCTGGCCGGGAAGCGGAAGGTCGGGGCTTCGATCCTCGGTGCAGTCATACCAAAAGAAGTGATTAAATGGTGCTTGTTGTTGCTTTGCCTGGCGTTCGGGCATAAAGGATTTATATCCAAGGTCTGGTTACCCTGTGTCTGAGTGACGCATCCACGTTAAACTGCGGCATGGTGTCTCATCGGGTTAGCACTATAAAACCGGCGTCAATGGACTAGAACAGGAATGCACGTCGCTAAGTAAATGCAGTAATTGACGTAAAAACCCTTTTCACCAAACCACCACCTATTAACCCAAATGGTTCAAAGCCGCTCAAACCAAAGTTACACAATCACTTACCGGATCCAAGTCACGCGACATATATACACATACGTGCACGTACCATTTCAAAATCATACATGTTCTAGATTCTGTTGTGGGAGACAATATCACGGGAACATGGATAAAGAAAGCAACTCACTAGAACATTGGTGTAATCCCTGCTCTTCTCGGCAAAACAATGAACTATCAGTTCCACCAACATGAAGCAGTAGCCGATATAGAACACACTGATACGTGTCAGATCCGTGCTGTAGTCCTGAATAACACAAGAAAGAACAGTAGCCATGCTGGGCCATGATGACGCGAGAGAGTATATTCCTTTCCGTGCATTAAGATATTCATTTGTCGCTGTTAACTAAATTTTCAGTTTGTTTTCCATGATTTTGTTGGTTGGTTTGTTGTTTAATGCTGCACTCAGCAATATTCCAGCTATATGGCGGCGGTCTGTAAATAATCGAGTCTGGACCAGACAATCCAGTGATTAATATCATGAGCTTCAATCCAAGGCACGCAATTGGGATTGATGACGTTAATTAACCAAGTCAGCGTGCCCGACCACCCGATCCCGTTAGTCGCCTTTTACGACAAGCAAAGTCGCCTTTTACGGCAAGCATGGGTTGCTGAAGACCTATTCTACCACGGAATCTTCACGGGACTTTATTTTTCATGAATCTCGCTGACAGATAAGATACAAATGCCCTATGTGTCCAATGCTCATTCTTGTTAGAACTGTAAATACAAATTTTGGTTACTTAAGTAAAGGAGAGGCTGATTGACATGGAAATTTGATGAATTTAAGACTTGTGTAAAGTAAATGTGAGAAACATAATTCAACTTGAAGTTGTTTTTTGACGTTTTAACTATGTACAATTCGTATTAAATTGTGGCACGGTTGACCAAGAGGTCTACGGTGCAGAAATTAACTGCGTTAGGTTGTGTCCCTTAGCTGTGTCATGATACGCTGAACGTGATTCCCAGGAGAACCCTTGGTTTGTGGCTAACGTGGTTCACCAAAGTTGAAGCAAACTGGCGGGAAAAAGTATCCATGTTTGATGGCGGCTAATGTATATACCATAAGATGATCGGGTTCCTCAGTCAGAAAGATGTACACAGAGCATTTACCTTTTGTATGATGTATGTGTAGAACGGTATAATGTTGGCCGATACCATCAGGAACCAAAATATGAACAGCACTCCTGATGTGACGAGGCCTCGCAATCTCTCCAGTATAATGAGTAACAGTGCAATGAGCTGAAAACATCGTTATATATGTTAAAGAATAATCGTGCAGGAAATTTATTTTAAAAAATTGAAATTTCGAATTTTTTTCTCGTTACTTAAATAATTTTCTCGAAATAATTAGGTTTTTTTCTTGTTATTTCGAATATTTTCTCGTATTTCAAGTTTATCTAAAAAACGTAATTTCAAAAAATAAATTCGCGTTGCTTCGATTATGGTCTATTTAGGAGATAAACATAGTGTGTTTTCAATGTAGAGCTAGGTTACCTGTAGATTTAACCCCGCTAAATTGAATTTGGAACAGAACGCGCAGCGTGAGGTTTCAAATGTTAAATTTAGCGCGGTTAAATCTACAGGTAACCTAGCTCTACATTGAAAACACAGTATGTTTATCTCCATTCTACCATGACTAAATAAAACGCGAACTCTTTGGTGTTAGCAAATATACTGAGTGAAGCGGCACGGGTTAAGTTCAGTGTTTTGAGTGGGTTAACGATCTGAATTACGGAATCACCGAACAAAATATGGTGCTGTATATACTCAAGAAGTTTGTTTACACCGTAATACTTCACTCGAACACATGACAAGGCATTGAAAGCATATGATCACGGCAACTTGGTAAGCTAACATGAGGTGGGCATCCCTAAAGAAAACAAAGCAAGCTTTGCAAGGCTTTCGCACCACATCACACGTTACCATTATAACGTCATATCGCTTATTGTGACGCAAAAGATATGACATCACAGTCGTATATAGAAAAGCGCCAAAATTCCAAGCTCTCTGTTGTCTCCAAAATGTAAATACATTCCCATTGTTGATTTCTGTCGTGTTTTTTTGCACGAAATGTATTGCCACACATCCTTTGAATATTGTAGTAACCGCATCTGTGCTTTTTGTAACCTGTAATTGTAGATATAATTATTTGAATATGCCTACCGACAATGACTGAAAATAGTACTATTCTATGAATATTAGCTTCCGCGGTGATGCGGCCGTCAAACAAGCTGTTTCAATCAGAGGGGGTTTATTGTTATTTAATAGCCTCTGATTGACCAATCAGAATCGAGTAAATTCCAAATTCATGGTAGAATTAAGGTTCATTTCACAACCACGAAATTTCGAGGAAATAGTTGAAATTTGGGAATCGACACGTAAAAATAAGCACAATAATCTTCTGTTTCTATACATCGAATTATCAACTTATAAATATTGTACATTACAACTTGTTTTATAAAAAATATCAATCATATTCTATGTATCGTACCACCGCCTCCGTGGTCTATTTGTAGAGCGTCCGTCCAGAGAGTGGAAGGTCGTGGGTTCGATCCCCTGCCGGGTCGTACCAAAAGACGTTAAAGTATGGTACGTATTGTACGCTACGTTACATTTCACCTCACCTCACCTTTAGTATCGTAAAATATCAATAGATGCTAAAGAAAATAAAGTTCGTTTAACGCCGCACAATATTCCAGCTATATGATGGCGGTCTGAAGATAATCGAGTCTGGACAAGACAATCAAGTGACTGACGTCATGAGCATCGATCAACGCAATTGGGATACGATGACGTGCATCAACTAAGGCAGCGAGCCTGACCACCCGATCCCGTTAGTCGCCTCTTACGACCAGAAATAGTCGCCTTTTACGGCAAGCATGGGTTTCTGAAGACCTATTCTAACCCGGATCTTCAAGGGATTTCGAGTAAGAATAAGCCCCCAGAATCTCATACTTGTAGAGATGAGAAAATATCGGGGTCGGACGGGTGGGTTTTGTGATTTATCATTGTATACCATGCCATCGTATGATTGCTCATGATTTCAAACACTGGTTTACCTGGTTCAAACTCGAGTGCCGTTTGCAGGTCGTCGCGGTATGACTCGATTATTTCTGACTGTGGTGTTAAATAACATTAACTCACTCGCATGATGTATTATGGGCCTTAACGGTTTCTGTAATTTGAATAACCACTGAATGAGTCAGAACCGTCCTCACCAGTGTTATTGTCCTTATGATCGGCGCAGTGACGCCCGCACTGAAGTGTACGGACAGCCCACCATCCTGTTTGTCCGAGAACGCGCTGATCATCTCCACGACGCCAAGTATGATCAGCATTACGCTGGAAAACTGAAAAAGTGAAGAAAATTAGAAACTGCAATTCCATGTCAGTCGAGTTCAATTTTAGTTTTTCTTTTTCAGAACATCGAGGTGAGAGTGTCAAGATGCAGGAGCCTCGTCATATTTCATTTGAGGTCATTTACGAAATGTATAAATTGTGACAGGATTGAATGAGTTGAACGAACGAGGTCTTTGTGAAGTGACAAACGGGCAGTTTCGCTCGCCTGGTTTGTTTTTTCGCTCGCCTCGGTTCAACTTTCATGTCTTCGGGTTTCATTTCTAACTTGCATTTTTCCAACTGTGTTTTACCGTAATCAGAGAAGTAATGTTTGAATCTGGCGGTAACGGACCATGATATTTGAAACAGCCGCCTTCTCCCGGACATATTTCTTCCGGTCGGTTACAGTCTGACTGTTGCAGTGCTTTTCGCCTCTTGCCTTAATTAACAGGTCCAATGAACATTATTTTGATCCTAATCCCCGCTGATGGGCTACTGACCGTGTAGGCGTGTCAAGTTATGTGCATAAATTAAACGATCACCTGATTCATGTCACGCCACAGTATGTATTCCTACACCTGGAATTTTCATCAATCTCGTATTTTTTGTCTGTTTTGATATATATCAAACTATTGTCGATAAAACATGTTTTACGTTGTCGAATTTAATTATAAGCATTGACTGTGTATTTTGTTCGGTTCATTGAGGTATGAATCGAAAAACCGATGTGCAAACTTTTGTACAGTTTGCACAGCGTAGTGTTTGCAATAACGGTCTTACTGTATGTCTTATTGTAGGCGGGTGGTACCTGTAGAGAAAAACATGTTCCCCCTTTCCACGAACACTTGTTGACATCACTGATTTTAGGGGGCACGGGTGGCCCAGTCGTCTGAGGCGCAGCGATTCGCTGTGCAGAGTTGCGTCCCTTGGGCACGCCAGAAACCTATGATTGTGGGTTCGATTCCCGGTTCGCCCCGATTATGTTTCTAGGTTTGTCAGCACCGTACCCGTGCTCGTAGGTTTCACCGAAGTGGTAAACGTCTGATACCTGCATCACTTCGGGCTTTCCTCCCACATTAAGCTGGCACGCCGTGATATAACTTGAATACTGTTAAAAGCGGCGTAAAACCCAACTCACTCACTCATCACTGATTTTCAGTGATCTATCCATCTAATTGTCACTAGTATTTAGCCTGTTCCGCATATTGGAATCTAAATTTCCGTGGATAATCGAGACAGGTTTTTCCTTGGCGTTGACATTTATAGTTACATACCAGTTTGATTTGCTGTAGTAGGGTATGCCGGTAGCGTCTGGGGGGTTGCTGAGCGAGGTAGTAGACATAGAAGGGCGTGGTCAGCATCAGCATCCCACATGGCCCCCACACTAGCGCCGTGTTCCGGAAGCAAGTTGTAACCTGGGGCCAGGTGCTGGTGAGGGTCAGGTTACTGTCCTGCAATACAGAGGTGAGGTGAGGTGAAATGGGCTTTAACGTCGCGTCCAAGATTATTGCACTCATATAGCGACGTGCATGTACGTGTGTGTGTTTGTGTGGCTGCTTGTACTAGTCCGGACTGATGCCGATTTATAGTGCTAGCACACTGAGATACCATGCCGCAGTTTAACATGAATACCCCACTCAGACACAGTATACTGACTCCGAGCCGACCAGTCCTTGTTTTAGCCCCTTAATGCCAACGCCAGACAGGGTAACAACAAGTACCATCTTTTAACGTCTTTTGGTATGACGCGGTCGGGGATCGAACCCCGGACCTTCCGCTCTCCGGGCGGACGCTCTACCACTAGACCACGGAGGCGGTCACAGAGTGGAAGGGTAAGCATCATCTGGTATCTCTATATTATGACACAGACAGACAGAAATGACAGATCTACAAACACACTGAATGGCAGATAGACAAACTGTTTGGGCTCAAACCTGGTTTAGCCCCAGACCATGTTTACAGGTATAGATTGTTAGTTTGTTTGGGGGTTTTTCATTTCCTTTAGAGTCTGGACCAGACAATCCAGTGATTGAAATCACGATCTACGCAAATGACATACTATGACATGCATCAACCATGTCAACGAGCTTGACTACCCGATCCCGTTAGTCGCCTCTCACTACAAGAGTGGGTATCAGAAGACAAATTCTAACAAGTTTTCTCGGTATTTCTCTGAAGGTACTCCAACATGTAATAAAATATGCGTGCACACCTACATACTTACATACATATATCTAACAAATAAACTACTCTTGGTCGCTGCTTATCGTACAGGAAAACACTGCAGGGAAAATAAACCATGTTGGGAGAAAAGCTACAGATGATCGACGTGAGGATTGTGAGAATATCCGGGAAATATCAAAATGAAAAACTTGCACATTTGATCAACATCTTTAAAAAAGCTGAATATAATGTTGATATCTCATATAAGAAATAAACGACTGCGCCATTCATGGTTTATTCTCCCTGCAGTGCTTAATTGTACGATAAACAACTCTCACTCGTCGTTTAATAATGATGACTCCCTGAATAGAATCCGGCCAAGTCCATTTAAAGAAAGGTGGGCTAAGATTGGTAGTTCCCGTATATTATCACAATCCTCACGTCGATCTGGGAGAGAGAGAGAGAGAGAGAGAGAGAGAGAGAGAGAGAGAGAGAGAGAGAGAGAGAGAGAGAGAGAGAATCTGGAGTCCTTCGTGCGTATGCATATATGAATGCAGGCACGGTACAAATAAGCAAATAACTGCAGTGAATAATTCAACAAGAAGGGTATTGCCCTTGGTGTGCCGGGCAGGGTAACAACAAGCTTAACGTCTATTGGGATGTTCACAGTCGCTCTCAAGACAGAGATAGTGATGGAGACTGATGCTGTCAAATAGACGTTCTCAAAGAAGTTGTATTAAATCTTTACAGTGTAAACGTTGAGGTTTCACAAAGCCATCATACTCGATCTGGCGCTTTAGGCCCTGTCCACGTGTGACTGGTGACACACCTAATTGAACGAGTCACTACACTGGCCTGGTAGGTGTCTTGTAACTCAGCTTCCCGAGGCAAGAGAGTTAACTGACTTTAAAAGTCCAGTTTCCACCCTTGCCGAACTAGGCTGGAATTACTGGGCTCCATCGTTCCGCCACCAGTGGCTATTACGAGTTATGTCCCCCCTAAGCCTCTCCTATGGACCAATCAGATTCCACCTCTCGTATCTCTTGCGTTTGCTTCACACAAAATGGCGGCGCCGAGTCAGGACGACCTGATCGATAATCAAGATCTATATTGTGATAAAACGGGTCTTACATCGCGAAATGCATCAAATCACGTGAGCACCTTGAATAAAAACATGAAAGGATTTGGAAAATATCTGCTGACAACGAGTTGGCGGTGCACATGCTTTGCAAATCCTGCAATCGATCGAAATCTGCACGACAGTTTACGAACCGGATTTTGATTTCGGTTCGCGATTTTGATTGGACTATGCATAGACTCGTTAGTCCAGACAAAACGTAACTCCATAATACTAGCCTAGTTCGGCAAGGGTGAAAACTGGACTTTTATAGTCAGTTAACTCCTTTGCCTCGGGAAGATGCTTGTAACAATGTGTATAATAAGGTTCGATGAAAAACCTCTTTTTTCTGGAATTAGATAATGCATCTTTAAATACATATTCATGAAGACATCTCCCCGCATTTAAGGTCGTGATTCACAATTTGCATGTGCATGTTAATGCACGACGCACAATTTGGATGTTTGTGTGTTTGTTGGGAGCATGATACTCTCACGTGTGTTTTAGTAACAGCACACAATGATTGTTTAGCGATCACAATGATTGTTTAGCGATCATTTGCATTTAGCTATCATTGGTGCATCTATTGAATCGATACCAAACTGCCACATAATTCCTGGGATGAGACCAGTTAGTTGCAAGACGGTACGCAATCGGTTGAGGGAGCAGAGCATCTGTCCCCGACATGCATCTCAGGTTCCGAAGACAAGGCTGGAACACAGCCCTGGTGGTCGTGCAAGGGTCTTCAGGAGTCTAGACCGTATACTGTTCACAGTGTATTGTTCACAGTTGAGTCCAGTTTCATCTGAACAGCTCTGATGGTCGTGCAAGGGTCTTCAGGCGTCAAGACCGTATACTGTTCACAGTATATTGTTCACAGTTGAGTCCAGTTTCATCTGAACAGATCTGATGGTCATAGAAGGGTCTTCAGGCGTCAAGACCGTATACTGTTCACAGTATATTGTTCACAGTTGAGTCCAGTTTTATCTGAACAGATCTGATAGTTGTGCAAGGGTCTTCAGGCGTCAAGACCATATCCTGTTCACAGTATACTGTTCAAGACTGTATATTGCAATATCACGGCGGGGGACACCAGCAATTTGCTTCACACATTGTACCCATGTCGGGAATCGAACCTGGGTATTCGGCGTGACGAGCGAACGCTTTAACCACTAGGCTACCCGACCGCCCCTCAGATTGTGCGAAATCGTCTGAACAAATGGCATTTTGCACCAACACAGAGCAAACAATAAGTTCCGAGCACTAGGCAGATATGTTCCCTGGTGACGGTTCATGGTATAGGACGCTTAAAGGTGTCATATGATATAAGAACGATATTGTTTAGATATGGATATGGCTTTGTTTGGGAAGCTCAGCGGATTGGCAATAAAGAGACCTTTGTGTTTGAATATGAAACAAGGATAAAAAAAATGTCAGGTGCGATCTGTATTCTAGGGTATTCATTACTGTTCATTATTGGATATTTACTCTCAAATTTACACAATCGTTCTATATTGAAACCTACTTGTTAAACATAAAATCAAGAGACGCAGGGCGTAGAATTACTTTATTTAGGGTTGGAGAACTACCCCTTTACAAAACATATTGGTAGACGTGATGGTATTTCACGTCAGGGTCGTTTTTTGTAAATTATGTTATTCAAATAAAGGGTTGAGTTTCAGTTTCTCTATAAATGTCCAGTACATGTATATCACGATGTTCGTAAAAATATTTTTTTAAATCTACCTTCTAATTCATTCCTAACACTGCAGTATCGTGGCTCGTTTATTGTCTCCCTCAGATTATTTTAGGAATGCAGACTGACTGACTGACTGACTGAGTGACGATGATGGCACTTGTTGTTTTGCTGCCTTGCGTTCGGCATTGAATGGATAGAACACGGACTGGTCGGCTCGGACTGAGTACAAGTATTCTGAGAGAGGTTACCGCGACATGGTATCTCAGATTGTTGGCCTAAGCCCGGACTAATACATACACATATGTCAGTGCAATAATCTTGAACGCGACGTTGAAATCCCATTTCACAATACAGCGTAACAAGAAGCCCAAGTGACCGAGATAAGGGTTAGATGATGCAGAATGACATAAACTTCCACAGCTGGGTTGACCTTCCAGAACCACTATCTCTGTGACGCGTCCAGGTGGTCGCGTCTCGGTGGCAATCAATCTTTCATCATAACAAGGGAAGGTCACCGGCTTTGAATGGACTAGTACTAGACACAATGGTATCGAGAATTGGGCCTAACGCTGCTTTAAACAGTAGTCAGTGCTACCACTATGTTTGCAAATGGTGTGTATGTCTGTGTGTGTGTGGTGTGTGTGTGTGTGTGTGGGGGGGGGGGGGGTGTCCCAAAGTAACGCAGGTTTTAGACATTTACCATTTGTGTGGGACCTCGGAGCTGTTAAATTTGGGAGCTGAGAATAAAGACAGGAACCAACGCAATCTGGCACGGTAAAGGGCGTGAGTGAGTGAGTGAGTGTGTTTGGTTTTCGGCACACATCAGAGGACACAAAAGTATGGGTTTCACACATTCACGGTTATCGTTGCTTTAAACAATATCCAAGCTATAACACGGAGGTTGACACCACATATTGGTAACACATTATACCCATGTGGAGAATCAAACCCAGGCCCTCGGGGTGGTGAACGAACGCTTTACCCACAAGCCCACCCCAACGACCGAAGACTCCTTGAACGGTTTATAGCAAGTGAATGATTCCGAAACGGAACTTGTCATATACTTACGTGACTTTTGAATTTGACCCTAACAAAGGTATGTAATCATCGCCGACCCATGGTGACATGTTAAAAGAAGGTGTTTCTTGTGCATACCCCAATATCATTAAAATCAGATCTCAGTTTTCTTTACCACTAAACAAAAATCCGAGGACATCCCATTACGGGTCACGTCAGAACGGCGTGACAGCTTAATGTGGGAGGAAAGCCCAAAGTGATGCAGGTCTCAGACGTTTACCACTTTGGTGAAACCCACGAGCACAGGTATGGTGCTGGCAAACCTAGAAACATAATCGGGGCGGACCGGGATTCGAACCCGTTATTTAGCCACGCCCAATGGACGTAACTCTTGGGGTGGTTAATGCTGTCACTTACACCACGACCTTCATTAGCGCCATACATGTACGCGTGGTACGTCATGATACACTGATATTTTTTTTATGATTTTATTTCTTTTTGGAGTACACAAAATGTATGTTTACAGAATATAGTTCACATGCAATCTTATATACATACAAGTTACAAAGTATATCTATAGATGATAACAAACAAAACCTATTCCAGTGTCATATTGTTGGATTGAGCAAGTTCATGGTTTTAAACGAATGGGTGGAGACAGAGAGACCATAATGTCATGAACTGTGTGTATTTACATTGTGAATATGATATATTTCTGTCAAGAGATTCAAGATTCTTTATTCCGTATTTTGGACCATGTGGCCTAGAGTACAATTACAATTACAATAATTGCTGGGTCACGTGGTGTCAGGAAAATAAATACAAGTAGTCTTATTTCACATTAAATACATGATTTAAGTATAAGGCCAAAGCCTTTACAATGTTGATATTTTTGGAGTTGAGTAGATTACATAAACTGTGATTATCATGATGGACATTGGATAACCAAGGCAAATAGTGGTTTCTGACAGAAGAATATTTTGAACATATAAACAAAACATGAAATTCATCCTCTAATTGCCGCCGGGGGCACGGGGGGCCCAGTCGTCTAAGGCGCCGCGATTCGCTGTGCAGAGTTGCGTCCCTTTGGCACGCCAGAAACCTATGATTGTGGGTTCGAATCCCGGTTCACCCCAATTATGTTTCTAGGTTTGTCAGCACCATACCCGTGCTCGTGGGTTTCACCGAAGTGGTAAACGTCTGAGGCCTGCATCACTTCGGGCTTTCCTCCCACATTAAGCTGACACGCCGAGATATAACTGGAATACTGTTAAAAGTGGCGTAAAACCCAACTCACTCACTCACTCAATCTAATTGCCTCCCTTTACAGTGGGTACATAGATATAGACTCAATTCTTCATTTGTATGTTTTAACTTTCGTAGCATGTTAATCTTAAAACCGTGTAGCGATATTCTGAATTTACAATCTATTTCTGTCGATGTAATTTGAATCAGTTATTTCTTGTTTGATGTGTGGGAAATTTGGTATGGAGTCGGAAATGTTTGATTTCAAAATGTTTTGCTGTGTTACAGTTATAATATGATTTAATACATCATTTCGTTTTTGTTGATATCCTAATAACATTGTCAATTTTGAAAATTCTAGTTCTATTCCAGTTTTGTCTTTGATCCATTGTGTAAGGTTGTTCCAGATATGTTTTACAATTTAGCACTCAAAGAACATGTGCACTAAGGTTTGTTTTTCTCGTTTACAAAATTGCAAAGAAATCATTTCTTTATATCCTGTTTTGTACAATAACTCGTTTGTTGGTATAATTCTATGAACTATACTGTGTTGGAACCAATTTTGTTTTGAGGACACATTATATCTGTGGGAGCTACGATTAATCGTTTGCCAATCTTTTTCCTTCATGTTAAGGCCAAGATCTAGTTCCCATCTTTGAATGTATACACTGGAGATGATTACACAACATTTACACTACAGTATTAACAAAAGTTCCCTGGCACGCAATCAGTAAAGTCACAACCAGCAGCCGCCCACTGAATATGTTGGCATCCCAAAACACTGTTCTACTTATGTATTCACGTCAAAGAGATAGTTATGAATATGTTGGCATCCCAAAACACTGTTCTACTTATGTATTCACGTCAAAGAGATAGTTATGAATATGTTGGCATCCCAAAACACTGTTCTACTTATGTATTCACATCAAAGAGATAGTTATGAATATGTTGGCATCCCAAAACACTGTTCTACTTATGTATTCACGTCAAAGAGATAGTTATGAATATGTTGGCATCCCAAAACACTGTTCTACTTATGTATTCACGTCAAGGAGATAAGTATGAATATGTTGGCATCCCAAAACACTGTTCTACTTATGTATTCACGTCAAGGAGATAAGTATGAATATGTTGGCATCCCAAAACACTGTTCTACTTATGTATTCACGTCAAGGAGATAAGTATGAATATGTTGGCATCCCAAAACACTGTTCTACTTATGTATTCACGTCAAAGAGATAAGTATGAATATGTTGGCATCCCAAAACACTGTTCTACTTATGTATTCACGTCAAGGAGATAAGTATGAATATGTTGGCATCCCAAAACACTGTTCTACTTATGTATTCACGTCAAGGAGATAAGTATGAATATGTTGCCATCCCAAAACACTGTTCTACTTATGTATTCACGTCAAAGAGATAAGTATGAATATCACATATAAGATATCAGAAATAATTATACTAAAGACAGCACTGTGATACTTGCACTACACAACGGATATTTTTTGAAGGACATCGGAAAATCGAAATTAAAAACACGCTGACTTATTTCTGTTACTGTTTAATATCTTTATGACCTGTTTAGAAATGAAGCATTGGGATGGAAACGTGTTACCAAAGAATCTTAAATGCCTTTTGGGGAAGACCATTTTATATTCTTTTGTAAAAAAAATCTGTTCCTGCAAATGCTGGAAAACATAATTTCTTCTCGGGTTTTACAAACTAAATCGTTTACTGGAAGTGCTGAAAGTAATGTGTTGCGATTCTCTTCCATTGTTTCCATTTTGTTTGTTTGTTTGTTTGTTTATTTGTTTGTTAATTATGTTGTTTAATGCAACTCTCAGTAATACTCCATCGATATGACGGCGGACTGGACCAGACAGTCCAGTGATTTTCAATATTATCATCGATTTACGCAACTGGAATAATATGACACCGAGCCTAACCACCGGATCCATTTAGTCGCCGCTGACAAGCACAGAAGCATATAGGTTTCCATGCACCAAAGCGCTGCCCAAAAACATATTCTGTCAAATAAACGTCAAACAATATCAAATAAACCGTCACTTATCTGTGAGGGGTGTATGGTAAAAAATACCCCTGCTTTTCAACATTGGCGTAAACGCAATAATATAATATTTGTGTGTGACAAATGAAAATCCATATTTACCCAGAAGGGTTCTCCATCACAGAACTCCATCATCACAGAAGGCTTCAGTCAACCCATTCCACCAGGAGACACACCGACAAGTCAATATGAGACACCAGTCTCACGTGTCTCCAACAGCGTGACTCAACTCACCGTCAGACCAGGGTCATCTTATCTCCCAGTGTGGCTGTATTGGTTGTTTTTATTCACACACACGGCACAAGAAGCGAGGCCAATGGCAACAGTTGCTCGCTCACATGCAGATCAAATCAGACTTTTCCTTTTGCCACACTTTTGGGACGTGATGGTTGTCAGTGACTGATAGATTTCTTGAGTTGACAATTTTCAGCTTACACCTATGAATTCGTTAAAGTTTTGTTATCTAAATAATTACATATATATATGTACAGTAAACTACGGTTATAACGAACTCAAAGGGACTACTAATTTTAGTTCGTTATAACCGTAATTCGTTATAAGTACACATACAGCATGACTACAGCAAGTAGTCGGGACCAAAAAGTAAGTTCGTTATATCCGTCAGTTCGTTATAAGCGTGTTCGTTATAACCGTAGTTTACTGTATGTATTGAATTACCTGTTCAACTTATATGAGCAACCAACAATGTTATTATAAAGTGGGTCAGTCATTTTATTCACTCATCAAGTTTGTTTCTGGATGAAGCGTTATAGTGAACTGTCAATATTATCAATATTCACGAAGAAGGCAATTTGGTGTTATATGAATTTGAGTTCGTATAAAATTCCAAAGCCTTGTTTTTGCATCGATGGAAATATCAAAAGTGTTATTCAATTGGCACAATCAGTATAATAACTGGATTCTGTAACTTCTTTTTCAATCAACAATACTCGACTGCGGATCAATATGACTCAATGTGTTTACAGTCCATGACCACGACAGCAGGCGGATATTGCCACGGTTAGAAAATATGAAGCCGTGTATGCTTATATTATTAGATTAAATACTAGTATTTTTATGCTTTCAAATTAGTTACACTACTTATCAAACAAACGTTACCGCTATACGGTGGCGTGTAAGGTGCAGTTTGTTTCTACAGTTATGTGTGTGTGCAAATAATGCTAAAAATACACTCAATCCCTACTGCTAACACACGTGTGAATTATTGGAGTGCATTTTGGTTTTTGGTAACTGTCAGCAACATTCAAATAAATGGGTCGTACAATTCCAGCACTATGAAGAGCATGTGCTTATGAACGATGTGCTTATAAAGTTTCAGAGATACATGCATACAGATTCAGTGATACATGCATACAGATTCAGAGATACATGCATACAGATTCAGAGATACATCAATAGATTCAGAGATACATGCATACATGATTCAGATACATGCATACAGATTCAGAGATATATGCATACAGATTCAGAGATACATGCATACAGATTCAGAGATACATGCATACAGATTCAGAGATACATGCATACAGATTCAGAGTTACAAGAAATTGTCCACACGACTGTATGAAAAAAATTATAACATCAAACCCCCAATAGCAAAATTGGAACTTGTGCCATGTTCACATGTTCTTTTCCGAGGTGAACAATTGCCTTGCCTTTGCGAGTATTTGTGATTTGTACCACCAGTGAGGCAGGATACGCTCATCTTTTAACAAACACCTGGTATCATCACTAGTAGTGATTCATACACACATGTTGATAATGCAGGCGGAATCGTAATATATGCAGATTTATTGTCACTGTTTGTGTTTGTTTCCAGGCAGCGGGGTGAGAATGTTGCAAACAAACATGGCAAACTTACCCACTTCATGCACTTTATTTCCTTCCCACTACATGTTAGTGATTGTGATGTACAAGTAGTTTTTAAAGCTATCGTTATCTGTCCATAAACAACAAAACTACACATACCATATCACCATTTATTTTCATATAATAATAAAATATAAAACAGATAAAATAACAGTTCACACATTATCATCATCATAATCGGAGAAATAGAACCATGATATGGTTATAATAAGCATCCTGTGATGCAGAATACCATTAACACAAGGAGGTCTTTGCCCTTTGCTGATGTGCACACAAATTATCCATCATGTCCCCCATCCTTGACCCTGGAAAACCCTCTGTCATATGTGTAATAATAAAAAAAATAAAAATAAAATAAATAAATAAATAAATAAATAAATAAATAAATAAATAAATAAATAAATAAATAAATAAATAAATAAATAAATAAATAAATAAATAAATAAATAAATAAATAAATAAATAAATAAATAAATAAATAAATAAATAAATAAATAAATAAATAAATAATAATACTAATTCAGACTCTGGTTTCTTGATCTACCAGAGTAAAGGGTTTTGATGTACAGATATACTTTTCAAACAACGACTGCCACTAACAGTCAAGCACGTTTTGATTATTGGTAAATTGAAGACATACATGTACACAAAGAATGTAAGAAATGCTGAGGGTATATTCTGTTATGTGTGTCTGATTGACCTCAACAGCAAGGGTAAATACTACCAATGTCAAAAGACTTGCTCCAGATTTCATAAAAATGTTATTGCACAAATGACTGACTTCAGCAATACTTCAGCACACTACAGCAAGGTAAATACATCTTGAATCACTGAAAACTTCATCTCTCAGTGTAAATGGCACACTTCTTGCATACATCATATTGGCAAGAAAATAGTGGCAGTATATACATATACCACACAGAAGTAACACGTAAAATTACCATTCAATAATAAATTACTTTTATGTCAAAGACAAATAGTTTAATATACAGAATAAAAAAGAAATACTAGAATATATGATATAGAGAAAAGTTAAAACACTGAATACTTATAATACAAATACATGTACAAATACAAAAACAGAAAATAATTTAGAAAGAAAATATTAGGGCTATTTGCCTGCCTGTAATACAAATGCAACATATACATTTTTACAATATATTCACTGATAAAATAGAATGATTTGAAGTAATGTTAATATGTCACCTGGTTACCAAAGTATAGTAGTAGTAGTAGTAGTAGTTGTTGTTGTTGTAGTAGCGTTAGTGGTGGTAGTAGTAGTAGTAGTAGTAGTAGTCGTCATGGTAGTAGTAGTAGTAGTATTTGAAGTGGTGGTGGTAGTAACAGTAGTAGTAGTAGTAGTCGTCATGGTAGAAGTAGTAGTAGTAGTAGTAGTTGAGTGGTGGTGGTGGTAGTAACAGTAGTAGTAGCGGTAGTAGTCGTGGTAGTAGTAGTAGTAGTTGAAGTGGTGGTGGTAGTAACAGTAACATGGGCTTCACACATTGTACCCATGTCGGGAATCGAACCCGGGTCTTCGGCGTGACGAGCGAAAGCTTTAACCACTAGGCTACCCGACTGCCCCAGCAGTAGTTGAAGAGGTAGTAGTAGTCGTAGTAGTAGTAGTAGTAGTAGTAGTAGTAGTAGTTGTAGTAGTCGTAGTAGTACTAGTAGTAGTAGTAGTAGTAGTAGTAGTAGTAGTAGTAGTAGTAGTAGTGGTAGTAGTAGTAGTGGTAGTAGTAGTAGTAGTACCCACACTATCACATAAAACATTAAACAAATTCAGGTCACCATTTCGTCACGTGAGAGACCACCAACAGATTATATATACCTTCCCAGGGGGAGATAAGAAATACATGCCTCAATCATCAAGACATACACAAAGCAAGAAAACCATCAAACTGTTTCATTAAGTCTTGATGACAAGAAAACTTTCCAACAAACTGTTTGAACTAGATAATGTGGTCAGCACAACATCACTGTAACCTGAAGCCTGACCTGCAGTAGATTGAAGTGACCTCTATCAACTACATGTACTTATCTGTTTGATAAAGATTCTTCCACCTCTTAGGGAGGACTTATTTCCCTATTTCTATCATAGAGCAACCAACAGAATAAATATTTCATTGGAATTCACTGAAAACTGACACTAAAATACAATTAAAACATATTTTTAAAACAAATGTTGAAATGTTAATTTGTTATGAATAAATGTAAAATAAATTATTACAAAGACTCTGTCAAATAGTAACAGTGCCCACATTTTCAATACTTTGTAATACGAAACTATCCCCATGTATAAAATTGAAAAAGTGAATCTGTATTGTGTATATCTTTACACTACAAGCATTGCAAGAACAGCTCTACACAAAGAAACAAACTTTGATCATGTCAGATGTAATAAGGACATCACTAGATCACTACAATACTAAAACAATACTGTTGACAGTTACAGGATTTCTCAATGAAAACATTAATACTTTACCACAGTAAAAATACAGGTGGTCTTGAAATAATACACTTTAAAAAAAACTATTTCTAAAACAATTGGTTCTGTATATTTAGAAAAAATAACAAAAGTGATTTGCTCTTGTAACCAAGAAATGAAGTATGAAATAATATAGAATGACTCTAGGATTGCAGGAAAATTCTACATTGTCCGCTGATGTGTTTTTAGAAATTATGATAAGTAATTGCTATGATTAATTTACCAATGCAGTCATATGGGGGAATGTTGGCACAATAAATATTCTAAATATTCTATCCTAGACATGGCCTCAAATTGTCGTGAGTCAAATTGTCGGATTTAATATCAAACTGATATAACATATACCAGACACACAGTCGATTTTAACCAAAACATACAAACATAAAGTCGATCCTTAAAAAAATGTTTTTCAGACCATTCGCCCATATATTTATTTTCCCTACATAACCTGATTTTTGTATGGAACATTGAAGAATTATTAATGCTTTCAGCTAAGACAATTCACATGGTAATCTTAATCTCTGCATATAAAACAATTCCAAGCAGAACAGGAAATACAATTTAATCGGTAAATCATCATGTCTAGTGATGTTTCATCTAAAATTTCAAATTTGTATTGACCAAGTTTAATACATTGTAGTTATGATCTGTTCATTTCCCTAAATTTGCTGAAGGGATACGATGTTATTTCTTTCTGCGGAAGACAGACACGTTTTTATGGCAAATGTATGTGCGGGTGACGTGCTTCATTCTGATTGGCTTTACAGATGGGATGTATACATTAGCATCGATTTTGAAGTCTTGTACAGAGGGGTCGCCTTATACGTGGAGTCGCTTTATAGAGGGTGATATACGGTATACTACAAAATTTGGAAAAATCAGACTGTTGAGTATGTAGAATTTTGATGCAAAACATTCTGGGACTGTTTCTTACAACTAGTGAAGGAGGTAATACTTCTTCATCTACTTCAACATGGCCAGATAATAAACTATTCATATGAGGTTATTAAGGCCAGACATCTTTTTGTTTGTTCATAGATTGATACTGAAAAAATTGGACGGTAGGTCGAAAATAAATAAATAAATAAAATTCATTGTACATGAATTTTTTAAGCATCTTTAAGTTTCAATTTGATTGGAAAGTGAAAAAAACAATAAAAATTTGTGGCCTGGTTTGGGTCCTTATTAAAATTATGAATAAAAAATATGATGGCAGCATTTCATTGTAAGTTTTATCATCAAAGCGATCCTTACTGTGAGCAGCACGAAACTAAACCCTTGTCACCCTGCTTTTTTATTTTGTACCAACTTTTGCTTTTATGGTTGGTGGAACCATAAACAAAAAAATAAAATATAAATATTTTGAAGATTCTTTTCTAGGTTATCACAGAATAAGAAAAAACTTACTTGTTACGTTTCTTTTGATAGTTAGCATAAACTGTTAAAACCATAAGTCATATATAACATTCATGACTAAAATATATAAACACTACAAATAAACATACTGAATGGAAGATCAATGATGTTGATACCTAAAAATACTGGAGCATAATACGAGCAAATATTAAAAAAAACATTTTCTGTTACTCAGGAAACATTCAACAGTATTCCTTAAGATATAATTCTTCCTGAAAAGGATTTTAAAATTCAGAATGACCTTCTGTATATGGCACATGTGTAATGAGCATCATCATCACTTGTAATTCACCATGACAACCACCGAGAGGTGATGAAATGATTGACAGGTAAATACACCTCTCTATTTAACATCAAACAAATCATACAAAAATATTAACAAAGATATCTTGATACCTCCAAGTTCTTGTGACCAAACAAATTCTTACAAACAAAGTGTGTTTTAAGTATGAAATCTTAATAATCTGACCTGAAGTTTCAAATGTAAATAAATAAGGTTTAATCACCTTAACTTTTATCTACATAGCTGTCACATTTAGGCATACACTACAGTTATGACAACACCAAATAAGAAATGAGGAGATAAATAATAATCTGAAAATTTGCATTATTTCTGACAAATGCAAAAACTTACATATTGACACAAATGAAAAATACATAAGACTACAACCATCAATATGTAGTAAAAGTCTTCAGATAAATACTTGAAAAAGAGAAAAAAACATCTGACATTAGCTTTCATCAAACTTACTTTTCCCCCCATCTCCCGGCCAGCATTATCCACTAACCCATGAAGTGAGTGAGTGAGTGAGTTGGGTTTACCACCGCTTTTAACAGTATTCCAGTTATATCGCGGCGTGTCCGCTTAATGTGGGAGGAAAGCCCGAAGTGATGCAGGTCTCAGACGTTTACCACCACGGTGAAACCCATGAGCACGGGTATGGTGCTGACAAACCTAGAAACATAAGCGGGGCGAACCGGGATTCAAACCCACAATCATAGGTTTCTGGCGTAGCCAAGAGACGCAACTCTGCACAGCAAATCGCGGCACCTTAGACGACTAGGCCACCCATGCCCCCTAACCCATGAAGAAAAATACATAGTTTTGCCATGCTTACAGTACAATGTATGTGTATTTTTCTTTCGAACCAACATCACTGCAGTGACACCTTGCATTTGAAGAAAGGGATCTGTTAACACATCATCTTATCAAATATATTGACTGTAAACCCGAAGCTGGTCCAATAATGTTAAGCATAGGAAATTTCATTTTCTCAGGATACTAACTTTCTATCGTCAAAAGTGATATATCTAGTTAATTAAGTTGGAACCATTACCTGTAACTTTAATGTCTAATATGTTGTAATTAAATGACAAGCAAGTTACCTTTGCCAGAAGCCTGTCTCTTGGCAAAGTAAAAACATGTGCGTAACATAATGAGAAATATTTTTCATAAAATAACATGCAAGTTACTTTTGCTGGAAGCTTATGTCTTGGCAATGTGACAATGTGAGAACAAGGAGCTTGCCATGATGAGAAATATTCTCATAAAAATACATGCAAGTTGCCATTCTGGAAGCCTGAGTTTGCATCTTGAGCAATATAGTGTAGACATCATAAACTCATCCATCAACAATACTCAACAGGAATGTCATGGACTGATCCTGAGATATCACATTCATAATCCGACACAACCACAGTTACATTTTTCATATCAATATTACAATATCATATGTTTCAATTTTTTAGGGTGGCATCGGGCAATCATAAAATCATTGTAAATTTCATCACAGTTTCAAAAGGAATGTACTATTTATCTTGAGATGACATATTTTAACCAGCTGCATGATCTTCACACACAGTCCATCGTTACTGGTTTCAAGGAGATGCTAGCAGAGCAGCAAAATTCATTTACCATGGCATACTTCCTTTAACTTCATCTGCATCCTGACTCATAGAACCATCAACATGATTTTGATTTTCATGAAACCTTAATCTGTATTCTTTGTCATTCGTGAAACCACCCTTGCCCTTAGATTCTCATGAAACATTCATCTGTCTAGATCTTTTGTTATTTGTAAAACCAATCTTACCCTTAGATTCTCATGAAATATTCATCTGTCGAGATCTTTAGTTATTCGTGAAACCACCCTTACCCTTAGATTCTCATGAAACATTCATCTGTCTAGATCTTTTGTTATTCGTGAAACCACCCTTACCCTTAGATTCTCATGAAACATTCATCTGTCGAGATCTTTAGTTATTCGTGAAACCACCCTTACCCTTAGATTCTCATGAAATATTCATCTGTCTAGATCTTGAGTCATTCGTGAAACCACCCTTACCCTTAGATTCTCATGAAACATTCATCTGTCTAGATCTTTAGTTATTCGTGAAACCACCCTTACCCTTAGATTCTCATGAAACATTCATCTGTCTAGATCTTTAGTTATTCGTGAAACCACCCTTACCCTTAGATTCTCATGAAACATTCATCTGTCGAGATCTTGAGTCATTCGTGAAACCACCCTTACCTTTAGATTCTCATGAAATCATACATACCCTTAGATTCTCATGAAACATTCATCTGCCTAGATCTTTAGTTATTTGTAAAACCACCCATTCCCTTAGATTCTCATGAAAGATTCATCTGTCCAGATCTTTAGATATTTGTAAAACCCCCCATTCCCTTAGATTCTCATGAAAGATTCATCTGTCTAGATCTTTAGATTCTCATGAAACCATACATACTTTTAGATTCTCATGAAACCAAACATACTCTTAGATTCTCATGAAACCATACATACTCTAAGATTCTCATGAAACTTTCATCTGTATCTTTATATAATCATGAAACCTTCCAAATCCTTAGATTAGCATTAAACCTTCTTCCATGTGTTCAGATACTCATTGAAGTCTCGCCCTTGTAAATGTGAGAAGAGAAGATTCTGGTTCCTCTCACAAAGATGTCATGTGTGGAGCTAGGGTCATGTTCGGGACACAGATGATCGTTCATCCAACTTGATATGATAATACACTACATGGATGGTCTTGACAAATTCTGTATATTCTGAGATCACACAGTCACCTCTATTTCTGTCTTTGAAATATACACAATGTTGGCAGTATCAGGAAAACATGGCATGACAAATGAATGAACCATAGCATCAGTATTCAGTGCAATGCTGCAGCAACGAGGGGCGCACAGGATAAATAAACAGAACCATCTACACAAAGTCAGCATTCAGTTCTTGAGCAGTCCACATGACAGTGACTATCAAACTGCTCCAAGGAACAATGGGCATTGCATAAACACCATACACGCTGATTCTCCTGCAACATCCACCCGATCCTGATCTTATTCCAGAAGGATGATACACAGAGGATCAGTCAGAGAAGTAGCTCAGTGATGACGAGTTCACACAAAGTTCTCGTCGCTATGGGAACACATCAGGAAGGAGTCCATGAGCCTGGGCTGGATGAGCTGCTGATGGTCCTGAGCTGACATGCGGTGATCTTCGACAGTTGTGCAGATCTTACGTAGTGAGGCCTGCAATGACAATAATGTATATCAGTATTAGCTGGGCTAGATGATACACTGCTGCCCTTGATCCAAGCCTTTATCATGATGAGTGAGTGAGTGAATGTTGCCTAACATAAATGTCAGCATTATCAAGCCAAGTCACAGATCCTTGCCAAGCATACACTTAATCAACTCTTAAGACAAGCATAGGTTATGGGGTACCTATTCTAACCCTGGTCCACAAGTGGCCAACAAAGACTTTGCACCCAGGTGAGAATAGGTCTGCAGCAACCCATACTTGCGGTAAAAGGCAACTATGCCTGTCGTAAGAGGCGACTAAAGGGATCAAATGGTCAGGCTCACTGACTTGGTTGATGAATGTCATCGTATCCCAATTGCGTGGATCGATGCTCATGATATCAATCATCGGACTGTGGTCCAGATTCGACTATTTACTGATCATATAGCTGGAATATGCTGTGTGTGGCGTGAAAAAACAAACAAACAAAGACTTGATCTAGGAATGAGGATTCTAGGGGGACCTATTCAAACCAAGGTCCACAAGGAGCCTACAAAGACTTGGCAAAGAAGTAGATTCAGGGGGACCTATTCTAACCCAGGTCCACAAAGAGCCTACAAAAACTTTGCCTAGGGATGTGGATTGTTGAGGCCCTAATCTTCCCAAGGCAAAGGAGTAAACTCACGATAAATGTCCAGTTTCAACCCTTGCCAAATTAGGCTGGAATTATGGAGTTTTATTTTGGCTGGACTAACAAGTCCATGCATAGTCCAATCAAAATCACAATGAAAATCTTTCATCTTTTTAATCAATGTGCTCACGTGATTTGATGCACTTCGCTAAGTAAGACCTGTTTTATCACAAAAAAAATCTTGATTATCTATCAGATCATCTTCACTGGGCACTCCTATTTTTGTATGAAACAAATGAAAGTGATATCAGAGGTGGCATAAAATTGGTCAGTAGAAGGAACATAGAAGGGTCATAACTTTTTCTGAACAGAACTTGATCATGCGAATGCACTTGTGACAATATGAATGAAGCCAGTATACCACTGATTCAGTTATTATGCTGTATGTAAGAACCATTCTGTGAGGGATAAAGTGTGTATATGTCTCTCCCCCTGATATTTCCATATTGTTAGACATGGAAGACTTCCATGAAATGAATCTACTCACAAGGCAGGCCACAAGAACAGCATCACTGTTGTTTCTCTCCTTGACAAAGCGACACAGCTGAACTAGTCGAGGGACACCTGGATACATAAAACATGTTCACTAGTAAAAGCAGATCCACAAAATGCACAACCCAAAAAAGCTGTATCCATGCTTGACGCTGTGAGGAAGTAAATTTGATTTTAGTGATGGATCTAGGGGTGGCCACAACTCCCCTTTTTTAACATCTGACATTTTGTATACGCATCTCCTACATGTTGATTTAGTTGTTAAAGTAAAAATATCATATAAAACTCAGCTAATAGACATCCATTAAACTGCCCAAGTGGAACCCACCCCACTTCACTTAAAATCCTGGATCCGCCCCTTGATTTAATCCCCCTTTGACCAGTACTTCAATATCATATGTCATGGTGGTGCAGCTTATGTGTGAGGGATGAACAAATAGATGCAGGTACAAGACACTAGTCTGCTAGCCCAAGACTACTAAATTGTGATGAGGGCAAGAATACCAAGGATGGTAGTCCTCATAGACCAGCAGTATTTGAGGGCTATAATTTTGAAGCAGTTTTGCAATGCTTCAGGCTGTAAGAAGTCTTTATAAGTAACCCCTACAAAGACCGAAAATTTAGATGACAGTCCAAATTTTTTCTGGTGTATATTACAGTTTTTACTGAAAACAGCCACGGAGAGGTGGTATGCAATTGCCTTGTGCCTATTATCAAAAATGTTTTAGTTTCATTGATTTGAATTGAGTTTGTTCACTATCGCTCGAATTCTGAAAACAAATTAATTCATTCTGGGTGATTTAAGACGCATCCATCTTTATTCATTTTCTAAATATGGGTTCTTATAACAACAAATATGGTATATCAGTTACAATGCCTCACCATTCAGCTTGACAATACTGCGAGCATATCTCTCCTCTCTACACAGTCGAGTCAGGGCGATGGCAGCTTTCTGTTGGACACGCTCGCATGCGGCCACCTCCGCTGTGTTTCTGTACGATGATGGTCGTTCATGAAGAAACTGAACCAGAAGTTCTATCCCTGAATTCTCTGCAATCCCTGACTGACAAGTGATGACAGCAGCCATATTGGCTAACACTGTGGCAATCTGGAAAGATAATCACCATTACAATATTTGTACACACTTCATACATACACACATATAACGCATGACAGACAGTGGGTTGCACAGACAGCAGCACCTACATTTTGAATCATAAAAAACATTATGTGACCACAGTTGGAAGATTTGTTGATGATAAGGTATATGAGTGTGAACATATTATACCACTATAACCAATCCACTTGGTGACATGTTTTTAACATAATAACCAGATAATTTGCATTTATCTAGCACTTGTATCACTAAATGCACCCCAAAAGCTGCATCCAAGCTTGTGTGATACAATCAAACTATCACTGAAAGGTGGTGTGATTAACTGATAAGTATTAAACAAGTCATGACATGCGGATCAGAATTTAACAAGTTTGTTACACAGTTACCCCTTGGAAACCCTTCAATCAGGTGATCTCTAAACTATAAAACTACAGTAGAACACGGATATAGAGAACAAACGGATACAACAGACTGTTAAAAAATCCCTGATTTATCTAAAAAAATATCATATAAAATGTACATACATAACAAACTCTCTAAAACGGATACAGTGAACTGATATCTGATCACTGACAAGCCCATCTACCATTAATTAGTGAGGTGTATAACGAACTGAGATATCTCACTCAGTGTCAAGTGTCACTGAGAATTACCTGTGCGCAATCAACACAATCGTGGCAAATCAATACAATCAGGGGTGACAGATTAACGCTGACAGAGATATCCTTGTTGCAGAACATGCGAGTGATGACGACATTGTCCAGTAGATTGTTGAAAAGCGAGATGGATGAAGACATGCAAGATGGGTTCAAAGCTGATACAAGTCAATGCTGCAATTACGTGTATTGTGTTTTGTTTTATCCAAGATGGCAGACGTTTCCAAGAGAAAATGTGTATCATGAACAACAGATATAACAAACTGCTTTCTCTGGTCCCTTGTAGTTCGTTTTATCAATGTTCTACTGTACATGGTGTTTAAGAAGAGAATTTATGGATGTCAACTTCTTTATCATGAGGAAACACAACATTTCGGAGCATATGCTTACTCCTTCATCATGTGAATGAATGCTATGAGGCAGAGAGCACATATATGCACATGTAAGGACAACAAAAGTAATAAGATGGTGTTACACTTAAGTCGAAACAGCCTGACCTGATCCTTGGCAAACAGGGACGAAGCCTTGGACATGGAGCAGTGTCTGATAAGATGGCGCGGAGCCTGCTTCTGATGGAGGATCTCACATGCCAGAGTGTCAATGAATGTCACGTTAGCCACGGCGGCGGTCGCCAGCAGGAAAACCTCATGGGAGCTTGTCTTCTGACACAGAACTGGAAAACAGAGCAGTTTTCATGTATCATGATTACTAGGGCCATTACGAGACACTCGCGCATTCGGTGATTCGAACCGTATCCAATCATGAATTGAATTTGTTATTCGTGGCCACTAGAATCGAATATTTATGAATATATGCAATCATGTACATTTACATAGCCTGTACCTAAAAGATCCATAAGAACATGTCATATGCACAGATTTCTTTAAAGACAACTCTTATAATATTTAATTTGACAGGAATTTGGTCACTGGTCATTGTAGCATTTGAGCAGATACTAAGACCAAGTACCTGGACAAGTTGCAGCCCTAATGATTACCATGTTACACAAGTGTTTAGGAATTAGGAGATAAACCAGGTGTTATTAACGCAGGCTGTTTCATTGGCTCTTGTCACAAGTCTTTTGATTGGATAACACCAAACTTTAAAAAGCACTCTACTGCCATGTCAATGAGTGAGTGAATGAGTTGGGTTTAACGCCGCTTTTAACAGTATTCCAGTATTATCGCGGCGTGTCAGCTTAATGTGGGAGGAAAGCCCGAAGTGATGCAGGTCTCCGACGTTTACCACTTCGGTGAAACCCATGAGCACGGGTATGGTGCTGACAAACCTAGAAACATAATCGGGGCGAACCGGGATTCGAACCCACAATCAAAGGTTTCTAGCGTGCCCAAGGGACGCAACTCTGCAAAGCGAAATCGCGGCGCCTTAGTTGACTGGGCCACCCGTGCCCCCTACTGCCAACTCAACAAAATAATTAACAAAATGTCGTTAAAATAGGATTGTATAACAATTCATAAACATGAGCTTTCATTTATCCATGGATGACGTAGTCAGGCACAGTGAAATGACTCCAAGCTGACCAGTCCTTGTTTTATCCCCTTGATGCTGAATGTCAGGGAACCACAAGTATCATGGTTCAACATCTTTTGGATCGAACAATCGACCATCCGCTCTCTGGGTAGAGACTCTATCAGCTACATCATGGTTTGTTTGTTTGTTGTTTGTTGTTTAACACCGCACACAGCAATATTCCAGCTATATGATGGTAGTCTGAAAAATAATCAAGTCTGGACCAGGCAATCCTGTGATTGATATCATGAGCATCGATCCACACAATTTGGATACGATGACATGCATCAACCAAGTCATCAGGCCTGACCACCCGATCCCGTTAGTCGCCCCTTACGACAAGCACAGTCGCCCTTTATGGCAAGCATGGGTTGCTGAAGACCTATTCTACCCCGGATCTTCACAGGTCCTACATCACGGAGGCGGTTATTGTGTGAATGATGGAATGGACATTAACAATGGCCAAGGAATCAGGGAAAGAGCTGGTGATGTCCTTACCAAGCAGGGCCTTCAACAAGTCTTGTAGATTGTTGTCAACAAAGCCACTGAGATGTTGGTTGTGTTCTAAACTCGGTGAAGTAATCTGCGCGACCACACCCGCTGCCTCGCCCTGCACACCCTCAGATGTCTTCATATCACACAGGACCTCGGTCAGCAGCTCGAGACCACTCTCCTGCACAGGCACAAAACAGTCACTATGGAAATTGACGATAGCCATTGCATCTCTGTGTATATTTCACAACATATGACACACTACAAGAGTGAGTGAGTGAGTGGGTTTAACGCCGCTTTTAACAATATTCCAGTTATATCACGGCGTGTCAGCTTAATGTGGGAGGAAAGCCCGAAGTGATGCAGATCTCCGACGTTTACCACTTCGGTGAAACCCACGAGCACGGGTATGGTGCTGACAAACCTAGAAACATAATCGGGGCGAACCAGGATTCGAACCCACAATCATAGGTTTCTGGCATGTTCAAGGGACGCGACTCTGCACAGCGAATCGCGGCGCCTTAGACGACTGGGCCCCGACCCCCCACACACTACAAGAAATGATGCTGGCAGGAAAATGTTTCTGTTCTATGAGATAGGCACTCATTGAGTAAAACTGCCTGTGCTAAAAACATTTGAGTCTACAAACCAGGGTCCACTTGCACAAAGTGATCAAAGTTGTAGCGCTAAGATCACTTTGTGGAACAGGGCCGTGAGGTCGAAAGTCCTGTCCTATATGGGTACTGTTTAGGGTCTCATTCCACAAAGCTATCTTAGTGCTAAGATGATCGTAACTCCCATACTTTAACATCAGCTTATAATAGTCGTAGCACTAAGATCGTTTTGTGCAAGTGGGCCCGGATCTTGTTTCTGCATCACTTTGGGTAAAAATACAGTATTAATACATGGGCTTTTATTAGTTGTCTTTGAACATGTTGAACAGTGTGATCTTACATGACTTGAAGAATTTCACCAGACTCTGGCTTCAGACAAGTTGTTAGCTCCACAGACTGACAAGGAATGATAATTTTCCTTCAATTTTAAAAGCAAACTGTTTTAATCACAAACATGAATGATAATTTGAATTATAGATTGTTTCTAAAATATCTGACAGAGCTGTTTGGTTTTCATGGATACATAACATTGTCCATTATTTGAAGATGTTGATGCATTCCAGAGTGGTGTGATAGGCGTCTCCAACTTTGGAAAACTACCAGGAATAGCACAGTACCATGTTGACAGTGCCCCCAAACAGTATGTGTTTTCAGGTCTGCAAGCGTGACTTGAGTATTCAGTTCATAGAAACTTATAACATTTAATACCTCCGGCTACCACAGTTAGTTCTAAATAGAATTTCTGGGCATGAAACTCAATAACACATAAAAATCAGAAAAAAAACATTCAAATATATATTATGACAATAACCATGAAATGTTCCTGTAGGCTCATTGTACTTAGAGGAGGAAAAAGTAACAAGTCTCAAAATGCTCAACAGAAGAATAACTTCTCATGAACAAAATTGGAAATGAAATTAACTTCGGTAGCAGGCAAAATCTGAAACATTATCTGCTAGTAACATGCAACCATCTTCCCGAGGCAAGGGAGTTAACTGACTTTAAAAGTCCAGTTTCCACCCTTGCCGAATGAGGCTGGAATTACTGGGCTCGGTTGTTGCGCCACCAGTGGCTATTACCAGTTATGTCCCTTCTAAGCCTCTCCTATGGACCAATCAGATTCCACCTCTCGTATTACTTGCGTTTGCTTCACACAAAATGGTGGCGCCCAGTCAGGACGATCTGATCGATAATCAAGATCTATATTGTGATAAAATGGGTCTTACATCGCGAAATGCATTAAATCATGTGAGCACCTTGATTAAAAACATAAAAAGATTTGGAAAATATCTGTTGACAACGAGTTGGCGGTGCACATGCTTTGCAAATCCTGCAATCGATCGAAATCTGTACGACAGTTTACGAACTGGATTTCGATTTTGGTGCGCGAATTTGATTGGACTATGCATAGACTCGTTAGTCCAGCCAAAATGTGACTCCATAATACCAGCCTAGGTCGGCAATGGTGGAAACTGGACTTTTATAGTCAGTTAACTCTCTTGCGTCGGGAAGATGCATGCAACAGGCCCAAACTGTGTCAGTCTTTTTTGGTGTTGAATGCTGCATTCAGCAATATTCCTGTAAATAATCAAGTCTGCACCAGACAATCCAGTGACCACTGGGGTACAATGATAGGCTATCAACACCAAGTCAACCTGAAACCTTTTACGACCAGCACAGGATGCTAGGGAACTAATCTTAACCGGAGTCCCTGCTGGGAAACCATGATACTGACACTGATGCATGATTATATCATCTATACTCATAAGTATCATAAGTACAGGTCTGTAAAGTCAATCTACAGCTGTCCATCACTACTGTGGAAACTCATCAGAGCCTGTTCGTCCCATCTTCCTGAGGCAAGAGAGTCAGCTGATTATAAAAGTCCAGTTTCCACCCTTGCCGACCTAGGCCGGAATTCCTGGCCTTGATCGTAGCGCCACCAGTGGTTATTATGAGGTATGTCCCTTCTAAGCCTCTCCTATGGACCAATCCGAATCCATCACTTGCATTTGTTTCAAACAAAATGGCGGCACTCAGGCAAGACGATCTGATCGATAATAAAGATCTACATAAAACGGGTCTTACATCGCGAAGTGCATCAAATCATGCGACGACCTCAATTAAAAACATGAAAAGGTTTGGAAAATATCTGTTGACAGTGAGTTGGTGGTGCACATGCTTTGCAAATCCTGCAATCGACCGAAATCTGCATGACAGTTTACGAACCGGATTTCGATTTCTTTGCGCGATTTTGATTTGACTATGCATAGACTCGTTAGTCAAGCCAAAATGTATCTCCATAATACCAGCCTAGTTCGGAAAGGGTGGAAACTGGACTTCTACAGTCAGTTGACTCCCTTGCCTCTGGAAGATGTGTTCGTCCAAGCTATGGCTCAACTTGAAACCTCACAATAAATATATTTATGGCCTTTGAAAGAAAGGAAGAGTTAAACCTAGAATATTCTTGAGAACAATCCAAGCACACTTCTCCCACTACAAGAAATACCTTCTCTAGTTCCATGATACTCTCAGGCACACAACAGACAGTAGCCAGAGCACGCAGAGCCTGTGCGTGGGCAAACTCCAGCGAGTCAGTCCGACATATATCCAGCAATGCTCGAACACCTCCTTCCTGGAACAAACATTTGCTATAAAAGTGAGCAAGAAAGTGTCTGTCTGTCTGTTTAACGTCCCACTCAGCAATATTCCAGCTATATGACGGCCGTCTGTAAATAATCGAGTCTGGAACAGACAATCCAGTGGCTGACATACTGAGCATCAATCCACGCCATTGGGATACGATGACATGCTTCAACCAAGTCAGCGAGTCTGACCACCTGATCCCATTAGGCGCCTCTCACGACAAACATAGTCGCCTTTGACGGCAAGCATGGGTTGCTGAGACCCATTCTACGCCCTGGATCGATAAAAAACTGTAACTGATACTTAAGCAGACATATTGAGCTGGGAATCACGCCCTGTTAATCACAGTAGGAATAGGGCCATTGTCACCTTTAACTATTGACCTACAACATACAGTAAGCTATGCTTATAACGAACACACTAATAGAGAACTGACGGGTATGATGAACTGTTTTATTGTCCTGTCCATTTGCTGTATATAAGCATATAACGAACATGCTTATAACGAACTGACGGGTATGATGAACTGTTTTATGGTCCTGTCCATTTGCTGTATATAAGCATATAACGAACACACTAATAACGAACTGACGGGTATGATGAACTGTTTTATGGTCATGTCCATTTGCTGTATATAAGCATATAACGAACACACATAACGATCTGACGGGTATGATGAACTGTTTTATGGTCCTGTCCATTTGCTGTATATAAGCATATAACGAACACACATAACGATCTGACGGGTATGATGAACTGTTTTATGGTCCTGTCCATTTGCTGTATATAAGCATATGACGAACACGCTTATAATGAACTGACAGGTAAAATGAACTGTTTTATGGTCCTGTCCATTTGCTGTATATAAGCATATAACGAACACACATAACGATCTGACGGGTATGATGAACTGTTTTATGGTCCTGTCCATTTGCTGTATATAAGCATATAACGAACACACATAACGATCTGACGGGTATGATGAACTGTTTTATGGTCCTGTCCATTTGCTGTATATAAGCATATGACGAACACGCTTATAATGAACTGACAGGTACAATGAACTGTTTTATGGTCCTGTCCATTTGCTGTATATAAGCATATGACGAACACGCTTATAATGAACTGACAGGTAAAATGAACTGTTTTATGGTCATGTCCATTTGCTGTATATAAGCATATAACAAACACGGTTATAATGAACTGACAGGTATAATTAACTGTTTTATGGTCCTGTCCATTTGCTGTATATAAGCATATAACAAACACGCTTATAACGAACTGACAGGTAAAATGAACTGTTTTATGGTCCTGTCCATTTGCTGTATATAAGCATATAACGAACACGCTTATAATGAACTGACAGGTAAAATGAACTGTTTTATGGTCATGTCCATTTGCTGTATATAAGCATATAACAAACACGCTTATAACGAACTGACAGGTATAATTAACTGTTTTATGGTCCTGTCCATTTGCTGTATATAAGCATATAACAAACACGCTTATAACGAACTGACAGGTAAAATGAACTGTTTTATGGTCATGTCCATTTGCTGTATATAAGCATATAACAAACACGCTTATAACGAACTGACAGGTACAATGAACTGTTTTATGGTCCTGTCCATTTGCTGTATATAAGCATATAACGAACTACTGTTATAATGAACTGACAGGTAAAATGAACTGTTTTATGGTCCTGTCCATTTGCTGTATATAAGCATATAACAAACAAGCTTATAACGAACTGACAGGTATAATTAACTGTTTTATGGTCCTGTCCATTTGCTGTATATAAGCACATGACGAACACGCTTATAATGAACTGACAGGTAAAATGAACTGTTTTATGGTCCTGTCCATTTGCTGTATATAAGCATATAATGAACTACTGTTATAATGAACTGACAGGTAAAATGAACTGTTTTATGGTCCTGTCCATTTGCTGTATATAAGCATATAATGAACTACTGTTATAATGAACTGACAGGTAAAATGAACTGTTTTATGGTCATGTCCATTTGCTGTATATAAGCATATGACGAACACGCTTATAACGAACTGACAGGTAAAATGAACTGTTTTATGGTCATGTCCATTTGCTGTATATAAGCATATAACAAACACGCTTATAACGAACTGACAGGTATAATTAACTGTTTTATGGTCCTGTCCATTTGCTGTATATAAGCATATAACGAACTACTGTTATAATGAACTGACAGGTAAAATGAACTGTTTTATGGTCCTGTCCATTTGCTGTATATAAGCATATAATGAACTACTGTTATAATGAACTGACAGGTAAAATGAACTGTTTTATGGTCCTGTCCATTTGCTGTATATAAGCATATGACGAACACGCTTATAACGAACTGACAGGTAAAATGAACTGTTTTATGGTCCTGTCCATTTGCTGTATATAAGCATATAACGAACACGCTTATAATGAACTGACAGGTAAAATGAACTGTTTTATGGTCATGTCCATTTGCTGTATATAAGCATTTAACAAACACGCTTATAACGAACTGACAGGTATAATTAACTGTTTTATGGTCCTGTCCATTTGCTGTATATAAGCATATAAAAAACACGCTTATAACGAACTGACAGGTAAAATGAACTGTTTTATGGTCATGTCCATTTGCTGTATATAAGCATATAACAAACACGCTTATAACGAACTGACAGGTACAATGAACTGTTTTATGGTCCTGTCCATTTGCTGTATATAAGCATATAACGAACTACTGTTATAATGAACTGACAGGTAAAATGAACTGTTTTATGGTCCTGTCCATTTGCTGTATATAAGCATATAACAAACACGCTTATAACGAACTGACAGGTAAAATGAACTGTTTTATGGTCCTGTCCATTTGCTGTATATAAGCATATAACGAACACGCTTTAAATGAACTGACAGGTAAAATGAAGTTTTATGGTCCTGTCCATTTGCTGTATATAAGCATATAACGAACACGCTTATAACGAACTGACAGGTAAAATGAACTGTTTTATGGTCCTGTCCATTTGCTGTATATAAGCATATAACAAACACGCTTATAACGAACTGACAGGTAAAATGAACTGTTTTATGGTCCTGTCCATTTGCTGTATATAAGCATAAAACGAACACGCTTTAAACGAACTGACAGGTAAAATGAACTGTTTTATGGTCCTGTCCATTTGCTGTATATAAGCATATAACAAACACGCTTATAACGAACTGACAGGTAAAATGAACTGTTTTATGGTCCTGTCCATTTGCTGTATATAAGCATATAACGAACACGCTTATAACGAACTGACGGGTATAATGAACTGTTTTATGGTCCTGTCCATTTGCTGTATATAAGCATATAACGAACACGCTTATAACGAACTGACAGGTATAATGAACTGTTTTATGGTCCTGTCCATTTGCTGTATATAAGCATATAACGAACACGCTTATAACGAACTGACAGGTAAAATGAACTGTTTTATGGTCCTGTCCATTTGCTGTATCTAAGCATATAACGAACACGCTTATAACGAACTGACAGGTAAAATGAACTGTTTTATGGTCCTGTCCATTTGCTGTATATAAGCATATAACGAACACGCTTATAACGAACTGACGGGTACAATGAACTGTTTTATGGTCCTGTCCATTTGCTGTATATAAGCATATAACGAACTACTGTTATAATGAACTGACAGGTAAAATGAACTGTTTTATGGTCCTGTCCATTTGCTGTATATAAGCATATAACGAACACGCTTATAACGAACTGACAGGTAAAATGAACTGTTTTATGGTCCTGTCCATTTGCTGTATATAAGCATATAACAAACACGCTTATAACGAACTGACAGGTACAATGAACTGTTTTATGGTCCTGTCCATTTGCTGTATATAAGCATATAACAAACACGCTTATAACGAACTGACGGGTACAATGAACTGTTTTATGGTCCTGTCCATTTGCTGTATATAAGCATATAACGAACTACTGTTATAATGAACTGACAGGTAAAATGAACTGTTTTATGGTCCTGTCCATTTGCTGTATATAAGCATATAATGAACTACTGTTATAATGAACTGACAGGTAAAATGAACTGTTTTATGGTCCTGTCCATTTGCTGTATATAAGCATATGACGAACACGCTTATAACGAACTGACAGGTATAATTAACTGTTTTATGGTCCTGTCCATTTGCTGTATATAAGCATATAAAAAACACGCTTATAACGAACTGACAGGTAAAATGAACTGTTTTATGGTCATGTCCATTTGCTGTATATAAGCATATAACAAACCGCTTATAACGAACTGACGGGTACAATGAACTGTTTTATGGTCCTGTCCATTTGCTGTATATAAGCATATAACGAACTACTGTTATAATGAACTGACAGGTAAAATGAACTGTTTTATGGTCCTGTCCATTTGCTGTATATAAGCATATAACAAACACGCTTATAACGAACTGACAGGTAAAATGAACTGTTTTATGGTCCTGTCCATTTGCTGTATATAAGCATATAACGAACACGCTTTAAACGAACTGACAGGTAAAATGAAGTTTTATGGTCCTGTCCATTTGCTGTATATAAGCATATAACGAACACGCTTATAACGAACTGACAGGTAAAATGAACTGTTTTATGGTCCTGTCCATTTGCTGTATATAAGCATAAAACGAACACGCTTTAAACGAACTGACAGGTAAAATGAAGTTTTATGGTCCTGTCCATTTGCTGTATATAAGCATATAAAAAACACGCTTATAACGAACTGACAGGTAAAATGAACTGTTTTATGGTCCTGTCCATTTGCTGTATATAAGCATATAACAAACACGCTTATAACGAACTGACGGGTACAATGAACTGTTTTATGGTCCTGTCCATTTGCTGTATATAAGCATATAACGAACTACTGTTATAATGAACTGACAGGTAAAATGAACTGTTTTATGGTCCTGTCCATTTGCTGTATATAAGCATATAACAAACACGCTTATAACGAACTGACAGGTAAAATGAACTGTTTTATGGTCCTGTCCATTTGCTGTATATAAGCATATAACGAACACGCTTTAAATGAACTGACAGGTAAAATGAAGTTTTATGGTCCTGTCCATTTGCTGTATATAAGCATATAACGAACACGCTTATAACGAACTGACAGGTAAAATGAACTGTTTTATGGTCCTGTCCATTTGCTGTATATAAGCATATAACAAACACGCTTATAACGAACTGACAGGTAAAATGAACTGTTTTATGGTCCTGTCCATTTGCTGTATATAAGCATAAAACGAACACGCTTTAAACGAACTGACAGGTAAAATGAACTGTTTTATGGTCCTGTCCATTTGCTGTATATAAGCATATAACAAACACGCTTATAACGAACTGACAGGTAAAATGAACTGTTTTATGGTCCTGTCCATTTGCTGTATATAAGCATATAACGAACACGCTTATAACGAACTGACGGGTATAATGAACTGTTTTATGGTCCTGTCCATTTGCTGTATATAAGCATATAACGAACACGCTTATAACGAACTGACAGGTATAATGAACTGTTTTATGGTCCTGTCCATTTGCTGTATATAAGCATATAACGAACACGCTTATAACGAACTGACAGGTAAAATGAACTGTTTTATGGTCCTGTCCATTTGCTGTATCTAAGCATATAACGAACACGCTTATAACGAACTGACAGGTAAAATGAACTGTTTTATGGTCCTGTCCATTTGCTGTATATAAGCATATAACGAACACGCTTATAACGAACTGACGGGTACAATGAACTGTTTTATGGTCCTGTCCATTTGCTGTATATAAGCATATAACGAACTACTGTTATAATGAACTGACAGGTAAAATGAACTGTTTTATGGTCCTGTCCATTTGCTGTATATAAGCATAAAACGAACACGCTTTAAATGAACTGACAGGTAAAATGAACTGTTTTATGGTCCTGTCCATTTGCTGTATATAAGCATATAACGAACACGCTTTAAATGAACTGACAGGTAAAATGAAGTTTTATGGTCCTGTCCATTTGCTGTATATAAGCATATAACGAACACGCTTATAACGAACTGACAGGTAAAATGAACTGTTTTATGGTCCTGTCCATTTGCTGTATATAAGCATATAACAAACACGCTTATAACGAACTAACAGGTAAAATGAACTGTTTTATGGTCCTGTCCATTTGCTGTATATAAGCATAAAACGAACACGCTTTAAACGAACTGACAGGTAAAATGAACTGTTTTATGGTCCTGTCCATTTGCTGTATATAAGCATATAACAAACACGCTTATAACGAACTGACAGGTAAAATGAACTGTTTTATGGTCCTGTCCATTTCCTGTATATAAGCATATAACGAACACGCTTATAACGAACTGACGGGTATAATGAACTGTTTTATGGTCCTGTCCATTTGCTGTATATAAGCATATAACGAACACGCTTATAACGAACTGACAGGTATAATGAACTGTTTTATGGTCCTGTCCATTTGCTGTATATAAGCATATAACGAACACGCTTATAACGAACTGACAGGTAAAATGAACTGTTTTATGGTCCTGTCCATTTGCTGTATATAAGCATATAACGAACACGCTTATAACGAACTGACAGGTAAAATGAACTGTTTTATGGTCCTGTCCATTTGCTGTATATAAGCATATAACGAACTACTGTTATAATGAACTGACAGGTAAAATGAACTGTTTTATGGTCATGTCCATTTGCTGTATATAAGCATATAATGAACTACTGTTATAATGAACTGACAGGTAAAATGAACTGTTTTATGGTCCTGTCCATTTGCTGTATATAAGCATATAACAAACATGCTTATAATGAACTGACAGGTAAAATGAACTGTTTTATGGTCCTGTCCATTTGCTGTATATAAGCATATAACAAACATGCTTATAATGAACTGACAGGTAAAATGAACTGTTTTATGGTCCTGTCCATTTGCTGTATATAAGCATATAACGAACTACGGTTATAATGAACTCAATTTTGAGGCCCCTTTGAGTTCATTATAACCATTGTTTACTGTACCTTCAGTGAAAGTGAGTGTATGTTCTTTTATGCTGAAATATTTCAGCTACACCACTGTGGTTTGTAAATACACGAGTCTGTACCGGCCAAACCAGAGACTGCAAGAACAGGCAATAATCTACATGATGAAGCCGAGGGCACAATGAGAACCAATCAGCCAAGTCTGACACTATCAGCCTGGCCACAATGTAGCCACCCGTTCCTCATCAGTCACAATGGAATCTCTTATTGATGAGGTAGGTCTCTTACCCTGGCAAGAACATAGCACATGTGCTCGCCCTCCAGCCCAAGACTGATGACATTGCTGATGGCGCTGTTGACAGCCGAGAGCACCGATGCCTCATCCAGAGTGTCCACCAGGCGCTGGAATCATGTCGTAATCAAATCAATAAGGATGTCAGTATTCACAGACGTCATATTTACAAATGCATCTAAAACCTATATATTTTCCCTTGAATATGTGAAAAAAGTGTGTCTTGAATGTTGTCTTGAAGCCACTAATATTACGGCTGAACATTCAAGTTGTAACTAATCAGGCAAACCTTACATTAACAGCACGACCAACAAACCTCACTCTCTGGGTATGGTGACACACACAATAAGCCAGGTCACACATTGTTTGTTTGTTGTTTAATACTGCACTGAGGAAAATTCCAGCTACATTACGGCGCCCTGTAAATAATCAAGCCTGGACCAGATAATTCAGTGATTGATATTGTGAGCAACAATCCAGGCTGTTTGGGTACGATGACACGCAATCAACCAAATTCAATGAGCCTGACCACCCGATTCATTTAGTCGCCTCTAAAGTGTGTTAAGACCTGCATAGGTTGTGGGCACCTGGAATCCCGACAGGGGAGGTGAAGATTGTAACCAGGGCATCTTCATTGGTTTACTAGCAGTGCCTAGTATGCACTGAGGATATCACACTTACCTGCACAAGGTAACCAATTATTGAATCAACCAGTCGGCTGAAAGTCTGTCCCAAGAATGTGAGCTGATTGGTCAGAGGTACCTTGGCAGGTAATGTCCCTCCCCGTGTAAAACTGCAACATACATCAAGACTGACACTTCAGGAACATATATCAAGATTGACACTACATTGCAACAGAAACATACATCAAGATTGGCTCTACATTGCAACAGGAACCTACATCAAGATTGACACTTCAGGAACATATATCAAGATTGACACTACATTGCAATAGAAACATATATCAAGATTGGTGCTACATTGCAACAGAAACATACATCAAGATTGGCTCTACATTGCAATAGAAACATACATCAAGATTGGCTCTACATTGCAACAGAAACATACATCAAGATTGGCTCTACATTGCAATAGAAACATATGTCAAGATTGGTGCTACATTGCACATTTGTTGCAATAGAAACATATATCAAGATTGGTGCTACATTGCAATAGAAACATATGTCAAGATTGGCTCTACATTGCAATAGAAACATATGTCAAGATTGGCTCTACATTGCAATAGAAACATACATCAAGACTGACACTACATTGCAACAGAAACATACATCAAGATTGGTGCTACATTGCAATAGAAACATATATCAAGATTGGCACTACATTGCAATAGAAACATATATCAAGATTGGCTCTACATCGCAACAGATTATGTTGGAAAAATCGAGTGTGAAAGAAAGTAATGTTTGTAATAGAAAATAGCAGCTACGCCCTGTAGAATTATAAAGCCATATTTTAAACCAGAGACAGACGTTTATCCGATAGAGTTGTATTTTTTTGGTGTGTTTTGCAACCTCCCCGAATGAATGCTAATCATTTCATGACTCTCTATGAAATGTCAAATGGTCAAGAGGTCACATGACATTAACCCAAGTACCAGATACAACAATCTTGGACCTATTCTATTTTTTCTAAAATGGTGTTTTTATTTCAATCTCCAGTATATATTAAAACATATGCTTTCAGACTATTTGGATGTATTGAAACTTGATAACTGATGCCATTCCTGTCTAAACACAATCATCTGGATCTTCAGACATGACCATGATGACATGTTCCCTGCATCTCGTATACTACATGTCATATTTCTAGTCCTCCATGTGATACAACTCACCTGTCTACCTGCTGTGCTAGTTTGGCACACTCTCCCATCACTGTGTCCTGTTGCTGCAACGAAAAAGGATAATTATCACATAACTGATCAAAACACAGATTGCACCTGATCTACAGAAGTGTACATGCTGTATGAACATACAATCCTGTTATAATCATCAAAAAAGGATATATTGCTTGGTGAGATCTCCTAGGAGTTAGTGAGTTTGGTTTTACGCCGCTTTTAGCAATATTCCAGCAATATCACAATGGGGAACACCTAACAAAGGCTTCACACATTGTATCCATGTCGAGGTGAGGTGAGGTTAAATGGGGTTTAACGTCGCGTCCAAGATTATTGCACTTATATAGCGATGTGCATGTACGTGTGTGTGTGTGTGTGGCTGCTTGTACTAATCCGGACTGATGCCGATTTATAGTGCTAGCTCACTGAGATACCATGCCGTAGTTTAACATGAATACCCCACTCAGACACAGTATACTCCGAGCCGACCAGTCCTTGTTTTAGCCCCTTAATGCAGAGCGCCAGACAGGGTAACAACAAGTACCATCTTTTAACGTCTTTTGGTATGTCGTGGTCGGGGATCGAACCTCGGACCTTCCGCTCTCCGGGCAGACGCTCTACCACTAGACCACGGAGGCGGGTTCCCATGTCGGGAATCAAACCCGTGTCTTTGGTGTGGCGGGTGAATGCTTTAACCACTAGGCTACCCGACCGCCCTAAAATCCTAGGAGTTATGGCTACAATGAAATTGTATCACAATCCTTTGCAGACCATTGCGACATCATTGGTTACAATGAAATGACACTGCTTACTACTGTTTACAAAGTGAAAAAAGTTGGAACAATGTTGGATGACGAACAGAAACTCATCCTAAAATCTTTTGCAATCAAATATATCAACAAAACTTGATGGTATTTTCTTTTTAAGGCTCAGATTTTAAACTTCTATCGATTCGTGTTGACATATTTGATATCAAAATACACTCAGGTGAGATTCTCTATATTCGGCAAAGCAGAACTCACCTCCAGAATGTAGACAGGCGGTTCTGGCACACACTGGTTGCACACCTGGATGAGGGACCGGATGTGACAGGTGACCTGAATACCATGGCGACCAAGATGCCGCCACTCACCAGCTTCCACACTCCTGTGAAGGAAATTAGACAATCACTTAATGCCACTCTTGCCCAACTTTGGCCCATCACAACTTTTGTAATTTTACAAAATCCTGTTCCAAAAGAAACATCCCATTTTGTTCTCCCATTAGCAATTAGGATTCACCACATATGTGGATAGAAATTAGCAATTAGGATTCACCACATACATGGATAGAAATTAGCAGCAGTCTGCTATCCCGAGACAATTTCTCCATTGTTAAAGGGCTGGTTGATCTTGGAACACTTTGAGGTGTTCCTAGAAGTTGTCATTATTCTGTCTAGTAGACTTTCCAGGTTAATTTCTATCACTCATATATGTATCATAACATACAAAATATAATACTATTAACTGTTATAACCACAGATATCCTTGCATTCCTGCCGACCAATCCACTTTTTAATAGACTAGCGACATCGGGATCGGCTGACAGATGCAAGTATATGTTTTCCACCAGAGTGAACCCATGATCCTAGGTTCCTGTCATGCCTAAGGGACGCAACTCTGCACAGGGACTTGCCCCTATTTCCCGTCAGTATAACACTTACTTGAAGAGTCGATCAAAGTCTTGACTGATGGCGTTTGACTCATTCTTGATGGAATCAATTCCCTCTGAAAACAGGCACAACATTTTGATGTGACAAATGGATACATTTCTTTTTGCAAGTGAACAATTCTGACATGTCTTCAAACATATTTTGAGACACAAAAGGAACGGCAACTCCAATATTGGATGTATTTCTTTATGGTACACGTTACACTAGGGATGACTATTGGTCTGTAAATCACTATTGCGATAACTATTGATATTGTAAGAAACTATTGCGATTACTATTGATATTGTAAGAAACTATTGCTATAAATATCGATAGTTTTCAGTGCATCATCTTAGATGGACTTTAGAGTAGAATTAAACCTTGGAACTGATGTTTCCTCTGAATGTGATAACCATCACAACAAATAAAAAGTAAAGTTTGAGATATGACTGATTTGTTTTTACCCAAATAATTTAAGAGAAAGAAACTTCTACATTACCATGTGTAAATTTCTACCACTCATGATCAAAAGAAAAAAAAAAGAACAGCATTGCATGTATTTTATTGATATGGTAAATACAATCGAAACGATCGATATTCCTAACTGAAATCGATTGATCGGAAACTGAGTTAACAATCCATTTATTGATTTTAAGTGCTTACCAATAGCAATATATCGATATTTGGATTGATCGTGACACCCCTACATTAAACCTTGCTTATCACCAGCTAGCTACAATTACTGCCTTTTTAATGGTGGCAAAACAATAATCGAACTAGACAAAGAGTGATTGGCACAGTAAGAAGTTAGGCACTGTTCCTTCAGTCTGCAATCTTGAACCAATCTGATTAAACAAACAAAAGTAAAATCATCTGCGAAAAAGTAAATTAGTTCGTAGATCATAAATCAGATCGTAGTTCCTGCTACCGCTGAAGAAAGATCTGAGGACATCCCATTACTGGTCACATCAGAATGACCTTGCGCGAACTTTGATTGACCAATGGAATGACTGACAAGAAGTCGACATTAGCAAATCAGAAGGCAGCTTACTCGTGCTTTACGGCACTAATTTCAAATTGGCGACTACGCTTCAAGACATATTTTGACAAATTCTCGATTAAAAATTTGAAACCTGAACAAAAGAACATTCTGGAATGGCTAATAGATGGTTTAGATTGTATGGATTCAGTCGTTAACCCTGTAACTATCGCTCGGAATACCCCATGTAAAAAGTTTTCGAGGATGCATGATGAGACATCACATTCCGACTGTCACTTTCTTGATCTGGTAAGCGACGCTCTGATTGGTCGGATGAAAGGTCGTTCTGACGTGACCCCTAATGGGATGTCCTCAGATCTTTGTTTAGCAGCAGCGAGAACTACGATCTGATTTTTATGAGATTGCTACATTTCGGGTCAGACAGAAAATTCCAAGATTCTTGTAATGGCTTCTTGTACACTGACGGCAGTTATAATCATGATATCAGAATTGTTGAGCACTGTGAGGAGCTTGCAGGTCTATATCACAAGGGACATAACTCTGGGGCAACAGTTTTTCTCCAAGACATAAATGTCTGTGACATTTCATTATGTTTACTGCCAACCTTCTTATCTGGACTCATAGGTTTTATCATACTCAAGGTGAATCATATAGTTTGCTTATTAGTGTGATGAACCCACCTTTAACATTGTGTACAAGTTTAGTGGAGTGGTCTGCATCTTGACTGGCGCCGAGTGACTTGCCCTGGAGAACACTCATACATTCCGTCTCGGTCATCTCACGAAGCTCGATCAGCCAGTCCTGGACAGGCTCGTCTAGCTGAGACCTTCAACACACAATAAGTCAACAGGGGTAGATTTAACAACAAATTCATATTCATAAGCCTGCTGCTTTCAAAAGTTACTGGCCCTTCTGCAAACTAACTGGCCCTTCTCCAAACTAACTAGCCCTTCTCCAAACTAACTGGCCCAAGACTAAATGTTGGAGGCCACAACTAAGTTACGCAGTGGGCTCTTTCCTGTCCTCTGAGATTATATCTTGGCTTCCATTTGCATCATTTAGTGGCGATTTTATGAGCAAATAAAGATGTTGTTGTGTCACTCTATCAAGATGATCTTTGAGTTAACCATTCACACGAAATCATCCCCCCTAATTATTTTCTCATCGAAAGTACAGTCAAGTCTTGTTAATCCGACATCGTTGGTTGCACATGATTGTGTCGGATTTACGAGTATGTCGGATTAACGAAATTAAGTGATTTGTGATCGAAAATCGGACGTCTTCACGATAGATAATAACCGTGTGTACCTTGTAATAAAATCATTAAAAACGAAATATTAATATTGTTATGTTGTTTATTCATTCATTCCTTAATTTATAATTAATGACTATGAAAAAATAATAATAATTTTCCCATTTATACATAACAATAGAGACATTACTCACTGAATTTATCACATGATCAACGACACACGTTTCCTCGTGTAAATGCAAGTGCTACTGTCTTAACAACTTGCCGCATCTACTTAAAATAGTCTGTCAGTGCGTGTCAAAACACGGGGTTGTGTACTCGCGGTCAGATGACCACGGAGTACGCTGATCACTGTGTCGGATTAACAAGACTGATTAATGAGTGATTTCGGCAATTCGTTGCAAATTAGGTGCGTCGGAGTCGGAGTGCGAGAATGTCGGATTAACGGGACTAAATAGCACTGAATCAATCGGTTCCCATCATTTGTGTCTGATAAAGCCGAGTGTCGGATTAACGAGTGTCGGATTAACGAGACTTGACTGTACATGATTCACGAGCAGGATTCAATTAAAAAAAATTAAACATACACAGAGAAGGGGTGAAATTTTGACTAGCCACATGGGCCATCTACTTTTATAGGTTTCAGCTAGCCTTTTGTAATTTTACCTGGCCACGGGCCAATGGGCCAGCAGCTAAATCGACCCGTGTCAACATGTAGCTTCAAGCAACATCAGAAATTGGCACTAGTCCTGCAGTCCTTGCCAAACTAATAGTTTAGGTTTCATAAGGACTTGTAAAAAATTGCCTTTTTAAAGGGTTTGCTATATGTTATCATTAGGACATAAGGACTAGTGGACTAAAAACGTTAGTTTCTACTGCTGTTCAAGAGTGTTCCACACTAAACATGCTAAAGGGTTCCTGGTGTCCATGTGGGTTGCTCTGATAGTATTTGAATCTACATGATCCAAGAGCCCTTAAAAATTTTAACTTTACGATCATAACAAAGACGATTTTACTTTCATGATTTGACTTTTGACCTTTCACACACTGTTCAATGTTTTCTTTTAATTAATTAGCAAACTGAACATTCAAAAGCTGAAACAGTTTCAAAACAAAACTGTGAAAACAAAGGTGACAAATTGGAAAATAGGTATAATAATCTACATCAGGCTTCATGTTCATCATGTTCTTCATACTTTTAGTGGTAAAACATTAAAGCATGACATCTTATGTGTTTTAAAGACCAAAATACAATGAGGAGAAAATAGGGTCACTTTTACTCTATAGATACTATTTTATCATCCAAAACTGACTCCCACAGGATATATGGCAAGCATGTGTCAAGGGTGAGATCAACCAATATCTGCATTGTAGTTATTGCTGCAATGAATTTGCATTACAATACTTTTCAGACCACAATGACGTCACAATCAAATGACCACTGATGGCTCTGCTACTGAAGCTGTGAACAGTACTTTTTACACTTAAGACACTACTTATTAGTGTCTACAAACTAAAAAAGTTGGAAGAATGATGCTGGATGATAATAAAATCTCATCCTCGTGACTTTTCATATCAAATATAGCAACACTTGTTGATAAAATTGGAAAAACCTGGCAAGCCTCGGAATTTTTCCACTTTAATCAACTCTTGTTGATATATTTGATATCAAAAGACACTTGGGTGAGATTCTCTATATATATACTATACCACAAAACAGTTAAAATTTGGTAGCGACAAGGCTACTTCATGAAAAATCAAGGATGCAAGAAATGATATGATCTGCTATATGGTGAGGTGAAATGGGGTTTAATGTCCGGTTCAAGATTATTGCACTTATATAGCAACATGCGTATGTGCATGCAGGTATGAGTGACAGGCAGCTTGTACTAGTCAAGACTATTGTCGGTTTTATACTGCTAGCCCACTGAGATACCTCGCCTCAGTTTAACATGGATACCCCACAGCATACTGACACTCAGTCAACCAGTCCTTGTTTTAGTCCCTTAATGCTGAGCACCAGGCAGGACACCAACAAGTACCATCTTTTAACCTCTTTGGTTTGACGCAGCTGTGGATCAAACTATCAAACTTCCAATATCTGGGCAGATGCTCTATCCACTAGATGTTTATGAATGAGTGAGTATAGTTTGGCCTGGGGAGACCAGAAATGGGCTTCACACATTGTACACATGTTGGGTCTTTGATGTGATGAGCAAATTAATTGTTTCACCAGTTGGCTACCACACCATCGAAAACAAATAAGTACAGGCATAATATACATATTAAATACATGCTTACATATAGATCTGTTTCTTTTTCTGCCTTTCCATGTTTACACTGTTAACAATGCTGCTGATCTGAAACCCTCTGTATCTGCTGAATCTGTTTAAAAAATAAATAAAAGGGATTAATTTTAACGTTTTTGTCTTTAAAGATGACAAATCATGTTTGTTGGTTGGTTGGTTTGTTGTTTAACGCCACACTCAGCAATATTCCAGCTATATGACGGCGGTATGTAAATAATCGAGTCTGGACCAGACAATCCAGTGATTGATATCATGAGCATCGATTCACGCAATTGGGATCGATGACATGTATCAACCAAGTCAGAGAGCCTGACCACCCGTGACCCCATCCTGTTAGTCGCCTTTTACGACAAGCATAGTCGCCTTTTACGGCAAGTATGGGTTGCTGAAGACCTATTCTACCACGGAATCTTCATGGGTCTAAATCATGTTTGTAATCATGGTAATTGTGTAAAGGCGTAACTTCACGAAGGTACAAAATTTAACATATTTCAGAAACATCATGATCCCTGCGTTGTGATATGATCCATATCTCATAGTAGAATGAACACATGTACAGGTGCCCTGTTGACTAGTAATTCCCATTTTGCTGTCTTTGATGATGAATTAACCCTGTTTGGGGTACCCAGAAGTTTTAAAAGAATCTGTGATCGCTTCACATTCAACTTGCCATATTTTTATCAAAAGGTAGGCTACCTGTACAGACACAGGTAAGAATGGATTTTACTGGAGATCCATAAGGGTAAGGGATGTGCATGAGGTCCTACCTTTGTAACAGTTTCTATGTTTTACAGATGCCATTTTTAGCTGTCTCACTTAAAAGACAGGGGGGTTGTGGCGCTTATCCCCAGAGCTCCAGATAAGCTGCGTATCTGCGTAAAATACGCATCACAAATGCAGAAATACGCAGTAAAATAATATCCAAGCGTATCAAATACGCAATGAACATTAAAGATACGCTACAAAAATAAAACTTGTGCGTATCATCAAAATATTGTGAAGTAACCCTGCGTATTCGATAGGCAAATCAGCAACTTATTTTGAAATTATAAACGGGCATTCCGTCAACTTTGCCAAACTCCACGATGACAGTCACATCATGATCATTTGCCATCACACTTTCTTGTGGAAGTATCGTGGCATTTTTGAGTCCTATATAGCTCTTGAACCCACACAACACCAGTTTGCAGGGGCTAGACATGCTAGATTAATATTTTTAACTTAAATACCCACATGTGTAAAAACTAGTGGGTAACAGAAATTTGAATACCCAGATAGAATTACTGATACCCAGTGATTTTAAAATGCATGTGTAAAATACCCACAACACCAAAGGCTTATCTGGAGCTTTGTTATCCCCCACAACAGATTGAATTAAATGCTTTCATAAGTAAATTTAATTTATCAGTTTCAAAAGTTAACGAAAAATACTACATGTTTGTTGAAACGTGGCCCAGAAAGTTGTCACTGATGAAGTTACAGCACGCCATAGTGAAACTATCATGTTCTCATTACCCAGTGTCCGATACAACTGCCTGCCCACCTGACCTTGGCTGGGAACTTTTCTGTTGCACTGCATGAAACTTTCCTCCACCTGCATATTAGGTCTTGTTATAACTCCTGAATTCCCAATTTTACGATATTAATAATGTCTGAATACAGGCAGGTAACTGTGACTACCTCCGATAAATATAATATATAAGTAGCTAATAAATATATACAACAATGCTGAGCATTCATAGACTTCCCAGGAACTGAGTATGTTCCTACTTAAGGCAAGAAGAAGTCTTTACTATATGTCAGCATACAGTGGTTGTTGTGTTGGTACCTGGTAGGCACCAAGCCTAGCCATAGATAAGCTAAGGGTAACACCTACATAACAATAATAATAGTTATCCATAATAGTTTAAGTGTTCACAACAATACATTAAATAACCAGTTGCAATTATTGAAAAACAAATAATAGAAGCACAGCATAACTATAAGGAAAGTAATATTTGGAGGAAATTTCATTTTGCGGGTTTGGCAAGTTAATCTCCGCTCACTTTCCGGCTCATGAAATACGAGTCGTTTGGGACTAAATCTACCCAAAATGCGACCCAACTTTTTTATTAGCGAAGTCTACTGCAAATTCACGAATGCTTCTTCGTGTTTGAAAAGTCTGCATAGAATCATTCCTAAAGTTCCTGTCAAAAAACTTACCATGTCAGAAAATGGCTACATAATAAAAATATTGACACTTTCGTAAAGTTGAACCCAAACCGGATGTTTACATTGATACCGTAAGCGACTTCTCAAACCGGAAGTCGCATGTATCCACGAAACTCATTACTAAACTGGTAAGCGTTCTCTGCTGCGCTAAAAGTAAAGCCGATTCTGGAAACAACTATACGACAAGTTTTGTGTTCTGACAGAAAGTCCTAACCTACACGATTGCATTGGTATTCGGATAATAATTTGTATTAATTAGGTCAATAATCGCGTCATAAAGGCTCAGAATGGATGAACCAATACTGACGGAATATAGCATATAAGAGGTAATATGCCCACTCTGGTACCGGCCAAGAGACCCGTGAAGATCCGGGGTGGAATAGGTCTTCAGCAACCCATGCTTACCGTAAAAGGCGACTATGATTGTCGTGAGAGACGACAAACTGTATCGCGTGGTCAGGCTCGCTGACTTGGTTTATGCATGTCATCGTATCCAAATTGCGTGGATCGATGCTCATGATGTCAATCACTGGAGTGTCTGTTCCCAGACTCGATTATTTACAGACCGCCGTCATATAGCTGGAATATTGCTGAGTGTGGCGTTAAACAACAAACCAACCAAATCCTACCCTGGCGGGTACTGTCACGATCTGTCACGGGTATGTCACAAAGGCTGCAACGTGAAACGGCAAATTATATGTTTTTCGTCGTGCCTTCTTTCTATGTCCAATGTATAATTTGTATTGACTTAATGTATATGTTACTTCGCTAGTTATTATTACCTTGCCCGAAGTGATGCAGGTCTCGGACGTTTACCACTTCAGGGAAACCCACGAGCGCGGGTATGGTGCTGACAAACCTTGAAACATAATCGGGGCGAACCGGGATTCGAACCCACAATCATAGGTCTCTGGCGTACCCAAGGGACGCAACTCTGCAAAGCGAATCGCGGCGCCTTAGACGACTGGGCCACCCGTGCCCCCTGAAACCGGGGCATACGGTTTATTCGTGTATATGTATGTGTCGAACATATGTTACCTCGAAAGTTATGGTAGGTGTCACACAATGAGATAAATTGGTAAGGATCGATTCTCTTATCTTATCTTAAAAAGCGACTTTGCTTGTCGCAAGAGACGACTAACGGGATCGGGTGGTCAGGCTCGCTGACTTGGATGATACATGTCATGGTCTCTAAATTGCATAGATCGATGCTCGTGATGTCAGTCACTGGATTGTCTGGTATAGACTCGATTATTTACAGACCCCCGTCATACAGCTGGAATATTGCCGAGTGCGGTAAAACAACAAAGAAGCAAACAATAGAATGCTAGCTTTCAATGAGAATCACGTGGTCCAGTGAAAACATTCGCCCGAACGCAGACATTCCAGTACCAGTACAGTCAGGTTTTGATATGCGTGTACATACCGCTGTCTCTCCTGCAATGGCTGGAAAGAAGTTTACTTGTATTGCAGTTTCCGTTGTAATGTGTGCCTTGATTGATATATTTATATCGCGAAAAGTCATACGGATATATCTGTAAGTACGTTGATGTGTTGTCAATGTTATCTTTAATAGAGTAACGTGCATTTAGCATACATAACTTGCTTCTGCAAGAGATATCGCTGGCGTGAGATCAAGCTATTTCGCCGCAAAGAAATTGCATCACAATGCTTTGCAGACCTTTGTGAAGAGATCGGTTACCATGATGTCACAACAAAATGACATCACAAATCTCTGCTACTGAAGCTGGTTGGCAGTACCTTTAACTGAGACACTGCATATTTATCAAGTATTTACCTTTTATGAGGGCATTGCCATGGCCGAAACAATATCAGTTTCTTGAGTCCATAAAACGTGATATTTCCCGATTTGGGGTCAATAATTGTTTTATTACATAATGTAAAAAACAACGATATTTAATTTGAGGTATTTTTTAATTATTATAAAATTCAACAATAATTGAAGGAAGTTGCACTAGACGTTGATTCACAACACAATTTGCATTGCGCCTCGCTGATTGAATGAAAATATTTCTCTGCTGTGATTCCATTGGGTAATACAATTTTAAAGGTCACATGTGACCCTTTTTCAACCAATGAAAAAAACAGATACAATTTGTAAATGTAATAATATAATTTACCAGCTGAAACAGTTGGAAGAATGGTGTATGATAATTAGAACCTCACCCTCGTGTCTTTTGATATAGGATATATCAACTCGATGAGACAAGCCTCAGAATTTGGACCTTTTATCGACTCGTGTTGATATATTTCGTATCAAAAGACACAAGGGTGATATTCTGTAAGTATTTAAGACGGGGTTCTGAGGTAAAAGTTGTCGTCAGTAAACTATGCTTGTCAAGTCGACTGAATTTGATCAGACGGTCAGGTTCTGTGTGGTGCGGTGTTCATGTTTTCAGTCACTGGTTTATTTGACCGCCGTAATAGAGCTTGGTTATTGCTGACTGCGGCGTAAATCAACATTCACTCACTCACTCATTTTTGGTGCCCCCCGCCGTGATATGGCTGGAATGCAAGACTTGCCTTTCAACATGCCAGACATATAGGGAATCAAAGCCGACGCTTTAATAACTTAGGCCACCTATTTGATTCACATATTTAAATTATAAGCAGGCTTAGCAATTATAACTCGCCTATAAATATTAGATTTTATTTGGCATATTGATATTAAAACCCACACCATCACTGAAACACAGTTTAACGTTTTCCACATGCTCGCTGTTGGTTTGTTTTAAATTAGATTACGTCACAGCTGAAAAAACTTAACAATTTTATTTCTCTGTAAACCCGAAAATATATTTTTTTTAAATAAGATCAAAGAAAACCTATTTTTTTTATATTTAGTTGAACAAATTATATTTTTCAAATATCCCAGAATATCATATGGGAACCTGTTTCAATACATTGAAATAAATACTGATATATTATGCACCATCCTGAGAAAATCTTAACTAAACTCTATCACCGAGAACTCTTTGGCCAACGACAAATAGTAGTGACAACTTCAAAATGCCACTCAAACATCCTAATGATGTTGAAACTGTGAGCACATAAAATGTAAAGATTGATTTGTTTGTTGTTCTTGACTCCGACATCAATCCCATTAAATATTTACATGACTTTTATTATTTCGAATTTTTGCTAATGTTCATGTGTTGAATTATTAACTTGAACTCAAGTGGAATTTCCAGTGAATAACACTCACTGGGACAGGTTGATTATATATGTTCCCAATTCTGCTACCTGAACATACGCTCTGAACAGAGCTCAATATCACGGGGGACTCAGTATGTTTTGTTTGACGTCGCTTTGGAAATATTTCAGTTGCATCACGGCGTGTCAGCCTGGGCGGGGATTTTATCATGTGGCGAAATCTAAGAGTACAGGTATTGAGCTGACAAATGTAGAAACAACGAGAACCTGGGTTTCGAACCCACGACCGTAGGTTTCTGGTACGCCAAATGGACGCGACTCGGTATGTGTCCTACAGTGGAGGGAGTGCTTGCTAAATCATGTGGGATCCACAGTCACGTCACGTCAACACCATCTTCCCGAGGCAAGAGAGTTAACTGACTTTAAAAGTCCAGTTTCCACCCTTGCCGAACTAGGCTGGAATTCCTAGGCTCGATCGTAGCGCCACCAGTGGCTATTACGAGCTATGCCCTTTCTATGCCTCTCCTATTGACCAATCAGATTCAACCTCTCGTATCACTTGCATTTGCTTCAAACAAAACGGTGGCGCCCAGTCAAGACGATCTGATTGATAATCAAGATCTATATTGTGATAAAACGAGTCTTACATCGCGAAGTGCATCAAATCACGTGAGCACCTTGATTAAAAGCATGAAAATATTTAGAAAATTTCTGTTGACAACGAGTTAGCGGTGCACATGCTTTGCAAATCCTGCAGTCGACCGAAATCTGCATGAAACTTTACGAACCGGATTTCGATTTCGGTGCGCGATTTTGATTGGACTACGTATAGACTCGTTAGTCTAGCCAAAATGTAACTCCATAATACCAGCCTAGTTCGGCAAGGGTGGAAACTGGACTTTCATAGTCAGTTAACTCTCTTGCCTCGGGAAGATGCACACACTGTGAATAGGGACAGATTCATCATGTGTTCAGGTTGTTGAAGTTATTGAGTATTTGGTGCCCGGGATTTTATTTAGAACTGACGACGTCAGTTTTCATACGCAGGGAATAGTGTTGAAATTTCCGGGTTTCATATCCCATGGCCACTTGCCATTGTTTTTCAACCAATTAGAATGCAGCACACACTCGCATTCATTTAAGAATTAATATGTTTGTTTGTTGTTTAACGACGCACTCAGCAATATTCCAGATATACGGCGGCGGTCTGTACATAATCAAGTCTGGACCAGACAAGCCAGTGATTGACATCATGAGCATTGATCCACGCAATTAGAATACGATGACATGCATAAACCAAGTCAGCAAGCCTGAAAACCCGAACCCGTTAGTCGCCTCTTATGACAAGCATAGAGTGCGGCGTTAAACAACAAACCAACCAACCAACAAACTACATCTGATAGTAGTAGTAGATGTTCTATTCATTGGTTAACTACTAAATTCACCCAAGCCTGCATGGTAGGACTGTCTTAATAGGTACAACTGACACTAGGTGACGTATTCATCATAAACGTAGGCAACAAGACTGGTTGCATATCATGCCTTTATTTGAAAACACCATGTACATCTGATCGAGTTATGAGAAAAGTGTTTATTTTCACGATTGGTGCAGCTATATGAATGGAAAAGTTAAACGCTTTACGTTAACGGTGAAGTTAATGACGGTGGCATCACACTGTGGATATTCTATTTATTAATAACACCCTATCTTTAAAGTGAGTGAGTGAGTATGGTTTCACACCTCTTTTAGCAATATTCCAGACATATTACGTTGGGGGGCTTCAGAAATGTTCCCATGTTGGGAATCGAACCCGGACCTTCGGCGTGACGAGCGAACGCTTCAACCAAGGTGCTATCATTAAAATAATATTCCAAGGTAAAAACATATTTGAGTTCTTCTAACCTATTTTTTCCTCATTGCGACGCTGCAAACTGTTGTTATTTCAGTGAGTGATTGAGCTGGGTTCTAATGCTGCTTTAAACAGTAGTCCAGTCCTATCACGGCGTGTCAGTTTATCGTGGAAGGAAAGCCCGAAGTGATGCAGGTCTTAGGCGCTTACCACTTTGGTAGAAGCCCCTAGGACGGTATGGTGCTGACAAACCTAGAAACATGATCGGGGCGAACCGGTATTGGAACCCACAACCATATGGTTCTGGCGTGCACAGCGAATTGCGGCGCATATGGCGACTAGGACATCCGTACCACCGATGTTACGTCAGAGAGTTCACGTATAATATCAATTAGCACATATTAATGGATCAGCTGATGACAATGGTTTCTATGTAAATGTTTGTGAAAAATGTCAGCACGACCTCCTGGATTACTCTTCCCAGGTCAAATTCCAGGGAGCAACAAGATGTCAACTATACAAGACCATGCTTGCAGTTGGCAACAACACATGAAAGAGACGCAGCAGGATCTGAACGGATGGTATCAACCTTAATACCGAGGCAATATCCCAAACTGTATCTGACAGAGGGAGAACTGCTCAGTGACGGTTCATTCCTGCACAGTAAGGACATGGCGGATGGTTTGTTTTCAACAGTAAGTATCATTGGTGACCGATCATTATTTTCCCTTGGCGAAAGCATCAAAGTACAAATTGACTTACTCAAGGGAAATAATGACCGAAAACATATTGGCGGTGATTATATCAGATTGTGGATGGAAGATCAAAACAATGGCGCCTTTGTTTCCGGTAACGTCATTGACCACAGGAACGGAAGTTACACTGGTGTTTTGAAGGCATTGTGGGTAGGACAGGCGATCATCCGGGTGTTTCTAGCCGGGACAAGGGAAGAGATCCTCCTGTATTATAAACTGTACGAGCTGTACTCCAGCATGTGGACCATCAAGGCAGGATTTGTAGCTGGGAACATCTCAGAAAGGACACAGTGTTCCACTGTGGCATTTGACGGTGACATGTGTAATATGACATCACAGAACGGTGGTTTACCCTGGTTCTGTAAGAAACCATTAAATATACACCTGGCATGTGAAACCTGGAGGACTACTTCGTCTAAGGTGAAAGCAGATTTCTATCTGGATCCTAACGAAAAGGACATTTATGAAATGTAAGTAGTCCCATATACACAAGCTCACCTTTGCAGCAATTATACTTTAATCATTCGTACATACGGGCTCGGCCGATCCAGTATAAGGCGCCGCAATGCGCTGCAAGGAGTTGCGTCTCCAACTTTTTTCCAACGATTTTCTCTGGTCGTAAGTGTGTACCACCTGCAGAAAATGTCTATTTGTGAATTATATTTTGAGAGGGCTTACTTTACAGCTATGAATGCTTTCCAGGGGACGGAATCCTGGTCCCTATCACCTGCGAGACTCAGCACAGATATACACCATTGGGGGTAAGTGTTGAGCGCGGGTCAAGATATCCAGCAATTATAATCTATGTTCACTATATTAGTTATATGATCCGATGGTCAGGCTCAGTGACTAAGTTGCTTCTGTTTCATCGAGGAAGATCCTCATAATATCAATCACTGGGTTTTCTTGTTCAGACTCCATTATTTACAGGCATATAGTTAGAATAGTGCTTGGCGCTCGTGCATCCAGAAACATGTTCCAGAAAACCGAATTCCAGGACGACCCACACAGATTAATAGAGACTACAGACTTTTCTGGTTTATGTTTTAAATATTTTACACAAAGGAAACGTGAAAGAACATGGAACATGAGTATCAGAACATGTTATTTATACAGGCAAATGTCGTTTGAATTACGTTGTGTTTTATCATATACAATACATAAACAATGGCATGGATACAATTATATGTCTCTAGGAATACAGTAGATTGTACACACATCAGAGGTCAACGCTCTGTTGCTCCGTTTCTTCGTTGTGTTGACATAATACTAGATAAGATTGCTTGTACGTTAAGTTATGCAGAACAATAATATTCAGCCTTGGATAAAGGCATTCAAAGAAGGTGAGGTGAAATGGGGTTTAACGTCGCGTCCAAGATTATTGTACTTATATAGCGACGTGCATGTACGTGTGTGTGTTTGTGTGGCTGCTTGTACTAGTCCGGACTGATGCCGATTTATAGTGCTAGCTCACTGATATACCATGCCGCAGTTTAACATGAATACCCCACTCAGACACAGTATACTGACTCCGAGCCGGCCAAGTTGTAGCCCCTTAATGCCGACCGCCAGACTGGATAACAACAAGTACCATCTTTTAACGTCTTTTGGTATGACGCGGCCGGGGATCGAACCCCGGACCTTCCGCTCTCCGGGCGGACGCTCTACCACTAGACCACGGAGACGGTCCATTCAAAGAAGCGTTATAATTATGTGTATACCTTTTGATGTCATTATTTTTTATATAAGATATCAACACTCTGCACAGCCTCTTTAAGGATGGTAATACATTGTACAAACTTTATTAAAATATTTTCTCGTATACAAATAATGATGACTCCCTGAACACAATGTCGAATTTACGACGTCATCAAGTTGCGAGGGCATGTTCGAATCTCCAGAAATGACGTCATAATAGTAACATGATTTGATTGTTCTTTGCGATTTATCACGTAGCTATCTTAGATAAGGTGATGACCTGAGAACTACGACGCCACACTATCAGACAGCCATAGTGTTATTCAGGCAAACTGAAAGTAGTTGCGGCAGACATTGTCAGTTCACTCGCGTGATCTGATATTTACACATATGAATCGGATTTCTGCGCTGATAGGCAGCCAAACAACGTGAAGGTGGCCAAGAAGTTTAACTTAAGCTTCTAGTATATACAAGATCTGATATCTTCCAATAACCATCGGGGGCACGGGTGGCCCAGTCGTCTAAGGCGCCGCGATTCGCTTTGCAGAGTTGCGTCCCTTGGGCACGCCAGAAACCTATGATTGTGGGTTCGAATCCCGGTTCGCCCCGATTATGTTTCTAGGTTTGTCAGCACCATACCCGTGCTCGTGGGTTTCACCGAAGTGGTAAACGTCTAAGACCTGCATCACTTCGGGCTTTCCTCCCACATTAAGCTGACACGCCGTGATATGACTGGAATACTGTTAAAAGCGGCGTTAAACCCAACTCACTCACTCACTCACTCCAATAATCATCAAGTAGCCAATTCCCTTCCACTGATTTACCCACCTGAACTAGAAATAAATGTGACCAGTGAGACTGTCTCATCTGTTTTATATTTAGATCTATTCATACAGCTTCAGAATGAGAAAAAAACATAGTCCACAAGACTATGACAACTTCCCCATTATGTCGAGCAATATTCCAGCAGCTCCAGTGCTTGGTGTGTTCATTTCACAAATTTCGAGGTACAATCGAACAGGTTCTTTCCAGCAAGACTTGAAACTCTTGCTAAGAAGTCGTTTGATCAAGGTTACAACATTCAAGGCCTCAGTAAATCTTACAAAAAAAGTATGGAACGCATGTGAGGACATTACCAAATTTGACGCTTCAGAGAAAACAATACGTCCGAAGCAATTCCGTTTTTTTACTTGTACCATATGTGAACAATTGACTTGTTTTGCATGTGTTTGTGACAGGTGCCACCGGTGGGACAGGATACGCTTACCTTTTGCGAACATCTGGTTTCATCACTATTTGATAATGATTCATAAACTTATGCTCATGATGTCGGAATCGTACAATGGACTCTTCTTTTGGCAGAAATTTTAATGAATATGGAAAAGGTTTCGTGGCTTTTATGTACGTAATAAATACAGAATTTCACCACGAAATATATAATAAAATTAAGTCTCCTTCTGTTGTAGTTGGGACCAGATTACCAGCTCCATCCGTGCCATGCAACAGACTCTCAGCGGGAATGACATGGAGTCGTATTTCACCTGCTGGTTTCTTCTACAAAGCTGCATGGCAGTCCACGCTTTGCAATGACACTCTGCCCCGCACCCCCACTGCATACAGAGCTTGCCTCAAACGCAAAACTCTCTGGCTACCAGGGGATTCGACGAGTGTTCAATTTTGGAAATTCCTTCAGCAGTACTTGAATATATCTTACACAAGAGACACAAGCGAAAAACATGGGCCAAGAATTATCACTGACAAGGAATCAAACTTCAGTGTCATATGGCACGCCCATGAGCTCCCCTTTTACCATGGGAGGCCTGTTCACAACAGGACAGTAAACCTGGCCGAACATGTGATACTTGACAATCTCCCAAACGCAACACAAGACGTCATTGTTTTGTATCTCTATGTGCATTTTACGTTGGTACATCCGGATGTGTTTCGCCGACATGTTCAGAAACTTGTTCAATCTGCAAAGGATCTGCTTGCACGTGCCCCAAACGTAACACTGGCAGTACGTGGACCTCATGCATTTTATAAATCTGTGGCTGTAAAGCGAGGATTGACCTCCTATTGGGGTCTCGTTTATGAAGATATTCTACATGAGAATTTTTCAACGTTACGAAACAAAATAGTTTACTTAGATTTCTGGGATATGACTGTAGCCATGGAATCCTATAATATTCACCCCAATACACACGTTATCAAGAATATGGTGCACAATATGATGTCTTTCTTGTGCTATAGAAATCTTGAGAGTTAACTCTTGAAAGAAAGGAATATGTCGAAATAGTATTTTTTTAGAGTTCGATAGATCTTCTTTCATTTTGAATTATAAAGAATAGAATTGTAATGTAACGTTAAGGGTCCCAAGTTATGTTCGAGACAGAATGTATATTGAGAGTTTGCTCTTATGTCGATACTCCGCCTGTCTCGATCTACCGTTTATTTTACTTAGCATATAATGTACAGTGTAACGGGTACGATAAAAGTATATGTTTGTTTGTTGTTTAACGCCGCACTCAGCAATATTCCAGCTATATGACGGCGGTCTGTAAATAATCGAGTCTGGACCAGACAATCCAGTGATTGATATCATCAGCATCGATCAAAGCAATTGGGATCGATGACATGCTTCAACCAAGTCAGCGAGCCTGATCACCCGATCCCGTTAGTCGCGACAAGTATAGGCGCCTTTTACGGCAAGCACGGGTTGCTGAAGATCTATTCTACCCCGGATCTTTACGGGTATAAAAGTATATGTGTTATGACGTTAACTTGAAGAAAGGATCTTCATATGCTCCATTCTGAGAAAGGCTCGCATAATATAACATCGTTATTCCTAATATATGATATTTAGAATGAGTGAGTGAGTTGGGTTTAACGCCGCTTTTAACATTATTCCAGTTATATCGCGGCGTGTCAGCTTAATGTGGGAGGAAAGCCCGAAGTGATGCAGGTCTCAGACGTTTACCACTTCGGTGAAACCCACGAGCACGGATATGGTGCTGACAAACCTAGAAACATAATCGGGGCGAACCGGGATTCGAACCCACAATCATAGGTTTCTGGCGTGCCCAAGGGACGCAACTCTGCAAAGCGAATCGCGGCGCCTTAGACGACTGGGCCACCCGTACCCCCTGATATTTAGAATAGGAAGATAAGGTTATACGTTTCTTGGAAAGACATTGTTTGTTTTGTTTGTTTGTTTGTTTGTTGTTTAACGCCGCACTCAGCAATATTCCAGCTATATGACTGCGGTCTGTAAATAATCGAGTCTTGACCAGACATTCCAGTGATTGACATCATGAGCAACGATCCATGCAAATTGGAAAACGATGAGATGCTTTAACCAAGTCAGCGAGCCTGACCACCCGATCCAGTTGGTCGCTTCTTACGGCAAGCATAATCGCCTTTTACGGCAAGCATGGGTTAGTGAAGACCTATTCTACCCCGGATCTTCACGCCCCGTAAGAAATTGAATCTGTAACATTAGTCCAAACAACCCTGCACTGTCAAGATAAACTGCTCTAACTGTACCCATGAACTCTATCTATTTATAGAATATTATCTGAAAATCTGATCAGCCATTAAGTCTGCACTGCCTTTGTGTTCTCCATTTTTATCGCCACAATATGTCGCCTTGACCTTGCATTGGGTCCTGTCCTGAAATGAGATTACTGTTGACACTCGTTAACGATATACTTTAACCTTATTTCCTTCAGTGCGACTGTACTATCGTCAATGTAGTCACAGTCAGCGCCCCGTTACGACGAATAACGACAGGGTACATGTATACTTTGCAATTGAAAGTCTGCGTGTGGCTTTGTCTTTAAGTGATATCTCGTCACACCAACATATATATTCTTTGTGGAAAAGAGTTTTTTCCTCGATACTTTGGTTTTCAATTTAAAAAAACACAAAGTCCTCCCTCCCTTTTCCCCGTTGAGGTAAATGTGCCCGAAAAACCTCTTTTATGCAGCCTTTTATTTATTTATTTTTTGTTTTGTTTGTTTTTTAAAGCTTTTTATTGTTCCCAGAGTTGGAGATTAATACAGTACTCCGTCATAAACATATTTCGGATAGCATAGCATGGCTCAAAACACTCATTAAAAAATTAAAGGGTTGGAAACAAACATTGTCCTATTTCAAACCCAAAACGGTTGAAACACACAATCAGACTCAAACATGGCGTGTAGAGAGCTATGAATCAAATACTGAGAATGAAGGTGACCATTTTTAGTTAAAGTTATTTTTGTCATCCTTTTTTATAGCAATAAATTTCTCGATTGAGTATATGTTTTTAAATAGTTTTAAAAGTATATCTAATTTCGGTTTGGTTCCTTTAATTCCACTTACATGAACATGCCTTTTTCCCAATAAAACTATATGATTGATTAAAGTATTTTAGTTACCTGAACTGATTACATCCAGAAACACAGTTATATCGAGGTCTCCTTCAATCAACATGGCGACGTCGACAATTTATGATTCATGGTTGTTTCTGCATTGATATACAGTAACAGCTCAAAAAGGCGAAATATGTCGGGTTATCAGCTGTTCGAGATAACAGGAGTGTTCATTTATGACCCCTATACCGTACATAATTTCTTTAGCATACTTGGTGGACATCATGGATAAAGATGTTAAATATTTACAGGTCTGGTTTTCGTGGGGTAATTTGGGGGATATTAAAACTTTATGCTCATGTTCAAACAGAGATCAGAATATCGTTGAAAACTATTACTGCACAACTTAATAAGATGGCAGACCATAAGAATATTGAATCACTGTTAAATATGGAATATCATGTGCATGAAACAATATATGGAAAATACCTAAGCTTGCTAAGGCTTCAGTAATTACTCTTGCAAACAGTAGTCTTCGTTTCAAAATGTGTGACTCTGGAAGAGAGAGTTATCACGTGCATGCTTCATAGCACGATATTGTCACATGGAAGACATGTGGCAAATGACATCAGCACTATGATATATCGATGTCTGTTCTAGCACTGCCATCGGCTCTTAAACACAAATCTGATCGGGTTCTTCGTCCCAATGAATATTCTGTACAAGACTTCGATGTCTTCGTGCCCAGGCTCTAGGGATATCTCGAAGTTCTGGATTATCTGAAAGAACACAGGAACTCAGAATATACATCAAGACCGGCCCTCAATTGTGTATCAGAAGCGAACGTACAGAGTGAGTGTGTATGGTTTACGTTTACGCGCTTTTAGCAATACTCACGCAATTTACCCACGATTGGAATCGAAACCGAGGCCGTCGGCGTGACGAGCGAACGCGTAAACCACAAGGCTACCCACCTTCCTCCACATTCAACTGGTGCCAGACATCATACGTAGAGCCAGCCAAATAAACAGAACACATGTGTTTGTTATTCCGATAAGTTTTTTAAATGTCTTTTGCTTTCCAGACCCGTGAAGATCCGGGGTAGAATAGGTCTTCAGCAACCCATGCTTGCCGTAAAAGGCGACTATGCTTGTCGTAAGAGGCGACTAACAGGATCGGGTGGTCAGGCTCGCTGACTTGGTTCAAGCATGTCATCGATCCCAATTGCGTGGATGGATGCTCATGATATCAATCACTGGATTGTCTGGTCGAGACTCGATTATTTACACACCGCCGTCATACAGCTGGAATATTGCTGAGTGCGGCGTTAAACAACAACCCAACCAACCAACGTTTGCTTTCTAAGAAGATAATGTTTGAATGTACGACTGAAGAAGCGATCCCCAAACCAGCAGATAGCGACACTGCACAACAAATTTCGGTGCTTTGCCTCCGGACTCAGCTGTACTGTTGAACATCCACCAGCATTACAATGGGTATGGTTGTCACCGCCCACACCACAACATGAATAGTTTCTCTGGCATCTTACCCGACATTGCCTGGAAGCACGTGGGTCAACAGTGATTATTCAGTAAATTGTATCTCTATTCTGTGAGGAAAAATACCTAAGACCAATCCGGTACCCTATCTTCGTTTTTAATCACACCCGTGATGATTCCGAGTAAGAAATCAATATAGGTCCCCGACAACCAACGCTTACGTTTGAGGCAATATGTACTCGGGTAGTCAGACTCGGAGGCTTGGCTGATTGCATGTCATTGTATCCCAGTTGCGTTGATCGATGCTAATGATATCAATCACTGGATTGTCTGGGCCAGACTTGAATATTTACAGACCGCCGTCATATAGCTGGAATATTGCTGGCGGGGTGTGTTGAACAACAAACAAGCACACTTGTTTTGAACGGTATTAATTGCTCTTCTATGTACCTTGGAAACAGCAAGGTATATTTCCTGCTCCGCGAATCTTTTTCCAAGGCACTGCCTTGGTCCAAATCCAAACGGGAGCAATGCAGCTGATGGGATGTCAACAGATCGCTTCCCATCCTTGTCCCTCAGCCAACGTTCTGGGCGGAATTCCTCCGGGTTGGGGAAGTACTTCTTGTTCTTCACAGTCCTCTGATTCATTAGCGCAACAGAAGTCTGGATATAGAATTGTTTAAAATGACGTTATCGATATGTCCCAATGACGCTAGATAAAAATAACCAATATAAACCAATGTATGTGAAATGATAATAATACCGTTAATGGAGATATTACACCTTCATATACCTTCCTTACACCTTCATAAACCTTCCTTACACCTTCATAAACCTTCACATACCTTTATTAATCTTCACATACCTTAATTATACGTTCATATACCTTAACTACACGTTCATATACCTTCATTACACCTTCATATAACTTCATTAACCTTCACATACCTTAAATACATCTTCATATCCCTTCGTGAACCTTCATACGCGTACATCACAGCTTCATATACCTTCATTAACCTTCATTAACCTTCATTAACCTTCACATACCTCCATCACACCTTCATATACCTTCATATACCTTTATCATACCTTCATCACACCTTCATATACCTTCATCACACCTTCTTATACCTTCATCACACCTTCATATACCTTCATCACACCTTCGTATACCTTTATCACACCTTCTTATATCTTTATCACACTATCATATACCTTCATCACACCTTCATATACCTTTATCACACCTTCTTATACCTTTATCACACCTTCTTATACCTTAATCACACCTTCATCACACCTGCATATACCTTTATCACACCTTCTTATACCTTCATCACACCTTCATATACCTTCATCACACCTTCATATACCTTCATCACACCTTCAAACACCCTGGGCTTTGAGAAGAGAAGGTGCGGATTCACTGAATTTGTTTTGCACATCTCTTGCAAATTTCCTCATAAATGGAAATGGTTGCCTAGGTTACAGAGATGCCCAACATAGGCAAGCACCATAGTACGTGAACTAAAACAGGGGAATTGCCGAGAAATGTGCAAATTTACACCTTCTCAGGTGAGCGAAACAGGGATACAATGAGGTACCTACCCCAGCAGGTATCCGGTATCCTTTGATAACTATTTCGGTGGGCATGAAACGCTGTGTTCCAGAGGATGTTGGAAACTGTATTCTGGAATAATAATACTGGTCACATAAGAGAAATACATAAATATATTTTTTCTTCTTTCGGGACCTAGGGGGAGCCACATACCCTTTCCCGACCTCCAGACATTCCATACGGCCAGCCCCCTACATGTTTGAAAGATTTACTACTTTAAGGGGAGCGGGACGGGCTACGATTTAAAGGAAACGCATTTGTTGTCACAAGGAATGGTTAACATTGGGGAAGGGTGATTTATTTCAATACATCATTTCAAACCATCTGTAATAAATGGGGGGCACGGTTGGCCCAGTCGTCTAAGGCGCCGCGATTCGCAATGCAGAGTTGCGTCCCTTGGGCACGCCAGAAACCTATGATTGTGGGTTCGAATCCAGGTTCGCCCCGATTATGTTTCTAGGTTTGTCAGCACCATACCCGTGCTCGTGGGTTTCATCGAAGTGGTAAACGCCTGAGACCTGCATCAGTTCGGGCTTTCCTCCCACATTAAGCTGACTGTTAAAAGCGGCGTTAAACCCAACTCACTCACTCACTCACTCACTGTAATAAATGACCGATCCCTTAGACCTCACCTGAACGACTCTCTAAGAGAAGCAAGAAGATAAGGCATATTCGCCAACGATTCTATGGTCATTGGTCCTGATGGCCCCATGACATCCATAACTTCTTCATACAACTTCTGCTGCTTGTCTGGGTTCCGAGCCAAGATGTAAAGCATCATCTGGAGATTCCTGGCAGTCTAGAATGGAATCAAAAACAAATGGCAACATAGAATGTATGTTCTAAAACGGGTGCTGGTGTGCATTACAGTTGTCTTTGTTTGTTGTTTAACGCCGCACACAGCAATATTCCAGCTATATGACGAAGGCCCAGTGACTGATATCATGAGCATCGATCTACGCTTTGGGATACGATGAAATGCATCACCAAGTCAGCGAGTCTGACCACCCGATCCCGTTAGTCGCCTCCAACGACAAGCATGGGTTGCTGAGGACCGATTCTAACCCGAATCTTCACGGGTAAAGTAGTTACATGCGTTTACACCCAGGTTCGATTCTCCACACGGGCCAAATTTGAGAAGCCCATTTTTTAAAATGATGGAATATTGTTAACAGCGTCGCGGACGTCAGGCACTCATTGTCCGACTTCGAAATGACAGTTCTACATTGTTACCGAAAGACAATGGGTACTAGAGAATGACGTCAATAGTCAACATACTGAATCCGTGCCTGCACCAAACAAATCCAGAGCAATGGCGCCCATCTGCCCCACTGTCATCTTGTCAGTGGTCATCAAGGACAACATGAAGTTGTTCTCTTCTAGGTCAAGTGTTCCCTCTGCTTGTCTTTTCTTTATGTCATCCATTGTAGCTTCATAATATTCCTGGGTTTGACTAAAGAAACAAGAAACAAGTTTGTCACACAACACAATGATAAGAATAAGGGATGAAAGATTGATCTGTGTCTTGATGCTAAGCATTTATGTACTGTACAATGGCAATACATCGATGACACTCTACAGTATCATCAGCTGACTTGTTGATCGATAGTCTCTACATGTGTATGTAACTAATCAGGAATCTCTGGGTTATAATTTGACTAGCCTAACGAGTCTATGCATAGTCGAATAAAAATATCGAGTAACAAAATCGACATCCGGTTTGTACACAACATGGCAACTTCCCTGCACAAGGTTGATTGCAGGATTTGCAAAACGGGTCGTCGACAGATATTTTTTAAATATTTTCATGTTTAATAAAATTGGTCAAATGATTTGATGCACTTCGCGAGGCCAATCCCCTTTTATTACAAAACACATCTTGATTATTGATCAGATTGCCTTGACTGAGCGATGCTATTTTGATTTAAGCAAATGCAGGTGATATGAGGAGTGGGGAGCGATTGGTCTATAGGGGGGACATAGAAGGGACATGACTCGTAATAACCACTGGTGGCGCTGCAATCGAGAAACAAAATTCCAGCATAGTTCGGCAATGGTGGAAACTGGACTTTCATAAGATGCTATATATGTAACGAACACAAACACTTACTTAAGCCTTTAATTTTACCAATGTGCAGAAATGGAGTATCCTTTCAGAACACTTTCATCTATGCACACAAAAAGTTAAGCACACCCCTATTTCTGAACCATGACAAATGGCTAAAATCATGGCATGGGATGACTGACAACAGGAGCTGGGCGATACCAATGTCATCGGATAGAACAAACATTTGACAACAAATAAAGAAGATATTGGTGAGTTGTGATTGAAATTTACTGACAAAAACATCATGGTAACACAGGTACTGTTTTTGACCTCAGACAATACCTTAAAAAAGTATGGAGCTGCAGGATTAAGTAAACGAGTTATATGTTTGATGTTTCATGTGAAAATGTTCCTTAAAGTCTCTACTTGACATGACACGTGAAACAGATGAGTAGCGGGTATAACCGCCCGGATGACGCATTCCACCCTACGTCTCAAGCCTCCGGTCAGACGTTATTGATGCAATGCTGCTTCCAATTGGCGTAAATCTTGTACAGGAGGATGCGCTGCCCCAGAATATCCCAAACATGTTCAAGGGGGTTCAAATCTGGGCTCATTGCTGACCAGGGTAGAGTCGTTATTGCATTGGCCCTCAAGTAATCCACGACTGCATGCAAACGTTGAGGCCTGGCATTGTCATCCATGTACTGAGGTCGAGTAGCAAGAGGGTGGTTGTCAAAATGAGGAACGACGACTGGCCCCAAAACGTCCCGGATGTACTGAGCCCCTTTTAAGTTTCCCCTTATGGTGACCAAATCCTACCTGCAATCATGAGAGATACACACCAAACCATTACCGAGCATCCGCCGAATGCAACAGTCGGTTTAATGTTCCTAGGGGTGAAGGCCGTGTTCCGGTGCCTCAAAACTCTCGTTCTTCCATCAGTGACGTGGAGAAGAAAGCGACTTTCGTCTGACCAAATGATCCGTCTCCACGTTCTCAGATTCCAGTTCTGTCGCGAAATACACCATGCTAAACGAGCAGCTTTGTGGTGATCTCTCTACAAGGGACGCTTTATGACTCGTCTAGCTCTCAGTCCTGCTGCTTTCAGCCGGTTCCTGGCGGTTCTGGTACTGAAACGACGATTTGGCAACCACAGCTGTTTCAGACGAGAACTTGGTAAAAATGGTTCTCGGCGTATGAGACAACGAAGGTCCCTGTCTTCGCGATGTGTCGTCACAGGTCTTCCGGATCTGGGACGGTCCTGTACATCACTTCGGAATGGGCTTGGCGAGTCTGGTGAAGCGCTACTTCCGGTATTTAATATCCGATGAGACGCAATACACATTAACCAGTTCTACTTTCGAAATGCGCGGCCGCCTGAGCTAACTTAGCTAGGCGGTGCCAAGTATACTACCACTATTAGCTGTCACAGCTGTTGACAATACTGCGACTACATTAACAAGCATACAAAAATCTGCCCAACTCAACTGTTTTTATTGCCTGCAGACGGGTTTACAATAGCTTGCACCGAGTATGATTTACGTACTAATGTTATCGCCATTGCAGGGAAATATTGTTTGTCAACGGAGGTACTGAAATACCGTACGATCTCGCGTAGTCTTGTGACCTGCCTACGACCTACTATTACGACAATAAGGCTTTCGCGGCATTACGAATCTGCCTAAAATAGAGTACATCGCGATTGCAGAAACCAAATCCCCCGAAAAAATCTCCCACATATTCCAGCAAGTTTTGGGTTGTTAGGAACATACTTACGTCACGAGGCGAGCGGTGGCTTCCTCGTATTGCCTTTTTATCCTCAAAGGAAAGTTATGCAGGATAAACGGGGGTATAGCTGAAGAAGCATTGAGCAACTCAAACAAAGTCTGTATGTCCTTCAGTGCCTGTACTTTGTCAGGGTACTGGTCCACATCAGTACTGAGGTATCCGAGTCGTTTATTGAAGGCAACGACAGTGATACCTGCAAAAAACAATGACAAACCAGTGGAGGAACACGATTGTTTGACAGTAGATTGTTTGACATTGGAGAATGTTCGACAATGGATAGTTTGACAGTGGATTGTTTAACAATAGAGGTTTTGACAGTGGCTTGTTTGACAATAGATTGACGATGGATTGTTCAATAGTGGATTGTTTGATAATGAATTATTTGACAGTAGATTGTTTGATAATGGATTGTTTGACAGTAGAGCATGTTTGACAATAAATTGTTTGACAGTGGATTGTTTGACAATAGAGGTTTTGACAATGGATTGTTTGACAATAGATTGACGATGGATTGTTCAATAGTGGATTGTCTGACAATGAACTGTTTGAGAGTAGATTGTTTGATAATGGATTGTTTGACAGTAGATTGTTTGATAATGGATTGTTTTACAGTAGATTGTTTTGACAATTAAAGTCAACAGTGAACAAGTGAGTGAAATTGTTTTTCAGTTACATCACGACGTGTCAGCTTCATGTGGGAGGACAATCTGGGTACAAATGGGATAATTCATTGTCATTTTGTGGGCACTGTTAACTGCTTGCCACAAATCGGAAATAGATTCAAATATTATTGTTGCCAGAGATTCTTACTTTCGCAAGCGTACTTGAAGAATAGGTCCAGTATGTTGTCTTGCTTGAATTCGCCGTTTTTTATTAGTGAGACCAATTCATCGGCGACCTCGTTCTGAGCCGACAGATAGTACTGCGCAGACTTCGTGCGCATCATCCGGGTATTAACGGGACTTCTTAGCTTCTGCCATTCAATACCATCCCTGTGAATAGTTTAACCTCATTAGAGAACAGTGATAAAGTAGACGAATGAGCTACTTGGATTTAACGCCGCTTTGAACAGTATGATAGTCATGTGACCTATGCTTTTCACAAGAGGCGACTATGGGTATCGGAATGAGTAGATGCATGTCATCATATCCAACCTGCGTAGATTGATGCTCATGCTGTCAATCACTGGATTGTCTGTTCCAGACTCGATTGTTTACAGATGGCCGTCATATAGCTGAAATACTGTTGATTGCGGTGTTAAAAACGAACAAACAAAATTCACGTGGAAGGAAGCAACGGTTACCATGGTCGTAGATGTTCACTGCTTTGGTGGAATCGACGTACATGGAATCATCGTCTTAAAGCTTAAACAATGTTCGACCCGTGAAGATCCGGGGTAGAATAGATCTTCAGCAACCCATGCTTGCCGTAAAAGGCGACTATGCTTGTCGTAAAAGGCGACTAACGGGATCGGGTGGTCAGGCTCGCTGACTTGGTTGATGCATGTCATCGATCCCAATTGCGTGGATCGATGCTCATGATATTAATCACTGGATTGTCTGGTTATAACTATATTATTTACAGACCGCCGTCATGTAGCTGGAATATTGCTTAGTGCGGCGTTAAACAACAAACCAACCAACCAATTAAACAATGTTCAAAGCGGCGGAAAACACAACGTAAACGATACGGGGGAAGGAATGGCAGTCATGACGAACAAACAAGCAAACAAACATACACCGTATGGGTAAGATGGAACTGATATCCCCTTAAAGCGAACAGTAACAATACTGCACTTCTCGGAGACCCAACACAATGCTGATGGTTAATAAATGTTTTGAAAATAATTGTTTACACACAGCGTATTGCGATAATAATTTGAGGACGAAGGTTCTCACACCATTATAAATAAACGTATGCAAAATCAGCGTCTTATGACGTATAGTGATGAGATCCGTATAAAGGAATTCTGTCCATTACAAATGATACAACGTATTTTGGTAATTCGTGATTACAATTCTACTTCAATCCGGGGTAGAATAGGTCTTCAGCAACCGATGCTTGCCCTAAAAGGCGACTATGCTTGTCGTAAGAGGCGACTAACGGGATCGGGTGGTCAGGCACGCTGACTTGGTTGATGCATGCCATCGATCCAATTGCGTGGATCGATGCTCATGATGTCAATCACTGGATTGTCGCTATATAAGTGCAATAATCTTAGACGCGACGTTCAACCCCATTTCTCCTCACCTCACCTCACCTCACCTCACCTCACCTCACCTCACCTCACCTCACCTATGACTTACAGGTGGGCTAAGCCTTTTTGGAAACCTGTTTTCTCGCAGAATATCTTATGAAGCGGCGGAACGTAGCGATCCGGATATTTGCCCTCGTTTTTCATGACAACCTCAATGTCAGCCACGTCCTCCACCAACACCATCCAACCTCCAAGCTGGACTCGAACCAAGGACCCGTACTTGTCAAGCAGCTCGTTACACAAGTTGTGAGTTGTTTCGATTGTGTGGTTGGCTGTGGAATTAAGGGAATATGAAAGTTGTAACAGGTATGCAAACATTGTGCGTGTATATGTGCGCGTACGAATGTATGTGTGTGTGTGTGTGTGGGGGGGGTTTACTTTAATACTAGCGCTTAAACCTTCGTACCGTCAGACGTAAGGTACACGGGGGGGGGGGGGGGGGGGGGGGGGCAATTCGCTGTGCAGCGTTGCGTGTCCTTTGATCAAGGGTTCGAATCCCTGTTCGCCCTGATTATGTTTCTCAGTTTGTCAGATTCCCAGAGTTCGTGTGTTTTTATATTATGGGAACAATCACCTCCGATATACCATTCCAGTTTCCAGCTGAATTTAAAAATAGGCGGACCCTTTATATAATACTGCATCATTTGTAAATAATTTCTGGGTTAGCAGCATCGAGAATTGTCAATCATCAATGAATCCATTTATGAAATACATAGTTATGTACTTTTAACAATAATATCGCAAAACAAAAAGATTTCGCTACTCTGTGCAAGTCATGCAGTGTCAGTCATGAAACACAATAGTCCAATGCGCCAGACCCCTGACTTTTATGTTTGACTACCAAATAGAGGGACAAATTTCCATTGTGGTTTTCAGATAGCCTGATGCCCATACCACATGAAATCACGTGATGGACATCCCACATGACATCCCATAACTGTCATTTCGGCCGCCATTTTCAAGATGGCCGCCATTTTTTCCAATTTGCTCCAAATTTCAGAAATAAGCATGAAAAACAGAGTTTACAATTCCTAGACAAACTTTTGTGAAATGAAATGTGTCAGGCACTGAATTCCACACATTGTGATATACAATTTGTAGGATTTTGTGTAATAAATATTTCTCTGTTATCAAATTATATTGAAAAATGTATTGTTTTTTATATTTTTCATTATTCAAAGACATTAAGAAAGTTTAACTTCAATGTTATGACTTCACATAGTATTCAACGTTGATTGAAGTAAGTGAGTGAGTGAGTTGGGTTTAACGCCGCTTTTAACAGTATTCAAGTTATATCACGGCGTGTCAGCTTAATGTGGGAGGAAGCCCGAAGTGATGCAGGTCTCAGACGTTTACCACTTCGGTGAAACCCACGAGCACAGGTATGGTGCTGACAAACCTAGAAACATAATTGGGGCGAACCGGGATTCGAACCCACAATCATAGGTTTCTGGCGTGCCCAAGGGACGCAACTATGCACAGCGAATCGCGGCGCCTTAGACGACTGGGCCACCCGTGCCCCCTGATTGAAGTAAGAGCAATGGAACTTACTGAACGGTTTGAAATGTAGCATGGATCCAATTATCGGCAAACTGTATATACCCTTGGGTCCGGGTATTTCTTGGAACGGTTTTGCATCTCTTATATCAGCATCGCTCCAGGCTGCAGCCCTTAATGTGCGTTGTGGGACTGCGGGATTCACAATCTGTCGTCTGAGGAGCCCCATCACAGGCTGGTTGAGAAGCTTCATCATGTTTCAGTGAGTGTGACTACCTGTAAATAGTGAGTGAGTGAGTTAAAGCTTTACGTCACATCGGCAATATTTCAGCCATATCGTGACGAGAAATTTCAGTTATTAATACATATGTTTAAACTAAATTAAAACCTGTCATCGATGGACAGTAAAACTACTAGAATATCACAGATTAATATTTAAAACTAGCATACAACTATAAAAGATATCACTATATATAACGGTACAATATAAAAAAGGGCTATAGATCGCCAGCAGCTGAAGGTAGATCACCATGCTAGGGTCCATGGGGACTTAAAGTACTTTTGCTACCTGCATGGACCTGCATGGATTTACATCATCCCTTCCGCTGTTTGCGATTAATGACAAATCTAGCCAGAATAAATGAACATATATACTACGGCTAAAAACGAGCAGAAATAAACATACTTTGAAAGACGTGGTCTTACATACCCCCTCAGCTACCTGTAAATAGACGGCCTAACATGCTCACAACACTCCGACAACAGCTTGAAGAATCTGAGGGGCACTGTATACTGACTCAGACAGACAAATGAACATTCGAACGGAAACACAGTGTTGAACGGTAAATCATTATTAAATCTACTCAGCATGCAAATATATATACAGTATATTTCCATTGTATTATGGGCCGTTGACCTTAAGTACCGAATAAATTTGTTTGTCTGTCTGTATACTGACACAGAGCCGACCCGTCCTTGTGTTAGCCCCTTGGGATAAAATTGTAAGCCTAGCCCATGCCTACCAAGCGGAGGGGTGACTGAAATATGAGCCTGATAGAGATCTCTACTTCGGCCATGTGGCTGTGTAGGCGTGTGCCATATGTCATCATATGGCACTTCTAATGTAAATTTAGTTGAGTTAAGAAATGATCAAAACATTCTACAGGACATTTTCCTAAGGCAGTGAACCATATTTTAACGTCATTTGATATGATCGAACCCCGACCTTCCGCTCTATTTGATCTACACTATCAGGAGGGGCGGTCGGGTAGCCTAGTGGTTACAGCGTTCGCTCGTCACGCCGAAGATCTGGGTTCGATTCCCAACATGGGTACAATGTGTGAAGCCCATCTCTGTTGTCCCCGCAGTGATATTGCTGGAATATTGCTAAAACCGCGAAAAAGATACTCACTCACTCACTCACTCACTCACTGAAGAGTCTTAAAAGGAGTTAATAGAAGCAGCCGGGCACAGGTAAACCAGCACAACAGGAACCGACTCTCACCCTTATCAGATGCTAAACAACTGAGTGGCGAGGATGTCATAAACTAGCCATTTATTAGTGAGTGAGTGAGTTGGGTTTAACGCCGCTTTTAACAGTATTCCAGTTATATCACGGCGTGTCAGCTTAATGTGGGAGGAAAGCCCGAAGTGATGCAGGTCTCATTCGTTTACCACTTCGATAAAACCGACGAGCACGGGTATGGTGCTGACACACCTAGAAACATAATCGGGGCGAACCGGGATTCGAACCCACAATCATAGGTTTCTGGCGTGCCTAAGGGACGCAACTCTGCACAGCGAATCGCGGCGCCTTAGACGAATGGGCCGCCCGTGCCCCCTAGCCATTTATTAAGGAGACAAACATTATGTGTTTACGAATTTGTGGGTTCATTGAGTATTTGATGCCCGGGGATTTCATTCGGACTCAGGTTTCACGTGAGAAAAGTTAATTGCGTATGGTACAACCCACTCACTCACAGAAAACTTCATCTTCAAATACCCTTCCCTGTTACAAGATAGTGAGGGAGTGAGTGAGTATGGTTTTACGCCGCTTTTAGCAATATTCCAGCAATATCACGGCGGGGGACACAACAAATGGGCTTCACACATTGTATCCATGTCGGGAATCGAACCCGGGTCTTCGGCGTGACGAGCGAACGCTTTAACCACTAGGCTACCCGACCGCCCCGTTAGAAGATAGCCCCTTGACGACAGGAGACAAACGGTCTGAAATAGGATGACATTTTCGCGGGATGTTTCATGTACGTCGGAGGGTTATCATTTTGAATTTAATGAGGTTTTTTCACCTTCATGTTTTGTTCACTGTCCTTTCAAAAAGCATTTGATTTTTTTCTATCTGAATTATTCAACATATTAATTACTAACATATGAAAAAAATAGTACAAAACAGACACTGTGAACACGTGGATCTCATCGTAACATACAGAAGATAATAGTCGCGATTCCAATTATGGGGGCTGCTAAGGAAAGCAACCCTTTGTTCTTCTGTTCAATTAAGGCAGCTTGCAAGATAACTGTGCCACATGAACCATCGCATGTACATCAAGACTGCTTATGTTGTGGGCTGGCATTACCGCTATAAATATGTTCGATCGTCATCGCTGTGTTTTTGCTGTTTCTGGCTGTGATCAGCAGCACCCATCAGAGAGATAGGGGCAATGGTCTTAACACCGATCTGTCAAAACACCCTGTTAAACTGGGTTTTGGAAAGTAGACCGATCAATTTAGAATAATTTCGACCCCGACCTTCAATGAAGAAACATCACAGGGGCTCACTGCTGACCTAGTTTCTAAACTGTGTAATAAACACACTTACCTCTCTTCTTGGTGGTGCAGGCACTTGTCAGGGGTATAGTCTGGGACACCTAAATTAAGTGGACCCTTGGAAAATACCAGATAAGTAGGGATTGATTCATCAAACGCGGTGTTGTGAGACTGACCCTGTTGCTACTAGACCCAAGGCTCGTCAAAGCTGGAGCCGGTGAAAGGTTGCGCAATACTGAGCCGCTGCTCGTATGTCGTGCACATAGCGCTGAGTCACTGCTATGACCCTAATGTTAGTGTGCTATCACTACTATCACTAAATCTACATAAATATAAACAACAGTGTAACTGTGACGTATTGAATTTGTCATTTTTTACCAAATACTTATTTATATGTTCAAGACCATCTCCTTCAATACCAAATGGTGAAGAAACGACTCATCGAAGGTCCGGACGCTGGTGTCTCCTCAAATTGCCGACATAACGAAGTGCATGTCATGATAACCTGCTGATAACCTGAGTTTAACATCGCGAAGTATATCAAACTACAGTAAACTACGGTTATAACGAACTCAAAGGGACTACTATTTTTAGTTCGTTATAACCGTAGTTCGTTATAAGCATATATACAGCATAACTACAGCAAAAAGTCGGGACTAAAAAGTTAGTTCGTTATATCCGTCAGTTCGTTATAAGCGTGTTCGTTATAACCGTAGTTTACTGTAGTGTATAACAACAAAGCTGATAACATTGAGTAAGTATTTAAGTTTCATTTTTACATCAAGTATAAAGTACAGGAATGCAAGAGAAACAAGACTAGTATCACACTTTCTGGAAGATAGTGTTGGACAAACACATATCCCATCTACAACACACAGTACCTACCTTGTGAGGTTAATGTTATCTTTCATCTGATTAGCTTGTTGATAAAGACGATGCATGGTGCACAGCACTATACACTCACTGGTGATCCGGCTGGGTCTAGTAATATATAGTGACACCACCACCCCATAATATATACCTAGTTTTTTCACTTGTGACGATAACTCAATTAAAAGAACAATAACAATTTGAAATGTTGTTCCAAATGTTGTAATATTTGTTACTGAAAGGGTGACGAAAGTATGAAAAATAATGAAATGTGTTCAAGTGTTTTGTTTGTGTAGGAATTTGTCCACAATAACATGGTCTATTCGACTTTATGTCAGGGTTGAAGGCAGTAGCTGAGACAGCCACTGATGCATAAGGTCATCCCAGGCAATCCCGTCATCCCAGTCGGTTACTAGACTTAAGTCATCCTGACCCAATCCAATTACAAGTCTACCAGGAAATAATTTGACAGGGATATTGTCCCTCCTGACGCAATCACTGAAGTAATTTCCACTGAAAACTTTAATAAAAGGTGGATGTCATGCACTAGTTGCCGTTCCACTCTCGTGACTGTCAGGTGGTTGGCATATTCTAGCACCGCCCGGCACCGTCCGGTGTCTTTACGTTCATTAGCGTTGTGTTAGATACACACTTGAACTGATATTTATGAAGGAGTAGTGAGTTGTAAAAAAGAAGCGACAAAACTCAGAATAATGAACCCAGAATGGTGAACCCAGAGTGATGAACCCTCGATGGTGAACCCAGAGTGATGAACCCTGAATGATGAAACCAGAGTGATGAACCCTGAATGATGAACCCAGAGTGATGAACCCAGAATGATGAACCAAAAATGATGAACCCAGAATGATGAACCCAGAGTGATGAACCCAAAATGATGAACCCAGAATGATGAACCCAGATTGATGAACCCAGAGTGATGAACCCTGAATGATGAACCCAGAACGATGAACCCAAAATGATCAACCCAGAATGATGAACCCAGAATGATGAACCCAGAGTGATGAACCCTGAATGATGAACCCAGAATGATGAACCCAGATTGATGAACCCAGAGTGATGAACCCTGAATGATGAACCCAGAACGATGAACCCAAAATGATCAACCCAGAATGATGAACCCAGAATGATGAACCCAGAGTGATGAACCCTGAATGATGAACCCAGAGTGATGAACCCAGAATGATGAACCCAGAATGATGAACCCTGAATGATGAACCCAGAGTGATGAACCCAGAATGATGCACCTTGAATGATGAACCCAGAGTAATGAACCCAGAGTGATGAACCTAGAATGATGAACCCAGAATGATGAACCCAGAATGATGCACCTTGAATGATGAACCCAGAGTAATGAACCCAGAGTGATGAACCCAGAATGATGAACCCAGAGTGATGAACCCAGAGTGATGAACCCAGAATGATGAACCCAGAATGATGAACCCTCAATGATAAACCTAGAATGATGAACCCAGAATGATGAACCCTGAATGATGAACCCAGAGTGATGAACCCACAATAATGAACCCAGAGTGATGAACCAAGAATGATGAACCCAGAATGATGAACCCAGAATAATGAACCCAGAGTGATGAACCCTGAATGATCAACCCAGAATGATGAACCCTGAATGATAAACCCAGAGTAATGAACCCAGAATGATGAACCTAGAATGATGAACCCAGAGTGATGAACCCAGAATAATCAACCTAGAATGATGAACCCAGAGTGATCAACCCAGAGTGATGAACCCAGTGTGATCAACCCAGAATGATAAACCTAGAATGATGAACCCAGAATCATGAACCCAGGGTGATGAACCCAGAATGATGAACCCTGAATGATGAACCCAGAGTGATGAACCCTGAATGATGAACCCAGAATGATGACCACAGAATGATGGAACCAGAATGATGAACCTAGAGTGATGAACCCAGAATAATGAACCTAGAATGATGAACCCAGAGTGATGAACCTAGAATGATGAACCTAGAGTGATGAACCCAGAATGATGAACCCTGAATGATGAACCCAGAATGATGAACCCAGAGTGATGAACCCAGAGTGATGAACCCAGAATGATGAACCCTGAATGATGAACCCAGAGTGATGAACCCAGAATGATGAACCTAGAATGATGAACCCGGAGTGATCAACCCAGTGTGATGAACCCAGAATGATGAACCTAGAATCATGAACCCAGAATCATGAACCCTGAGTGATGAACCCAGAATGATGAACCCTGAATGATGAACCCAGAGTGATGAACCCTGAATGATGAACACAGAATGATGAACACAGAATGATGGAACCAGAATGTTACCCCAGGGTGATGAGCCCAAAATGATGAACCCAGAATGATGAACCCAGAATGATAAACCCAGAATGATGAACCCAGAATGATGAACCCAGAGTGATGAACCCAGAATGATGAACCTAGAATGATGAACCCACAATGATGAACCCACAATGATAAACCCACATTGATGAACCCACAATGATGAACCCACAATGATGAACCCACAATGATGAACCCAGAATGATGAACCTTGAATGATGAACCTAGAGTGATGAACCCAGAATGATGAACCTACTGTGATGAACCCTGAATGATGAACCCAGAATGATGACCACAGAATGATGGAACCAGAATGATGAACCTAGAGTGATGAACCCAGAATGATGAACCTAGAATGATGAACCCAGAGTGATGAACCTAGAATGATGAACCTAGAGTGATGAACCCAGAATGATGAACCCTGAATGATGAACCCAGAATGATGAACCCAGAGTGATGAACCCAGAGTGATGAACCCAGAATGATGAACCCTGAATGATGAACCCAGAGTGATGAACCCAGAATGATGAACCTAGAATGATGAACCCGGAGTGATCAAACCAGTGTGATGAACCCAGAATGATGAACCTAGAATGATGAACCCAGAATCATGAACCCTGAGTGATTAACCCAGAATGATGAACCCTGAATGATGAACCCAGAGTGATGAACCCTGAATGATGAACACAGAATGATGAACACAGAATGATGGAACCAGAATGTTACCCCAGGGTGATGAGCCCAAAATGATGAACCCAGAATGATGAACCCAGAATGATGAACCCAGAATGATGAACCCAGAATGATGAACCCAGAGTGATGAACCCAGAATGATGAACCTAGAATGATGAACCCACAATGATGAACCCACAATGATAAACCCACATTGATGAACCCACAATGATGAACCCACAATGATGAACCCACAATGATGAACCCAGAATGATGAACCTTGAATGATGAACCTAGAGTGATGAACCCAGAATGATGAACCTAGTGTGATGAACCCAGAATGATCAACCCAGAATGATGAACCTTGAATGATGAACCCAGAATGATGAACCGAGAATGATAAACAAAGAATGATGAACCCTGAAAGATAAACCCAGAATGATGAACCCACAATGATCAACCCAGATTGATTAACCCAGATTGATCAACCTAGAATGATGAACCCTGAATAATGAACCCTGAATGATGAACCTAGAGTGATGAACCCAGAATGATCAACCCTGAATGATGAACCCAGAGTGATGAAACCAGAGTGATGAACCCAGAATGATGAACCTAGAATGATGAACCGAGAGTGATCAACCCAGAGTGATGAAACCAGTGTGATGAACCCAGAATGATGAACCTAGAATGATGAACCCAGAATCATGAACCCAGAGTGATGAACCCAGAATGATGAACCAAGAATGATGAACCCAGAGTGATGAACCCTGAATAATGAACCCAGAATGATGACCACAGAATGATGGAACCAGAATGATACCCCAGAGTGATGAACCCAGAATGATAAACCCAGAATGATGAACCCAGAATGATGAACCCAGAATGATGAACCCAGAATGATGAACCTAGAGTGATGAACCCAGAATGATGAACATAGAATGATGAACCCAGAGTGATGAACCCAGAATGATGAACCTAGAGTGATGAACCCAGAATGATCAACCCTGAATGATGAACCCAGAATGATCAACCCAGAGTGATGAACCCAGAATGATCAACCTAGAATGATGAACCCTGAATGATGAACCCAAAGTGATGAACCTAGAATGATGAACCCTGAATGATGAATCCAGAGTGATGAACCCAGAATGATGAAACTAGAATGATGAACCAAGAATGATGAACCTAGAGTGATGAACCCAGAATGATGAACCAAGAATGATGAACCCAGAGTGATGAACCCAGAGTGATGAACCCAGAATGACGAACCTTGAATGATGAACCCAGAGTGATGAACCCAGAATGATGAACCTAGAATGATGGAACCAGAATGATACCCCAGGGT